TTCTGGAGAGAGAAAATTATATAGCCAGAGCTACGTATATGGCTGCATTTTGTCTTTAAAACGAACGCTACGGGGCGGTATGATGCTACCAATGGCTTCTGTTTCTTTTTATGCTACCGACTGACCGATTACCTCCGTGTGGACAGCTTTTCCGCTGTTAACAGTTTGCCCAGTAGCTCGCCATGTACGTCAGTTACCTTGAGATGCAGAGAGGAGTTGACAGTGTTCAAGTCCAGCGAAGAACAGTTCCAGAAAGCAGGTAAAACGTATACAAAAGGCAAAAAAGAAAATATACAAGTAAATTACAGGGTGAGAATGTGGTAAGATCTGAAAATGTGGTAAAAATCAGGCAGACGTGAGGGCCTTTCTTTTTCTGAATTGCAGTTGCGGTTAGGGAAGGAGGTGTGTGGGGGTATCTATCGGTTGGTCAGTTAGTCGACAGCGGCCTTTGGTGGTTTATGCGAGAACAGCAGGCGCGAATGGCACTCGCGAGAGAAATTTGTGTATTCAAAAAGCGTACGCTGTGACCTCTGAAAACAAAAACTACAAAAAACGTAGCTCCTGGGACAAATTTCACACTTTCCAGAAATGTATACAGGGGTACGTATCTATAATGAGCCTGGGTTGACATTAGCTGTTAAAGAGTGCACAGATCTGCACTTTAAATTTCTAACAAAAATAATAGACCATCCAAGGAGTATTTAAAGAACAAGCTGTAAAATCTCCGCCCTCTTATTAGAAACAAGCAGCAGCTCATCTGCATTTAAAGAGATACACAAAAAGAACAGGTTTTTGCTTCCACCCCAAAAAAAGAGCATGGACTAATAATCGATCCTTGGTATTTGAGCTTAAACTTTACAGATGCATTTTGGGGACATCTGACACTTTTATCTAATATGGAAAATCCATAAATTATATAATTTATCTAATCTAATTGAGGCCTGAGTTACACCCTGGGAAAAAAAAAATTAAAAAGAGATCATGATAGGATTTAATATCTTTTTGGAAACCGTAATACAATTTATTTTTCAGGTTGTTTTTGTCTAGGGAATAAACAACACTTATTTTTAGTGTTAATTAACTGCATTAAATAGAAATTACATTTCTTCAAAAACTGTATTTTTATAATATATACGTGCGAGTATTACTCACTATGGACAATGTACCTTTTATTTCAGCGAGAGCAAACCCTTGCCATTAAATTTCCTTTCCTCATCTTGAATTGTAGTCAGTAAAAGTTTCCTCTCTGAGATCCCAAAGGTTACTGCCAATTGCTAGGCCAAGACACATAACACCGCATGACTTTTCACTGACTGTGAAGGTGTCAATGATGTCTTCATTACATTTACAGTCCCTATAAATTTGAAAAGAAGCAGAGGTTCCTGAAGCAATATCTCAGCATATAATATAGAAATTAGAAATGTAAAACATTGTATATTTTGAAGAGTTTTTCCTTTTTATTCAGACTACACAATAGTTATTATGAAAGTCACTGTGTCAGATTATGCTATTTTGGGTAACACTTAAGTAAGTAACAATTCACAGCATTTATTATTGGATTATTACCTGCCTATTATTGAGATATGAACTGTTTATTAGCACTTAAGGTATGGTCTTATTCTACATCCTTATTCCTACCCAATACCTAAACCCTTACTAACAACTAATAAACAGATAATTAGTTGTTTATTGAGCTAAAAAAAAAAAAAAAAAACTAAGTTAATGGTTTGTTAATAGCGTGAATTGTACATTAAAATAAAGTGTGACCCAATTTTGACCTTAGATTTGTGTCATTAAAAGAAACTAATGCTGGCTGTTGTTTTGGGAATTGTTTATTGTTTTTATTTTATTTATTTATTTATTTTTTTTGCATTGGTATTATATATATCACCCTGGATAAAACCAGCAGTGTTGCAGGAAAAAAAGAATATATTACAACCTTAAGTGACTTTAACAGAATAATAAAATAAAAATTTTAATTTAACTACATTTAAAAAAAACTAAATTTGTTACTTTTGGAGGAAAGTACATGTGAAAGTATGTGCTATGTCATTTTATCATTTTATTTAAGAGGAAGATAGGCTTAAAATTGTAATATATTACTTTTTTACCCAACTCTGAAAACAAATCGAAATATTGGGGCAAATTAAGTTTAGCAATACATATTACTTGCAAAGATACAGTGTTCATATATTTACTGTAAAGGAAATTTACAAAGTATTTTCATGCCACACAATCTTTATTTGATATTATCATGATTTCTGGCATAAAATATAATTTTTGACTTACAATGTATTTGAATACAATGTATTTTTTGGCATAATTAAGATTTGTACCTGACATGAAAGCTGGATAAATAAGCTTTCTGTTTATGCATTTTTGTAAGCACAATATTTGTCTGAGAAACAGTTTTTTTTTTATCTGAAATCTTAGGGTTCCAAAAATTCTAAATACTGTGCAAGTTAGGTTTTTAGCCATGCATATTATTTAAAAAAAAAATACAGTGTCCATAAATTTACAGTAGGAAACTTACAAAGTATCTTAATTGAACACGATCCTTATGATATTATTTGGATTTTTGGCATAAACTTTGTCTTTTTGACTCAAACGATGTATTTTTGGTGAAATTGAGATTTATACTTGGCATCAAAGCTGAAAAAATAAGCTTTCTGTTGATCCTACTTTATGCAATATTTGTCTGAGAAACAATTATTTGAAAATCTGGAATCTGAGGGTTCAAAAAGCTCGAAATATTGGGCAAATTAAGTTTTTAGCAAGGCATATAGCATAAAAAATGCAGTTTTCTTATAATAACAGTAGGGTATTTACAAAGTATCTTCAAGGAACACGATCTTTACTTAGTATTATTATGACTTTTGGAATAGCAGCTGCCTTTTTGACTCTTATAATCTATTTTTGCAAATTTATATTTATACCTGCCATGAAAGCTGAATAAATAAGCTTTCTGTTGATGCATAGTTTGTTTGGACAATATTTGAGAAACAACTGTTTGAAAATCTGGAATTTGAGGGTTCAAAAATCTAAATATGTGGCAAATTAAGTTTTGAGCCAGGCAGATTATTTTTAAAAAATGCAGTTTTCTTTTATCTACAGTAATTAAAATTAAAAATTAAAAGAGTATCATCATGGAACATGATCTTTACTTAATATTATTATATATATTTTTTGACTCATGCAATGCATTTTTTTGGCAAAAATATAATGAATAAATAAGCATAGTTTGTTAGGACAAAATTTGTCTGAGAGACATTTTGAAAATCTGGAATCTAAATAAATATTGAGCACATTAAGTTTTTAGCAAGGCATATATAGCATACAGAAATACAATAATTTCGAAACTGATAAAATATCATCATGGAATAATATTATTATGATGTTTGGAAAACAAATTGCCCTATTTTCTAAGAAACAAATTTGAAAATCTGGAATCTGAGGCTTCATTCAATAATTAAATAATTCATTCATTCATTTTCCTTCGGCTTAGTCCATTTCTCATCAGAGGTCACCACCGCCAACTATTCCAGCATATGTTTTATGTAGTGGATGCATTTGCAGCTGCAACCCAGTACTGGAAAACACCCATACACTCTAACATTAACACACACACTTATACACTACGATCATTTTTGTTTACCAAATTCACCTTTACCGCATGTCTTTGGGCTGTGGGGGAAAACGGAGCACCCGGAGGAAACTCACGCAAACACAGGGAGAACATGCAAATGCCAACTGGCCCATCCAGCACTCAAACCAGATACCTTCTTGCTGTGAGGCGACAGTGCTGACCACTGAGCCACCGTGCCGCCCTCTGAGGGTTCAAAAAAATCTAAATTATGGGAAAATTAAGGTTTTAGCCATGCATATTACTTACAAAAATTGAGTTTTCATATATTTACAGTAGGAAATGTACAAAGTATTATCATGGAACATGATTATATTAATATTATTAAGATAATAATAATATTATTATTATTATTATTATTATTATTATTATTTGACTATAATCTAAAAATGCTGGGTACCGCACAAGTCCTTCATGTTGTTACAACACAAATTAAGTGAACTTAATTGTTTTTACAAATTTAAGTCGATTCAGTTGTTCGAAAAACCTCAAGAATTGTGTTGTTTCAACTCATTTTAAATAAATAGTTTGAACAAGCAGCAAAAGTCAAATTTTGAGGGTATGTTTAATCTCTAAAATTTAAACCTGCACATGCAAAAAATAAATAAATAAATGACATCCCTAGCGACTATCACAGTACAACATGTTCTGTTCACGGGAAATTTGTAATGAAGAAATTACAGTATACTTAGTTGCATTATGTGGTAAACTTTTGTCTCATAAAAGCCGAATACCTGAAGAGGAATTGCTACCACATAGGGATAAAATGTCGTCTCTCCCTCATTTATGGGCTGATAAGAGCGCTAATTGGCCTGTCCCCAGACAGTTAAAGCGTCTGCTCAGCCCGTTAATGAGTTGGTATTAGTTCGGAAGTGGTTTGCTAGTTTTAGTGGAATCTGTTGATGTGCACTTTGGGACCCGTTACGTTTCTCCACATTTATTACTTTTCCATCCTGGGAACATGTGTAAACCACTAGGATTGCACAAGCTGCTTTTACTTTGTTCCCGCTATGATCGAGTTCATTGGCAAACATTGAATGCAAAGACAAATTTTCATTTCATCATGTCAGAAAAAAACTACAACTGAGAATGACGTTACTTGTGTAATGAGAGTGTACTGTCAGCCTGTGATCATTTAATAGCTGTTTGCGGTAAATTATTAAGTTTTTCTGAAAAATGACACAAGTTTAGAGATCACGGTCGATTTTCTGTTGGCTCTTTATGTGGAAACTCCCGGGATATGATTAAGCACAAGTTTGAGAAGTGACTCCCCACTGTAAATGACCATCTCTTTACTGTAAATGAAAGCGTTTATATGCTTTTGCCACACTCATTGTCTCTTTTCTTTTCTGTTTAGGGACAGAAAGGCCATCCTGGTCCCTCTGGCCACCCTGGAGACCAAGTGAGTTTCTATCCATGTTTTAGAGGAGTCAATAACAATTATTTAATTTTTAAAATGCATTTAGAGGACATTTCTGACTAAGAAATTTATATTTCTAAAATGGTCTATGCTACCTGACACAAGTTTTGTCATCAATCCCAGTTGTAAGAGCAAAAAATAATAACTAGTTGATCATTTGGAAAAGTGGCAGAAGGTAGATTTTTCTGATGGATCATCTGTTGAACTGCATCCCAATCATCACAAATAATGCAGAAGACCTACTGGAACCCAAGATTCTCACAGAAATCAGTCAAGTTTGCTGAAGGAAAAATCATGGTTTAGGGTTACATTTTGTATAAATACAAATTCTTCAGCAGGACAGCGCTCCTTCTCATCCTTCAGCCTCCACATTAAAGTTCCTGAAAGCAAAGAAGGTCAAGGTGCTCCAGGATTGGCCAGCCCAGTCACCAGATAATGAATATTATTGAGCATGTCTGGGGTTAGATGGAGGAGACATTGAAGATAAATCCAAAGAATCTAGATGAACTCTGGGAGTCCTGCAGGAACGCTTTCTTTGCCATTCCAGATGACTTTATTAATAAGTGATTTGAGAAGATATGTATAAATGCAGTCCTCCAAGCTCATGGGAGTCATACACAATATTCATTATTTTTCTACTGCAGCATGACTTTATATTCTGTACTGTGCATTGTTTCTGTTAAGTGACAAGACTTTTGTCTAGCAAAGTCAGACCTTACTGTCCTAATGAAATAATTAAAAATCAAAGCATGATCATATTTTGTTTTGGTCAAATAAGAGTAATCTAGAGGCCTTTGCTTTTCAAATAAGTCACTCCTGATACCAAATGATCAACTAGAAGTCAAGTTATTATTTGTTGTTTCTAAAACTTGAATAGGTGACAAGAATTTTGGCAGGTAGTGTACTTCCCAAAGCTTCCAGCTATTTTCATGTGGATTTCTCAGTCTTTCTTTATTTGGAGAAATTAACTTATGACCTCAACCACAAACAGAACAAATTCAGGAGACTTTGGGAACCTCTCCAATTCTTCCCACATAAACTTTGACATTTTTATTTTAAGAAAGCACTGGCTTCTATAATTTAATTGGAAGTGCTTTGGGTTTGTTTGTTTAGCTGATTGTCTGTTTTAGTGTTTGCTATCTGAAAATCCTTAATAATAATAAGTATAATAATAATAATAAGAATAATAATAATAATAAAAATAATAATAAAAATGGATTTAAAACATTACTGGGACCATATTAAAAGTGCAGTAACATTTGCATTGACGGTTAAAAGGACAGTTTTACCCATCAGCATCCCCCCACCTCCCCATTTATGCCATGATTTACTCATCCTCCACATGTTCCAAACGTGTGAAAACAAAACTAAATATTAAGAAGTATGTTGGAAAGCAGCAGCCTACCATAGTGTTTTTGTTCCTACTATAATTGTCAGTGTTTTTTTTCCCCAACATTCTTCAGAATATCTTGTTTTGTGTTTAACAGATGAGAGAAATTTATAAAAGTTTTGAACCTCATGAGTGTTAGTAAACAAATGGTGAGGAATTTTTTATTTTGGAGTGTAATTTACCACCATTTTGTGGGACAAATCTGTAAACATAGAAAGAAGAATATAACCAGGTTGAGTAAGTAGAAAAAGCAACTTTACCTACGCAAATTTGGTGTCAGATTCAAATGTTCTAGAATAAACATATACAGCGCTCAGCATAATTGAGTACACCCCATTTTGAAAATGAATTTCTCAGTGAATATAGGCAACGTATTTGGTGCATTTGAACAAAACAGATTTATTAAACAGATATATTTATTAAAATAATATTTTAGTCACCAAACATGTTTAGAAATTAAAAGATAATAGAATTAAATTCAAGCAAAATATTACAAAAAAAATTTACAACCTACAAAATTTCAACTAAATTTTTCACATTTTTGCTTCTCTTGACCGTTATCGTAAGTTCCAGATTTGACTTCAGTACTGATCTAAAGATATGCACAAAGATAATATTGTATAGCTTCCTATTAAAAAGATTCATTTAAAAAATAGATTTGTTAGGGATGTATATTGAGCACTGTATATTTTTTTTAAATACATCTTCATTATTTCCATATTTTATTCATGGTCTTTTACCAGATTTGTTTGCACATTATCTACGATTACATGGTCACTCATAGTTTCAGTCTGAATAAGTTCAATGCTGATTGAATTATCCAAACAGTGTTTACATCAATGCTAAATAAAGGGATTGGGTTTATGCGTATATTTATATTTCACAAGCTTCGGATCGTATTTGATCTGACATGTCCACACAGCATGGATATTGGGTTTCCTGCTGTTTCAAGATGTGCATTCAAGCAAATCCGTCTGCTCATTTCCGTTGTTTTAAAAAGGAGACATTTATTTATCTGCTTTGGGAGATGATAAAGTGTAATGCCGCACTGTTTTTATTTATCAAGTGCGTACAAATACCCCATCCCACAATCGAAGGGCAACATTGCCATACACCACCTTACAGACAGCGGAAGACATTTGAAATGACACACTAGTTATTTTCCATGATATTGTGTTCAACAAGCACATAATGCCAAGACGGGCTCATTGTAAATAATAGAGTTACCCAAACATTTCAGCTCATGAACCCGAAAATAACAATGCCAGTGACACGCGAGCCCACATTATCCTTGGAGATTGATATAAATATACCAACGGTGCACACACACCAATAAGCCTACATAAACACAAACATATTGGTGATACAAAAAATGCAACAGTCTAACAACCATATATTATTTAATAGTATTGTATTCCTTTGTTTAATCAACATTAAATTCAACTAATTCAAGTTTTAGTTTACATGTATAGCTCTTTTTACAGTAATCATTATTCAAAAGCTGCTTCACAAAAGCTGCACCTAATCACATTGCAGTCAGTATCAGAAAAGTTAAAGAGTTATGTAAAGGGTTGATAGTGTATAAGTGTAGTTACTTATACAGTATATATGTAATATTTACATGTTATAGTAATACATAATACATGTTCAGTGTAGTGTATTTGTTTATTAAGCGTTTGTTGTCCTCGGAGATCTCAGATGCACAAGATATTTGTGTAATGTGAAAGAATGCATTTAAAGAGTTGAATTTAACTGTATCCTGCTGTTATGTGATTCGTTGTGTATATGCTTTACTAAAAAGATCTAGAAAGTGTGTCTAAGCCTCTGATATTATCAGGAAGGAACCATATATGAAAATGCTCAACCTCCTTTAGTGGACTTTGCTATTCTAGGTACTACCAAAAGCCCTGAGATTTGAAACCTTAAAGAGTGGGTAAGATTGTAGTGAGACAGAAGGTTGGTAAGATAAACAGGAGCTAGACTATTTAAAGCCTCATATGTAAGAAGCAAAATTTTTATAATCAATACAGAACTTAATTGGCAGCCAGTGTAATAAAATGGGTGGCCACAATGTTTGGTTCAATAATGACCTGTATTTTTTTTTAATACGTGAGTGCCAATAAAGGTATCAGAAAGTTTAACATCATGCCGTAAAATTGATCTGCTGCAACAGACACTATTTTCTGTGTCGTTAATGAAATGTAATCGCCCAAGGGATCACAATTGAACAAAAAAAGGCAGATGTCTTTTTATCTGCTCATTGTTGTTTTTATGTAAACTTTTAATGACTATTTTACCCTTTCTTTGTTATGGTTAAAATATAATAGTTCTAATTTATAAAATTTTTGGAAATCACCAAGCGACAAGCGATCACCAGTGCAGGGCTCAACACTGCACGGTGGCCCAGGGCTAGCGTTAGAGACTCTTGGGACAGTAGACCGGATCATTACTGGCCCGATTGGGACAGTGCTGCCTTGTCACTAAAGTTTAATTTGTCTGTGACTATTTGTCAGTTGCGTTTGATTTAAGTTTGTGCTTTTAATCTTTAAACACTACCTTCTCTGTGATGTCGTGAACACCATATTGCTTTCTGGTTCCTCTTATCTAATTGACCATGCTATTTTTTTCTGTAACCTGGTAACAACCAGTACAACGAAGAAACGGCAACATGGCGGCAACATCAAATTATAAGGATTAAAGAAAATGTCTGTTTCTAATGTCTTGAAAGTAGACATTTACCTGGGAACAGCACGACAAAATAAAAATAAAGTGACGTATTGCACAGTTTGCTGTCAGTTTGACAAGTCAGCCACCTTTTGTTAAATAATTTCAAGCCGCAATAAAATACCTCCACATTTTCCATACGGCTATTTTTTTTTCCATACGGCTCTTTTTTTTTTTTTTTGCATAACACTTTTATTTACATTTTTTTTTAAGTATTGAAATTCTACATTCACAGACTTTATTTTTGACACATTATTTAAAATATGTGGCTAAAAAATCGCTATTAACTTCCCTTTTTTTTCTTGGTGGGGCCAGGGAAAATTTTGGCAGGGCAAGTAAAAATTTGAACCACCTGCCCGATCGGACCAGTAAAAAAAATCCATATCGTTGAACCCTGCAGTGGGTCCCAAACTCTACTTTAGGAACCACTGCTTTAGCCTACATTTTTCATGAAACTGCAAAAACTTTCAAATATATGTTTTACTGCAGTTTATAGGTTAAATGAACGCTATGAGGCAATATGACACCAACATTTTTTGTTCCTTTTAACAATAATGATATTTATAGGAACGTTATTGACAGATGGATTTTTGTGCACAACAACAAATTATTGCAAGAAACATGATCTAATCTATGATTTGTAATTGAATACGTTTGCCTCACCTATTTCCAGATGGTCAACTTTATTAGCATGGTCAGTTTGTTCGTAGCTCATTTTGTATAATGTTGTACTTGTGGTGAAGAGTGTTTTGGTTTGAGTCTGGCGAAGCACGGTTTCACAAAAGAGATAAAAAATGTAAAATCCAGATAAATTATTAGGTCGCAGAGCATTTTTTTCTCTTACATTTGCTCTTGAAAACACAATTGGTTGGGAATAGCGAAAAGTTTAAGGAAATAGGACACTAGGTGGTCTGTACAACAAGCCCTGCCTTCTCGTGGACAACATATATCTGAAATGTACAACAAATTGTATCCCAAGGAATATATTCACAAAACTGTAAACAGTGCCCTCTAGTGGATTTGTGATGTGAAACGTGCCATGTGAAATGTACCCGGAGCAATGTATTTTAAAAAAAAAAGTAGGCTGAAGCGAGGTGACAAACCTGACTTGTATTACTTTGAAAATGTACTTAGATCTTTGCTTTGCTGCTCAGCTGAGATTTATCTAAAGCATCTGCAAAGGAACTATCAGAAAAATAAACATTCGACCTTTGGGTTTTGGCGGCATGACTCTAACTGACACTTGACCTTGACTTTTCCCTAAATCTCTGCAATTGAATTTCTGGAATTTAGAGTGATCTTGAGGTATAGCAGTATAATAACATCGTATAAGGCTTTTATTGTTGCCTCATAACTTCAGTTCAGTGGTGGGCCACACACTCTCTGCATTTGTCACATCGACTAAAATGGCAACACATGAAAAAAGACTTAAACTATTTACAGACGCACAGAAGAATAACATGTTGTTTTAATAGAAAGGCCTTTCACTCCTCTCTCTCTATTGTGCTTTTAATCTTTCTTGGTGTTTGTTATGGCTCTCTACAAGGAGAGCTTCCAATGCTAATGGCATATTTATTGTAATGGATTTTTTCCTCCTTTATTCTTTTCATTTTGTCTCTCCGCAGGGAGAAAGAGGACCGGATGGAAGTCCAGGTGCCAAAGGTTATCCTGGCAGGCAGGTGCAGTAAATCTTCCGTTGTGCCGCTGTGCTCACAGATACGAGTTTTATATGAGGCTCACAGTGTCAGGGCTTGTATTGGAGACCAAAAGAGCTTGCTCTGCCAGCATGACCACTTGTTTTGACATCACTTTTGAAAAATGAGAATTGTTTTTGGAATCATAAAGCAATGAAAATGGATTTTAGATTTTGAGTTTATGTTCTAACACTAAATTCATCACTTTTTTTGGGTGCCAAATGCATGAATGATGTCTAATTTTTGGAAAGGTCATTTGCTAAACATAATTCTCCCACTTTTGATAGATGCTCTCCCGCTGGGTGTAAATGTGATCAACCTCAGGTTTTCATTGTGAACTACCAGATTCCCATGTTTAGGGAAGCAGATAAAACTTGCCAACTAAACATTTTTGGTACACTGTAAAACCCAACAGTTAACTTTATCAAATGAAATGAGTGTAGTTAACTCAAAATTGACTGAAAGTTAATTCTACTCATTTTAAAAGAGTTTTGAACTCAGTGTTGAAGGTAATGAGGTAATTAAATACCTCATTACTTAAATGAACAACTTAAATGGAGTAAGTTTACAGTACTCATATAGATTAGTTTACTGAAATGGTTTGTAGCAATCGGTTTCCTCAAATGGTTTCAGTTGCCTTAACTTGTTAGGTTTTACAGTACTCAGTTAGTTTGAGTTCTCTTCATTTATTGGGTTTTACTGTGCTCAAATTGCTTCATTTACTCAAATGGATTAGGTTCACAGTACTCTTTAGGATTAGTTTTTTAACTTAAATGGTTTGTTACCAGGGCTTTACATTAACACCCGCCAACCTGCCAAATGCAGGTAGATTTTGGCGGTGGCGGTAAGACAGACACTCCCACTAGCCACTTTGGCTGGTTGAAAATAATTTTCCCAGATAATAATTCTTAAAAGCAGGTTTCGACAATAAGGATGGTCCAATATGCCTACACAGGCGATCGAGAAGCAACACGACTGACAAAAATAATTGCGTTCGCAACTTCGTGCGAGCAAAGCTGGTAAGGTGATGCGCACAACGCGTGTTTATAACGTGTGTGCGCTCCCGTTTCCTTTTGTGAAGCAACTGAGTCTAGAAACACAACTGATGAGATCGATTCTCTTTCAAATAGACTGAACAAAAAGGGAGGAACAGTCTTGTCTTGCTGCTTTCAAGAGTTCCAGAGTTGACTTATTGTAAGCAGTGCCAGTTTTGTGCAAGCTTTCGGTTTAGCCATTCTTTGAAAAGATAATTTATGTTTTCTTTACGTTACGTTAATTATCATTAACCATGCGTGTGTGATCATCCTTTTATTATTACACAGTATGTTTTTACCTGCTTTTTTTTTGCATTAATATGGTTTAATTATATATTTTTTACAATAACATTGCTTTAATGGGAGAATAACTCCCCATTTATGTGTAGTTAACTGGTGATCTGGGACCTTTAGCCAGGACATATGACTGTGCATATGTTTTGTTAAATAAAAAGTATAGTATTCAGCTATATTTTGCATGTTTTTACGCATTTAAAATTTGTGGCTAAGAAATAACTAACTGTTTATTTATGACCCATTTGCTCATGATTATTGAGCAAGCTCATACACGACACACAAAAAGTGAAATGAATGAGGAGTCATTTAGAGATAACGCAAACTCTAAATCAAGTAATTTAGAATGTCAAAGTCATATTTATGTGTATAAAATATATTTTCCCAACAATAAAGTTGTGGCTAGTGAAAATGGTGAGTGGCTAGTAATGTTGGAAAACTACTAGCCACAGTGGCTGGTGGTCAAAAAAGTTAATGTTAAGCCCTGTTTGTTACATTCGGTTTCCTCAAACGGATTACCCTAACTTATTTGGTCTTACTGTGTAGCCTTCAGTTTTAATCAATTGAATTCAAGTGAGGTGATTGGCTCGGCCATTCCACAAGCTTGATTTCTTTCTCTAAAGCATTTGTGAGTTTCATTGGCTGTGTTTTGGATCATTGTCTTGCTAAAATGTCCACCCTCGCTTCATCTTTATCATCCTGATAATGTACTGTAGATGTTGGACTGAAGCATCTAAAGGGCAGATGGTTGATGAAGAATTACTGAGAGATTTTGGCTGCTGTCTGGGCTTTCACTGTCTTTCTACACCTTATTTTCCTTATGTATTCAATACTTTTCCCCTCTGCCATTTCCTACATAACTTAATTTGTAAACTAATTAGTTTTGTTTTCTTTGCATATATGGATTTCTTGGGTTTTTACCAACATCCGTCAAGTCAACAGTACCTTTAGAAATGATTTCTGAGAAAAATGGTGACGTGTTCAATACTTATTTCCCCCCACAGTGCAACTTCAACTTCTACATTAGTCATGCTCTAGAAAATCCTTCCCTAATTTAGTTTTACTTAAACATTCTTGGGTGTGTTATTTACAGACTTACAGAGATTCACCTGGCATTGCTTTATTTAATGTTTCCCTTTTCGTGGCCAAGTTAGAGTGCTCAAAACTGGCACATCCCAGTTCAGATTATGCCGAAGTTTTGGCACATCTGTGGTTGAAATTGTGAGAAGTTTTGTTTTACAGTTCAAATATGTCCTCAGGATAACACCTGATTAATTTTAATTACTTTCTACTGGCCACCTGTTCGGCCCCATCTCCAATCTGTTCCTCAATTATCAATCTGTCAGTTTTATTAATGGTGTTATGCATCGTATCTTCTTGTTTTCTATTCCTTAAGCATATTTGCATAATTGCATGAGTTAGTTTTGAGTTTGAGGTTTTTGAACATTTAGTTCCCTTCAATTACCATGGTAATTTCTGATGTTCTGATTTAAATAATGTGATCACAATGTATTATCCAACCCAGGCTCATTCTGAAAATGTACCTTTATATACATTTCTGTAGAGCGACAAATACATCCAAGGAGCTACGTTTTTTGCAGTTTTTGTTTTAATACATCCATCAGAGGCCGCTGTGTACGCTTTTCAGATCTCAAATTTCCCATGCGAGTGCCATTAACACCTGCTGTTCTTGTGTAAATCCACCAGAGGCCACTGTCGACAGACTCACTGATTTACCGACTAATCGACTGAACCAACCAATAGCAGACATCCCAAGTTGAGAAAAGTCATTTCCGTGGGAGACACAGTTGATTAGCTGGAAGTTGCGGGAGAGTTGGTGCCTTAAAAGAGGGGGTGGGGGGGTAGGTGAGTGAGCGACGCGTCTGAATAGGGGCGTGTGAGCGTGAGACGTACCTAAGGAGCGGGGGTGGTGAGTTGCGTAGGACATACCTGAAGAGCTGGGAGAGACGCGGTGGAGAGAGATGTGTGAAGTATTTAAGGACCGGGCGGGAGATGTGTGATTTCCAGGAGACTATCAATTATTTGCGGGCATCCTGGAGTCTCTATGCATTTGCGGATATTCACGCAACTTCCGAGAAGACTTGGGATGCCTGCAATAGTGTTTTCAATAACACAGATTGTCCCGCCTACTCACCTCCCTAAACCCAACCAACAGTTTTAAAAAGCAATCCAGAAAAAGAAAAGCCCTCGCCTTATTTTTTACCACGTTTTCATATTTTACCACATCCTCAAGCTGTTATTTACTTGTTTATTTCGTTTTTTGGCTTCTGTTTTCGTCTTACTGGCTTTCTGGAACCGTTCTTTACCGGACTCGAACCCCGTCGTTGTGGTCAACTCCTCTTTGTGTCTCAAGTCTGCCAACATACACGGCGAGTTGGACAAACCGGAAAGCCATCCACATGGAGGTAAGCGGTCAGCTGGTAAGCGCGTAAAAGAACAGCGTCAAACCACCCTGTAGCGTTCGTTTTAATGACAAAATGCTGCCATACGTACTTTTGGCTACATAATTTGAGATGTCCAGAAACGTACATAGGGCTACGTTTTCAGAATGAGCCTTTGTTGGTGTTATCATTGGTTCAGTCTGCAGGGTTGAATTTAGCATTTTCTGTGTTTTTGTAGGGCTTACCTGGGCCTATAGGAAATATGGGACCAAAAGGCGTACGGGTAAGAGACAAATAACACACACAAACTTTCTAAAAGCCTGTGTACAGTACATAAACTGTGTTGTCTTCAAGTGATGCTAAGTGATATGTTTTATTAATGTATAATTTAGTCTGATTATAATTTAATCTTCTTATATTGGCTCAATACAGTTAGGATAAGATGTTTTGCATTCCATGTTTTGCTCGTACAGCACATATAAATCAACTTTAAAGCGATTGAGGATTTATGTTTATGAAATTTTGCCAGGCTGCTACATTTTTGATACCAAAGCATTGTTTTCCAGTTTGGAAACTCTGAACGGCACCAGAAAAGGAAATGACTGTAGACATTTAGGCATCAGTTATTTGGCGTTGTTTTCATTATAAAACATCAAGTAATGTATTCCAGAGTCAGCTGGTTTTTACATTATTATTCCACTAAAATTTTAAAACCAGTTTGGTCTTGTAAAAGTAGATGGCAGAAGTATACATCCGAAGTCTTTTTCCTCATGATATTCTTTCTGGCCTTAGTGTTAGAAATATTTAATCTATTAGTGGTTTTACTGTAAGTGGAACTGTTTTTAATGTTTTTGCAATGTTTTTTGTTCAATACATAAATGGGCTATATACACAGCTAGTGTTTTTCAGCCAATGATAAACTTCTGATGAAATGTTAATGTGACTTTTTTTAATTTCACAATGTTCCTTTTACAGCATCGGTGATGTAATATAATTAATATGCAATCAGTTAAATAGACTTATGCCTCATTCAGACTAGCAGTGACTTTGTAGCTGTCTGTCGCTCAAACTTAGGTCTGTGTAGGCATATACAGCACTAATACAACTGACCTCTGAGAGAGCTGAGAGAGGATCACGTGAGCTCTACTGGTGCTTCTATTGGTTGTCACTTAAGAAAGTCGCTGTTCATTTGCATAAAGTTAAAGGATTCTCAACAACATCCCCTTTCACACAGTCATATCTCTAAATATCCAGAAAATTTCCGGAACGGCTTTACCCTCACACGGGTGAGGACATTACAGAATTTTTCCAGAAAAGACCATTCACCAATCCATTCCAAAATACCTGTAAATTCTGCATTTTTATTGATTTATTTATTTATTTATTTTTGCACAGTTAGCATTAATAATGAACATAGAACCAATACCTGACTAACATCTAGCAGCTAAATGTGTATGGAAAAGTAATTACAGGCTTTTATAAACAGTTATTAATGTGTCTGAGTGTTCTGATTGGCTAAAGTAGATGTCTCATGTCAGCCCGTTCTAGATGTGAACGTGCTCTTTCCGGCGATCTTCCTACTGCGTTCACACAACACAGCATTCTGGCAAATTACCGGTAATGTTACAACTTCTCTTTCTAGAAAATTGCCGTTTTTTTCAAAAAGGGCCTGTTTACACATACAGACCTTTTCAAAAAAAATTTCCGGATTGGTCTGTATGTGCGAAAGGGGCTTTTGTCGCATCCCTCGACACGCCCACCTGGTCGCTAATAGTTGCTGTTGCTCGCATAGACAGAGGTCGCCAGAAGTCGCTCGCTCTCCATTAAAATGAATGGTCACTTGTCGCTTTGCCGCTGCAAGTCACTTGTAGTGCGAATGAGGCTTTAAGCATTCATTTAGTTGTTCAAGCGTAAAACGAGACGAAAGGTTTTTAAAGAAATCAGATTTTGTAATGGCACGACAATTAACCAGAAGCGATTGGGTTGGCTGACTGAAAATTAAAAGTCTGTGTGCATATACCCCATTGAATTCTCATATTGCTTTTTATTATCATCATCATCATCAATCCATAAAGTGCATCATTGACTCATCACTCATGTCTTTTTCTCTTCAAGATCTCATTGTATGTTCATCTGTATTAACTCTGTGACCCACCCTTAGCCATCCTGCCGAATGCCCGTGTGATCCCTGGTGTGAGGGTATGTGCCCTTGGACTACATCGTGGAAGCCAGCACCATGCAGTCCATGGGCATATACACTTGCCTCAAGGCCTAGATCTTCACCGAGCGACCGCTGTCCTCAAAACGACCTTTTTCATGTCAGTCTGCAAGTTCAGCAAGTGGTGTTTGGATCAGAATCAGCCTAAAGTCTGTCTGTTTGCTTCTTGTGTTCTTACACTCCCCTGTTTTAGGGCTTCATTGGAATCCCAGGCATCTTCGGTCTCCCTGGAGCTGACGGAGAAAGAGTGAGTGTTGCTGTTTGTGGTCTTAAAAATACACACTTTTGTTGCTTGTTTTGCTGCTACTTATTTAAAATGAGTTTTTTGAGGGGGATAACTTAATTGTTTTATGTTGAATCAACTTAAATTTGTAAAAAATAGTTAACTTAATTGATTTGTGTTGGGGCAACATGAAGGAATTGTGTGGAACTCAGCATGTTTTACAGTGTGGTAATACACTCACCGGCCACTTTATTAGGTACACCTGTCCAACTGTTTGTTAACGCAAATTTCTAATCAGCCAATCAGTGGAATATTCTGATGAATATTTGCAGTGCCTTGTTGAATCTATGCCATGAAGGATTAAGGCAGTTCTGAAGGCGAAAGGGAGTCTGTTACTAGTAAGGTGTACCTAATAAAGGTGTACCTAATAAAGTGGCCGGTGAGTGTATATTGCTAATTAAAAAGATTTACCAAATCACCTGGGTTTTGCACCAGCTGTTTGTAAGTCCTTGCTTTTGTCCATGCTAGAGGATTAGTAACTACCAGCTTGTTTGTAACAACATGCTCTTAAAGGGATAGTTCCCCTAAAAATGAAAATTTGTTCGCTATTTACTCATCCTCATGTGGATTCAAACCTATTGTTCATGTTTGTAAATACATGAACTAATGAAACTTTATTGTAAAGTACGACCCAAATAACTATTACAGGGTCTGACCAAGAAGATAAGAATCAACCAGCAAAGCACAAAGAAAAATAACAGATTCAGTGCACTCTGAGCTCAAATTCACTCACTCGTTTTCATTCTCTCCTTTTAGGGTGCTTTCACACCTGTGAATCGATTCAGTTGTTCCGAAACAGAGATTAAAATTGTTACATTGTTGCTCTTTGCTCTTGGAGCAGTTCGCTTTCACACTGCAAAGTTTCTAATCAGACCAAAAGAGCTAAAACAAGTCACGTGCGAGTAAAATCTCCTCACATTGGTCAGAGTGTCAGGGTTTATTTTGCAGCGTCCCGCTCAGCTGTCAGGAGAGGTGGTGGTTTGGTGGTGATTGACAGGGTGCGCGCGCGCGATGTGTCTGAGGAGAGACACGGTGGGGAGGGGTGAGAAGGGTGCGCGACGATGCCTATTTGAGGACTGAGAGAGAGACGCGAGATTACCGGGAGATCATCCCTCGTTTGCGGGCATCCGGAGACTCGCGAAACTTCCCGCCCTACTCATAATTCTCTCTTCATATGGCCGTATGCCTATTACATATTCATAAAACACTGTGATATAACCGCGCTCGGATCGGATCGCTTTCTCACTGCAATCGAACCGCTCCAGGGTTCGTTTCAATCGAGCCGAGACCACCTCATTCAAGCGATCTCGGAGCGATTACTTTGGCGCGGAACAGAGCGCGATTGCCCTGTTCACATATGCCAATCGAACCGCGCTAACTGGGCAAACGAGACACATTCCGAAACAAAAGTGTAGGTGTGAAAGCACCCTAAGTGTATATATATAGGGGGTGATTTCGGAAATGGCATTAGTCTCTTTATGTCATAACTAAGCTATGTTTTAACTGTTTTAACAGCCCCTAATGTCAGATGTGATCATACAATGGGCAAATTACAAAATGGTAACTTTATAAATGATACATTTTGGCACGTTCTAGACACATACTGTGCTAAAAAACATATTAAGTACAACTGTTTTTAACAAATTACACATTAAAGTCCAGCCAAAGTCTTTAGTAAAACAATGTGGCATGATGGAGACATAGTCTTGCTTTTTTAGCCGTCCCTAGAGGACATATAAACAGAGCAATGCCCACACTCTTACACATATGCTATACATCATTCTCCTTTATTATAGTCACTTGTAAATTCAAAGCACTTGCTTTGAATAGGAACCATGGTGAAAGGGGCACGCTCCGCTAAAACCACAGAGATCCCCCCTTCAAAACAGTAGTTAGTTTCAGTTCTCACAATATTTGCTTAAGAACCATGAGCTGGTGAATTCCGGCCCGCCGATACTTTGTGGAAACAGTATTATAAGCCCCTGGGAGCTGGAATATGGCCTGCTGCAGATTAGCCGGATAATGTCTCCTATTTTCAGACCCTGAGGGACAGGGTTCATAGGGATTTGAGAGACCCTTTTGTGTCCAGAAGAATAGGAACTAAAGACCTTTCAGCATTTCCACAGTGTGTTGCATCCAGGGGGATTGGTAGTTGATTAATTCCTCTAATTGTTTGTAATTTTGACCTGTCTTTCTCGTTTTGCTCTCTTAGGGTTTACCTGGTGTTCCTGGGAAGAAGGGCAAGATGGGTAGGCCGGTAAAGTTTTCTCTCACCATCCTCTCTATAGAAAATCTGTGAATGACTGATCTCTTTGTTCAATGATTTGTGACCAGTGGTGGAAAGAGCTTTTTTTTTTCAATTCAATTCAATTCAATTCAATTCAATTCAGCTTTATTTGTATAGCGCTTTTACAATGTAGATTGTGTCAAAGCAGCTTCACATAAATGGTCATAGTAACTGGATCAGGGTAGTTTAGTTTTAGTGTTTGAGTTCAGTTCAGTTTAGCTCAGTTCAGTGTGGTTTGGTTAACTAATTGTTAAACTAATTACTTACTAATAGTTACTTTACTTTTACCCAAGTACAAATCAAACCACAGGTCTAGAGCAACCAAACGTAGACCCTTACAGTTTATGAAATCAAATAAATTGTTGGTGGATTTTTTGTACACCACTTTTTACAACTCCCCTAGAGTTAAGGAGTTGAGTTTTACCATTTTGAAATCCATTCATCTGACCTCTGATGGGAGCATTTTTAGCTTAGCTTAGCATAAATCACTGAATCGGATTAGACCATTAGCATCTCGCTCAAAAAATTGTTTTAATTTAAAGCTTGGCTCTGCTGTAGTTACAAAGTGTACTAGGACAGATTTAAAATGAAAAGTTGCTATTTTCTATGCCGATATGTCTAGGAACTATATTCTCATTCTGGCGTAACAGTCAAGGAACTTTGCTGCTGCATCATGGCTGTAGTAGGGGCAATTATACTACACAGCACTGTTATTTTGTTACCTATCTGGGTTCTTTTTGCTGCCTCATTGCTGCCTACTCTTTTTTTATACATGTTTGAATGAGATCCTAAAGGGCTTATCTGATTCAAATAAAAGCTAAGCTAAAAGTGCTACCGCCAGACCCGGACATAGACTGAATGGATGGAGTTGTAAAATGAGCCTATTACCAAAACGTTTTGTGTTATTTTTAGGTTGTATTAAAGCTAGTGCAGTTTAGTAGATGGATGAATGGATAGATGGATGGATGGATGGATGGATGGATGGATGGATGGATGGACGGACGAACGGATGGATGGATGGATGGACGGACAGACGGACGGATAGACAGATAGACGGATGAAAGTATGAATGGATATATGGATTAATAGAGAGACAGACGTATGGATGGATGGATGGATGGATGGATGGATGGATGGATTGATTGATTGAGGGTCAGACGGATGGACAGACAGATAGATGAATGAAAGTATGAAGGATATATGGATTAATAGATGGACGGACGGATGGATGGACGGTTGGACGGACGGATGGATTGATGGATGGATGGATGGATTGATTGACAGACAGACAGACAGACAGACGGATGGATAGATGGATGGACGGAAAGACAGACAGACAGTCAGATAGATAGATAGATAGATAGATAGATAGATAGATAGATAGATAGATAGATAGATAGATAGATAGATAGATAGATAGATAGATAGATAGATAGATAGATAGATAGATAGATAGATAGATGAATGGAAGTATAAATGGATAAATGTATTAATAGACAGAGGAATAGAGAGAGAGGCATGCAGACCGTCAGAAAGAACTGTTTTGCATTACGCCCTTTATATAAGTAATAATGCAACTGTTATTTGTCAATGTTCCCAGACAGTCTGATCTGACAGTAGACAGAGCTATTCTTTCATTTTGCTTGGATAAATAATGCAAAATCACCACTAATTATTAGCAAAAACTCTTTACCATCTGTGCGCCCATAATCATTTCCTATTTACCAAAATGACACTGGCGCTCTGAGTCCGTTTGTTTTTCAAAAGAACTAGACATTAAGAATTCAAGCTCATCTTTTTTCCAAAACAACTACCAATTATGCGCAGTCCTCTCTGGAGCACAAACGCCGGTGCCAAGCACAGATTCATCTGTTCCTAATAAACGATTCTTGATTCTTGAGTTCTCTGATAGGCAGCACTCTTTTTGATAGGCAGCCGTAACTTACTGTTTGCCTTGCTGAAGGACAAATAAAGATCTCCACACAGCAACAAGTGTTGACTTTGGCCTTAAGACAAGCACACTTTTAGCACACCGTGGAGCGCAGCGTCATTGCTCTTGTCTTCTTATATAACTTAACAGTAGATGGAAGGGAAACAGCGCTGTCAGCGAATCCCTTTTCTCGCTGCTCCTGGTCGTTGCCAGTGTAAGGAAACACTCAGCCATGGAATTTCCTGCAGGGCTGACAGAGACGAGAACTGCGCTTGTTTCTGTGACTCGGCACCAGGCTCTGTTTTCACAACAACAACAAAAAAGCAGCCATACTCTCAAACAATAAAGATTGCTGTTTGTTCAAACTACTTATTAAAATGAGTTGAAACAACACAATTCTTGAGGGGATTTTTTTTGTACTACTTAATTGTTTTATGTTTATTCATTCATTCATTTTCTTTTCGGCTTAGTCCCTTTATTAATATGGGGTCGCCAAAGCGGAATAAACCACCAACTTATCCAGCACGTTTTTACACAGCGGATGCCCTTCCAGCCGCAACCCATCTCAAGGGCGGACTGGGACAAAAATTCAGCCCTGGCACTGTAGCCACATCAGCCCACATTACCACACCGACACAGCCCCACCCACGGACACGCACATTCACTATTTACTTTGGTGTACAGATATATATAAGACATTCTTGCCAGATTTTGATTACGTCCGGGTAACCTTGGATTGGGTCGGCCCATCTTGAAATTAGACGGCCGTCGCCGATTGGGCCAAATGCATTTATTATTATTTATTAATAATAACATTTATTATTATTCTTTTTTATTTATTTTTATTATTTATGTTTTTTATTTATCATCATCATAATATCACATCTAGCAAGAGATAAAAGCTGCCTGCACGTAAAAACAATAAAAAAAATGTAAATAATAATTAAAAAAAACTGACCGGCTCACATTTAAAAATTGGTCCGGCCCTTCTGGCATTTGCCAGAATTGCCAGATGGCCAGTCCGCCCCTGACCCATCTCTAACCAAACACATTAAAGTATTTGAATGCAAGTACATTTTAGTTAAGGCCACCTAATATAAAGTGGGAGCCTTTCGTTCACACACACCCAAACTGTAAAAAATGCAATAATATACAAAAACCATACATTTTAGCTTGATTTCCACATACTTAAATACTACAAATTTGGCCTCTAATGTATCCCTCTAAACCACTTTAGTGAAATGAACTACACTACAGGGTCTTCTACATTGTGTTTTGGCTTTGTAAGACAAATAGTTTAAGGTTAAAAACTACTCTGTCTTATTGCTACTTTCCTGTTTGAAATCCAGTTTTTCAATATCCCGTGATTATGGAGTGGTTCTGGTGTAACAGAGCTTTGCACAGGGATTAGAGCGAAGAGACAGTGTTTACTATGTGGGCAACTGGAAAGAGCAATGTAAAAAAACTGGTATCTGCCCTTAGTTTAAGTGCGGTTTCTCCGTGTTTTGCTCTGCTAAGCTCTGCTGTCTCTCACATTTGTGTGCTTAGGGCTTTCCAGGAGATTTTGGGGAGCGAGGACCACCAGGACCTGATGGAAACCCAGTAAGTAATTCTACATCGCCGTTTAGCCTACTGCCATCATTGGGGAAATGCAGGCTTTTTAATACTCAGAGACTTTTAGTTCACTTTTTAGTTCATCTGAATATTGCCACACACCAGGAAAACTGCTCACACTGCAAAATATTGTGAAATACGAGAAATAAATAAAGGATTTAAGAAGATACAGACAAGAAACAAGTCAAATTATATGGCAGTGCAGTAAAATAATTATACCTGGTTGGATTTCTTGACTTAAGATTTAAACTTTAACTACTAAAACTACAACAAAACATAACACGATTTTATTACTAAAAAACAATTATGAATGTGACTGAAAATGTATAAATTTATGAAAATACTGACTAGAAACAAATCAAATTATCTGGCTGTGCAGTAAAATAATTATTCCTCTATTTCTTGGGGAAAAAATTTACCTACGCTTAAGAAAAAAGACTTTAAATAAGTATTATAACATTTAATGTTTTTAGTCTAATTATCTTAAAACTAGCTTGATAATTGCTTCCAAAACAGTTTTTAATGAAAATGTCTTAAAACTAGAGTTTCTAAACAGGAGAATTCCTCTGAATTTAAGAATTGTCATTATATATTCTCCTGTCTTGTGTATTTCAGCTTAAAACAAGATTATTGAATGAAATTAGAATTAAATCAGGATCAGACACACACATGCATTTTTTTTATTCTGATTAGGTCTTAACAGTAGTTACAGTGTAAAATTATTACTCATTGCTTCTTTACTGAAACTTACTACAACAAAACAAGATTTTGTCACTAAAGAACAAGTATGAATGTCACTGTTGTATATGTAAGATTAGTATTAGTGTATAGAAATATTGCTACACACCAGAAACACAGGAAAACATGTTTACACTGCAAAAAAATAACAAAATACAAGAATTAAATGAATGATTTGAGAAGATACAGTCTAGAAACAAGTCAAATTATCTAGCAGCGCAGTAAAATAATTATACCTGGATTTCTTGGAAAAAAAAAACATACCTACGCTTAAAAAAGACTTAAAATTAAAAAACAAAAAAAAAAACTTAAATTATAACATTCAATGTTTTAGTTTAATTGTCTTAAAACTAGCTTGATAATCGGTTCTTAAACAGTTTTTAATGAAAATGTCTTAAAACTAGAGTTTCTAAACAGGAGAATTCCTCTGAATTGAAGAATTGTCATTATATATTCTCCTGTCTTAAAATTAGACAATGTCTTTCAGCTTAAAACAAGATTATTGAATAAAATTAACATTAAATCAGGATCACACACACGCGCAGATAAATTACGATGTTCGCAAGTAAATAGACACATGTACATTTGGGTTTACTCTCTTCATTCGCGCGTCAAATTAGCTTCAGAACAGACGTGGATTCACGTCATGGGCAGGGTTTTTGTCTGCCCGGTGACTGTAGCTTCATTGTTAAATGGCTAACATGGATATTATTGAGAAAATAACTGTTTTTATGTGCTTTATGATGGCTGAAAAACAGCATTGATTCATTTGGAGTCGTGTCTGACTGCACTAGATCCTTTCAGAGGTGCACCCAGCTCTGTGAGCTCATAAACTCCTCCAGGAACTTAACCTGAATGATGGAAGCATTCAGCGGTGCTTCTGACTGAGCCGAGCCCAGTTTGATGAACTGTTGTCAGTGTAGGCAGGAGAATTTTACCCTGGGACACCACCAACATGCGCTACGTCATGATCACGCCCCTGCAAGAGCAAGCTCCTGATTAGTCAACGCGACAAAAATGTTCGCTGAAGTTCAGTTTTTCCAAGCGATTTGCGCGCCAAACGCGCAAACCATTCAATCGCGCCGCGCCATTCCCACATAGGCTAATTTTAAAAAACTTAGCCCTATGAATGAATTATGTAGCCAGAAGTATGTATGGCTGCATTTCGTCTTTAGAACGAACGTTATGAGGCAGTATGACACCGTTTCTTTTTGCGCTAACAGCTGACCGCGGTCACACTTTACAATAAGGTTCATTAGTTAATGTAAAATTAGAAATTTACTAACATGAACAAACAACGAACAATACATTTACTACCGTATTTGTTCATGTTAGTAAACGTTAGTTAATGAAAATACAGTTGTTCATTGTTTGTTAATGTTAACTCATGGTGCATTAACTAATGTTAACAAGCATGGACTTGGATGTTAATAATGCATTAGTAAATGTTTAATTATGATTAATAAATGCTGTACAAGTGTTGTTCATGATTAGTTCGTGTTAGTAAATGCATTAACTAATGAACCTTATTGTAAAGTTTTACCCTGACCACTTATCTCCATATGGAACGGCTTTCATGCTGTTACCAGTTTATCCAGTTGAGAGGCAGAGAGGAGTTGATCATGATGACAGGGTTCGAGTCTGGCGAAGAACAGGTAAGACAAAAAGAAGCGAAAAAATAAAATAAACAAGTAAATAACAGGGTGAGAATGTGGTAAAATCAGGCAAGGGCTTTTTTTTTTTTAGATTACTTTTTAACACTGTCGGTTGGGTTTATGCAAGAGGGTGGGTAGGTCAGTTAATCGGTCAGTCAGACAGCCAACAGCGGCCTCTGATGGATTTACACGAGAACAGCAGTCGTGAATGGTACGCAGAAGCGTACACAGCAGCCTCTGGTGGATTCGCAAAAACAAAAACTGCAAAAAACATAGCTCCTGGGACGTATTTTGCTCTCTCCAGAAATGTATATAGGGTTACGTTTTCGGAATGAGCCTGGGTTGGACTTAACAGTAGTTACAATGTAAAACTATTACTTGTTGCGGTAACACTTTACAATAAGGTTCATTAATTAATGCATTTACTAACATAAACTAATCATGAACAACACATGTACAGCATTTAATAATCATAATTGAACATTTACTAATGCATTAATAACATCCAAACTCATGCTTGTTAACATTAGTTAATGCACCGTGAGTTAACATGAACTCACAATGAATAACTGTATTTTCATTAACTAATGTTAACTATCATGAACAAATACTGTAGTAAATGTATTGTTCATTGTTTGTTTATGTTAGTAAATGCATTAAGTAACATTAACTAATGAACCTTATTGTAAAGTGTGACCCTTGTTGCTTTTTTAAATATTGAAACTTACTTCACCAAAACATAACGGGAATGTATTTTGTCACTAAAAATCAAGTATAAATGAGACTAAGCATTTTTAATAAGCAAACTTAAAGTTATTGCAGCTAAAATAAAGTCTTAAAAGTACAAATCAGGTCCTAATGTATGTCTCTGATTGTAATTAAGCTGCCTTATTTGAGCTTTACTAAGTAAGAAAAATAAAACTGCTCTTGCCTCGTTTTGTATTCTTAAAATAAGATCAATACAATTTTTGGGGCTAGAAATGAGATTGTAACTCTTGACTATAGATATAAAGGTTTTGCAATTCACCAAAAAGCCTTTCTAAAGCCATCTAGCCTCTGCTTGGCCTTTTCCTGCCTGTCATATACGCACACGGTTATACAAGCTGACCGGGCCACTCAAACCACTACACTCTAATAAATACCTTTGATTTCTGCCACTGCAATAACAAACACAAGCCAGCCAGGCGTCCGATGTATGCCGCTCCACTTTGAATAATGCTGGTAATGAGGAATTCAGCTGTCACTACCGGAGTCTGCAGCACAAATCTGTTTTAGCCATTACAGGGGTTGCTTCACTTTTGATCGTTTTAACATGTTCTTTATCCAATATTTCATCCTTTCTGCCTTATACACGTTTCCATGTACCATAATATTCAAAAATAGGCATTTGCATGTTATGAATTCTTGTTCTGGGATGTAAGTATCGTATAAAATGTGCATTGTCAAATATTATTAGTACAAATCGTAGAAAAGTCAAGTGCAAAACCACATTTCACCAGCTTGTTAATGGTGTTTCTTAAGCCTATCATCACAGTTATTACTGCTCATGTTTATGGTTAGGATTTTGAAACTCTGGGCGGCATGGTGGCTCAGTGGTGAGCACTGTTCTCTCACAGCAAGAAGGTTGCTGATCTGAGTCCCAGCAGGGCCATTTAGTATTACATGTTGGAGTTTGCATGTTCTCCCCTTGTTGGTGTGGGTTTCCTCCAGACGCTCCAGTTTCCCCTAGTCCAATGACTTGTGCTATAGGTGAATTGGGTAAGCTAAATTGTCCGTAGTGTATGTGTGTGAATGAGAATGTATGGGTGTTTCCCAGTCATGGGTTGTAGCTTTAAGGGCATCTGCTGCGTAAAACATATGCTGGATAAGTTGGCGGTTCATTCCACTGTGGCGAACCATGATTAATGAAGGGATTTTATCTGTTCTACGAGCCATGCGTGCACAATATCCGCACAATATAATATTCTTGCACGCGGAAAAGACGCAATATGTAAACAGTCTACTGCTATAGTTAATCCAATGTGCGTGCATATTAGCCTCAGTATGAGCTCGGAACTTTAAACTAGCACACAGATGGCATAACCTTGTTTAGTTGCAGCAGTTTTGATCTCAGCAACAGAAATGCTGTGTAGAGAAGCCTTTACGATGAATTAACCGTACTGAATTAAAGCGCAGTTAATAGTAAAATCGGCTAATCATTGCACCCCTAATATCAATATCAGTGTATTGTACAAAAGGCCTTTTCTACAAACATATCCAAGTGTTTTCGGCTGCCCGCGCCATTCACATAATGTCAGGTGACTCATGCTCTGCGCAGCCTTTAACTGCAGCTTGTGCTGTATTGAACAGACGCACGTCACTTCATAACCATAGTGGCCATTTTTTGACTGAACTAAATTTATTTTTAATGTGTTGGTCGTATTATTTGGAGGGCCACAGGCTGCCAATTGAATAGCCCTGTTTTATGTTTTACATTACATTTAATTATTCAGTTACTGTGCCTGAATATCTGACTGCTGTTATACTCTCCAGAAAACTATAAAGCACTTCTTATTTCACTTTTATTACTTTTTATTTATTTATGCTTGCAGTTTGTTTAATTCATTCATTCATTTTCTTGTTGGCTTAGTCCATTTATTAATCCGGGTTCGCCACAGCAGAATGAACCGCCAACTTATCCAGCAAGTTTTTACGCAGCGGATGCCCTTCCTGCCGCAACCCATCTCTGGGAAACATCCACACACACATTCACACACACACACACTCATACACTAAGGACAATTTAGCCTACCCAATTCACCTGTACCGCATGTCTTTGGACTGTGGGGGAAACCGGAGCACCCGGAGGAAACCCACGCGAAGGCAGGGAGAACATGCGAACTCCACACTGAAACGGCAACTGAGCCGAGGTTCGAACCAGCGACCTTCTTGCTGTGAGGCGACAGCACTCCCTACTGCGCCACTGCCGCGCCCTGTTTAATTCATTACACTACAAAATTATACCAATCCATCTAAATAATGATCTCATCCCAAATTGAGCAAATCAAGTCATCTGGATTATATTTATATCGCAATATCACAGAAAAATTTTATATCGCACATTTTTTCAATATAGTGCAGCCCTACCCCTGACTCTCTCAACCCTAGCTGTACTGTAAAACTAACCCCATCACTAACTTCCAGTTACGCACGCCTTCATTTCAATCCTTCATCGGCGGTCACTCGACAAGAAACATCCATCTGCTCTGTCTCAAAGAACAAGGAGAGCGAAAAACACCCCAGGGATGTTTTTTTTTTTTTGGCCTGTTGTTGAGGGAGGAAGTGGCTGTGGCAGGTAGCAGACGTCCAGTCACGCCACACAACAAGCCCCTCTCTGTCCTCCACAGCGTGTCTCTTTCTCTGGCTCACTGAGGGGTAGATTCAAGCCACAGATTAGCCCACTATCATGGAACAGAGGTTTCACCCCTTCCATAGCCACTGTTGTGCCAGAAATGCTCAGTATCTGCTCTGTTTCTCACAGGGGGAAATCGGCGCCCCGGGGCCTGTTGGCATCCCTGGATTTATTGTGAGTAAACCAATTATAACTTATTCACATCTAAGCTCTTGGGTATGGTTCTTTTCTTGCTGACAGAAGGCACATTTCAATTAAAATCTGCAAAGTCTTCTGATATTTGCTTAAATGTTGATCAACTACTCCATAGGTAATTTCACAGCAAGTTTTTTTTGTGTTAAATAGACATCTGTTAGACATCAAAATAAAGATGTTGTTGCTATATTTGGTTTGTCAGAGAAAATCCAATTGAGGTCCAACAATAGTCTAAAAATAGACTAGTCAATAGACTTGTCATAGACTGGAATAGACAGACTTTACATGTGTAGCCATTCATTCCTGCCTATTGGTCTATTTTTGGGCTATGACTATTGGATTTTCGCTGACAGCCTATTTTTAGCCTTGTTTTAGTCAAGATAACTATGTTTAGATGTCTATTAGATATCTATTAGACTTAGTAGGCACTTTCCATTAAAAATGTGTGACAATGTTTCATATATTTGCATAAATGCTGATTAAAAAAAAATTACTGTATAGGTAATTTGCCAGCATGCATTTTTTTTTAAATGCATCTATTAGACATTTAAATAAAGATGCTGTTGCTATATTCAGTTTGTCAGAGAAAATCCAATTGATGTCTAACAGTAGTCCAAAAATAGACTAGTCTTCAAATATAGAATAGACAAACTTTACATGTGTAGCCATTCACTCCTGCCTATTGGTCTATTTATGGGCTATTCTTAGACGTCTATTGGATTTTCACTGACAGTCCATTTTTAGCCCTGTTTTAGCCAAGATGTCCATGTTTAGATGTCTATTAGATATCTATTAGACTTAGTAGGCACTTTCCATTAAAAATGTTTGACAATGTTTCAGATATTTGCTTAAGTATTGATTAAAAAATTACTGTGCAGGTCATTTGCCAGCAATATATATATATATATATATATATATATTGCGTTTAATAGACATCTATTAGACATCCAAATATAGACGTTGTTGCTAAATCTGGGCAGTCAGTGAAAGTCTGTTGGATTTTTGCTGACAGCTCATTTTTAGCCTTGTTTTAGCCAAGATGTCAATATTCAGATATCTATTAGATGTCTATTAGACATAGTATGCATTTTTCTGATAAAAGTATGATCAAATTTTTCAGATTTTTATTTTTTCATTTTTACACATTATTTTGTGTTTTATAGACATCTGTTAGACATCCAAATATAGAGGTTGTTGCTAATTTTGGGGCTCTTAGTGAAAGTCTAATCGACATCTGACAATAGTCCAAAAATAGACTAGTCATCAAATAGTTAGATTAGACAGGCTTCACATGTGTAGTCGTCATTCATTCCCATCTATTGATAATTAGTCTATTTTTGGGCTATTCTTGGACGTCTATTGGATGTTTGTTGACAACCCGAATTTCATCTATATTGTACATATATTGTATGCAGTGTACAGTTTTATCATGTTAATCCTTTTTATGTTTGATGGCAGGGTGATATGGGCCCTGTTGGAATGGTCGGTCCTCCTGGACTAATAGGACCAAAGGTGATTTCTTCCATTGATAATGAAATCCCTAATCATATTTTGCTCTACACATTTTCTTCAAAAATACTTGTTCAACACGTGTAATGGCTGTATAAATATGGATTATTTTCATTGTAGTGAATATTATAGACAAAGCCATTAAATTAATTGATGATTTGATGTCCGTTTGGTGTCTTGCAGGGTGTCCCAGGAAACCCAGGAGAGCCCGGACTGAAAGGTGATAAGGTGATCTGAATATGCTTTATTAGCTCTCGCTTCTTCTGTTTTTGATTGCATAGACTGAGAACAGCAGAATTTTACAAAATGTCATTATTCAGTTAAGAAAAATCTCAAAAGGTTGAGATCTGTAAGATTCCTCTTAAAAAAAAAAAAAAAACTTCAGAAAATATTAAATGGATTAAAAGTACTTTACATTTTATTAATTTAAACTTCCTAAATATCAATAAATACTGAAAAGAATGTCAAAGCAACTGTTTTTAATACAACCCAAGCTCATTCTGGAAACGTAGCCCCGCGGACGTTTCTGAAGACCGCGATTTACATGGCCGGAGGTACGTACGGCCGCGTTTAGTTTTTTCCGAGCGAACGCTGCGAGGCAGTGTGGCGCCGCTCCGCTCCTCCTCTTCGCGCTCGCGAAGAGCCAACGGCTCGCCTCCGAGTGGAGGGCTTTCCCGCTGCTACCAGTTTGTCCGCTTAGCTCGCAGCGTTACGTCGGCGGAGCGGATGCCCAGACGAGGAGGAGTCGGCCGCGGGGACGAGCGGGATCGAGTCCGGGCAAGAGCGGTTCCAGAAATCAGGTAAGATGAAAAACAGAATCCAAAAAATAAGAGCGAGAACGCGGCGGAATCTGAAAACGCGGTCGAAATCAAAGACGAGGGCTTTTGCTTTTTTTTTCTGGACGGCTTTTGCGAACCGTCGATGGGTTTAGGGAAGGAGGAGGAGGAAGAGAAGGGCGGCCGGGTCGGCCAGCCAGTCGGACGTCGTTCAGCCAGCCAGTCGGACGGCTGGTCGCTCCACAGCGGCCTCCGGCGGCTATTCACTAGAGAACAGCGCGGGCTCAAGACGCGAAAAAGCGCACACAGCGGCCTCTCGCGGATCCGCGAAAACACAAACTGCTCGAATATGTACCTCCCAGGACGTATTTCGCGTTCCGCAGAAACGTCCGCGGGGCTACAATCAATTCAGTGGGTGGGGGGACCGCAAACCTATGTCAAGTCGGTTAGTCTGAAAACCGCTCCAGGTGGTCCACTGTTTTCATGTTGTTAAATTGAAAAAAAGGACTGGGTGTGTTTATATCACCCCAATATGATGGTCTATACACTATACCTACACATATGTCTGCCCAAACAGCTTGAAAAATAGACTTTTCACCATAGGTGCCCTTGTACATGAGAGTATTTGATAAAATAATGATTGATTTTAAATACCTGCATACAGATATTAGAATTACACGGCAAAAAAGCCTCATTAAATCAAATTAAATAAATGACTTCAACTAATTACACCTAAACTGTGATAAATTGGGTAGAAACAAATGAATTCATGTAGTTGTAACATGCTGAATTAATTAGTGTAAGTTTTCACTTTTTACACGGTACCTAATACAGATATAAATGCATACAAAAATGTTATTTATTGTATTAAGGTGATCAATACACTTAATATTGATCATTTTACCCAATATGACAAAAAAAGATTGCTGAATGACTCCTTAGTATTATTAAAAGGTGAAAAGTATGTAAGTTAAATAAACTGTGATATTTTTACTAAGGAGTGCTTTTTAATGTTATATCTGTGCAGGCTGGCCAATCTGTCTCTGGCTCCCCTTTTCTATCACAGTCCATGTGGTTTGCCAGCTGGACAGGTGCTGACAGCCCTGTGCTTATATATCATTATTTTTGCTGCTAGGCTTTGTTTTGGACAGCTTTTCAGATCTCCATGTCTACTGTTGTAAAACTGTAACATGACCATAGATACAGTATCTAGAAAACTTGACTAATTCTGAAATTTAACTGCAGGGACATCCTGACTTAAAGGCCAAAAAGTGATTTTATTTTGTCCCTGTCAACAGGGTGAGCTCGGATTGCCAGGTGAACCCGGGGAACCTGGATTTCAAGGTGACAAGGTATTTCAGCTAATGCTAATGAGATTTTTAATTGGATTTTAAGTTTTTTGCTTGCATTCCAACAGCTGATTTTTTTCTCAAATAATCATGTGCTGATAAATAGCTGCATTTTCTAGGGTATTCAGGGCTCACCGGGTTTACCAGGAGTTCAAGGAAAGCCAGGACCACAGGTTGATTTTTACGTTTTTGTTTATTACTGTTTCTTAAAGGTCCTGTTACGTGCTATGCCGTGTGCAATTTTTATTCAGTAGCTGTGTCCCAAATGGCACACTATACACTACCTGAGTTTTAGGAACAACAAAAAATAACTTGATTTCTCGTTGATCATTTGGTATCAGAAGTGCTATCAGAAGGCAAAGGGCTCTAGATTACGCCTATTTTACCAAAATAAAATATGATCATGCCTTGATTTTTAATTATTTCATTAGGACAGTAAGGTCTGACTTTGCTTAGAAGAGTCTTGTCACTTAACAGAAATAATGTACAGTATAGAATATAAAGTCATGCTGCAGTGGAAAAAGAATGAATATTGTGTATGACTCTCATGAGCTTGGAGGACTGCATCCATACATCTCTGCAATGACTCCAATAACTCATTAAAGTCACCTGGAGTGGCAAAGAAAGAGTTCTTGCAGGACTCCCAGAGTTCATCAAGATTCTTTGGATTCATCTTCAATGCCTCTTCCATCATCTTACCCCAGACTTGCTCAATAATGTTCATATCTGGTGACTGGGCTGGCCAATCCTGGAGCACCTTGAACTTCTTTGCTTTCAGGAACTTTGATTTGGAGGCTGAAGTATGAGAAGGAGCGCTATCCTGCTGAAGAATTTGCCCTCTCCTGGGTTGATGTTGCCATACACTCTGCAGATCTCTCACACGCAACCATACTGAATGTCTATGATTTTTCCTTCACCAAACTTGACTGATTTCTGTGAGAATATTGGGTTTATGCGAGTTCCAATAGGTCTTCGGCAGCATGTGTGATGATTAGGATACAGTTCAACAGATGATTCATCTGAAAAATCTACTTTCTGATGCTTTTCCAAATGATCAACTAGAAGTCATGTTGCTATGTGTTGCACTTACAACTGGGATTGACAATAAGGCTTTTGTCAGGTAGTGTACACTATGTACTTATAAACTGTATAGTATATCTACAATATGTAGTGTCATCCCGAATGGAACACTAATGTTTTTTTTGTACTAAATGGAAATTCAAATCGTTTCCCAGATGACGTTTGACAGTTGCCAAATTAATTAAATAAATGACCAAACTACCAAACAATACCCATCATGAGTATAACTGCATTCACCATCGGGAGGCGGTGTAATAACTCTCATAGGAGAATTTTGCTTTAACAATCTAAAGTAAATAAAGTAATCCAACAACGATGCCCAAAAGCTCCGCCCCTTCCGCTACCTGAGCAAAGCAGCAGCTGTTGAGTACATGAAGTGTCCAACATTCCACACTTCTTTGAATAAGTGCATCATCCGAGTATTTAAAGTGCACTTATTCTTTTTAGAGCAATGGTTTCAAACTCAATTCCTTGAGGGCCACAGCTCTGCATAGTTTATCTCCAACCACCTCCAACTCACACCTGCGTAATAGTCTCTTGTAGTCTTGAACACTTTGATTAGTTGAATCAGCTGTGTTTGATTAGAGTTGGAGCAAAACTGTGCAGAGCTGCAGCCCTCCAGGAAACGAGTTTGAGTCCTATGTTTTAGAGTTTTCAGTGTGAATGCACTACTTACACAATTTATACACAATGGTGTAGAATAGTGCATAAGTATGCAATTTAAGATGCACCTGATGTTTGATGTTATCTCAAATGAAACATGAAAAGAGGTTGAGGCATGGTTAGCTCCTCCCCTTTAAAAAACAGCCAATAGTGTTTTATTTTATCACAGATTTGCCAGTGAGAGTGGTTGAGATCAAGCTAATCAAATGAAAGCAAATGAGAAGCGTTTTGAAAGGGGCGGGACATGCCAGATGCTAGAGAGCATTTGATTGGTCAAGATTTGATGAAACTAAGATTTTGAGAACTGAGATGAAAATGTGAGATTTTGGAACTGAAGTATGAGGTAGTGGCGACGCAGTGGCGCAGTAGGTAGTGCTGCCGCCTCACAGCAAGAAGGTCACTGGTTCGAACCTCAGCTTGGTCAGTTGGCATTTCTGTGTGGAGTTGTTCCATGTTCTCCCTGCATTCGCTTGGGTTTCCTCCGGGTGCTCTGGTTTCCCCCACAGTCCAAAGACATGCGGTACAGGTAAATTGGGTAGGCTAAAAATTCTCCGTAGTGTTTAAGTGTGAACGAGTGTGTATGGATGTTTCCCAGAGATGGGTTGCGGCTGAAAGGGCATCCACTGCGTATAACGGGGTCCCAGATTAATAAATGGACTAAGCTGAAAAGAAAATGAGTTTGAGGTGGTCATTCAAAAATCATTTATTCATTTAGACGGAAGTGACAAACTGCAAGCTTTGGATGTCTACATCAGCTTTTATATCTTCTAAGCACCACTATTAGCAGTTTTGGAGCACACTAGCTTACATCGTTAAAACTAAAATACTCAATTCAAACATTTAAAAAACGTAATTTTAATTTCACAGGACCTTTAACAACAATATATTGATTTAATCCGGTCATAAAACAAATGTTTGTGCTGATTTAACAAAGAGACAAATGATAGCAAGTTGTTTTGACTTTCAGGGGAAGATTGGAGATCGAGGTCCAGACGGTTTGCCCGGCCCACTTGGTCCTGAGGTATTTGTGCGGTCACTTTATTTGACCACAATCAGAGGTCATACCTTTGTATGTTAAAGACTAATGGTTTCTTGATTTTCACTGCACAACTATATCCAATACAACCCAGTAGGTACCTTGTTCGTTACAACACTGCAAAATTGCTAATTGATTTGATGTCAATTGACTATCTTGATGTCAAAACAACATCAAACTGACATCTAATATTGGCATTAAAAAAAACATAAAAAATTGATTAAAAGACAGTCATACAATCGATGTTGGATGCCAATAAATGCATTGTAGGGAAACAAAATCCAGTGTAAATTTGGAATTTGGAATGAGACGAGGCCTGGTTTAGTAGTGTTTTGTCATTATATTCAAAAGACGGATGATTACACATGCAATTTTTCCAAGTCTTTACATTTAAAAATAGACAGCATTACATGATTTTTTTTGTGTTATTTTAACAAAATCCTGTTTAGTTGATGCGAAATATTAAAATTAATTAAGCCAAAAGAACTTTGTTGAAAACATGTCATGCCATCTTACAGCCAGCTTTCTGTGGTCATGTCATTCTCAGCATAGTTTATAAATGATCAAATATAATAGAATACAAAAAAATACCATCTTAATCTTCTTACATAAAGGATAGTTTTCTTTTATTGTCTGTTGTTGTGACTGTTTCTCAGGGTTTTCCAGGGGATATTGGACCACCAGGACAGAATGGTGTTGAGGGCCCAAAGGTGTGTGTCTCTTTTTCTATAAATCTGTAATTAAGTTTCATATATTAAATTGGTGGCGTTTATGCAAATTTAATTCTGTTTTTTTTTTTGTTTGTTTTTTATTGTCCAGGGGAATGCAGGAGTGAGAGGCATTCCAGGCCCTGGAGGACTCCCTGGACTCGAGGTAGGACCATCTAAATGTACAATTGAATTATATAAATTAGTAAATGATAAATGTATACAGCTGAAGTCAGGATTATTAGCCCTTCTGTATATTTCTTTGTAACGGAAATATTTTTTTTTTAACACATTTCTAAACATAAAAGTTGGTCCCACTTTATATTGTTGCTTATACATGTGAACTTAAATGGTAACTAGATGTGTAATTAGTATGTAACTACAGTGTATGTACACACTGGTACATAGTATTTACTCATGTAATACTGGTGTAACTACACACATGTAACAACCCACTGATTAGTATGTGTAAGTTCAAATGTGTAACAGGACATTGGTACCCATTAGGGCTGGAAGTTTTATTATTATGCTATCGTATCATTAAATGACTCCATTTGTTTATACTTTTGTTAAAATGAAACCATTTTTTTTACATAAACAAACTGAAATGTTTGAAAACACCGAACTGAAAACACCGAACTGTGACTGCACTTCCAAACTTCAGCTTCACAACATTAAATGAAGTGACAGAGACCAGTTTAGACCAGAGTGTTACTTTCTTGGCGTGAAAAGCCATACTTTTATGGCCAAGTGTATAATGTTTATTTTCTAAGAAAGTACAGCACATTTTATATGAATCATTGCTGTTTTAACATCCAAATAAAAGTACACTAGCAGTCAGAAGTTTGGAATAAAGCTGCGTTCTCACAGCCAGACATCACGTCGCTAGATTTTGCTGTTGATCTATGACCATCTGAACATTCATTCATTCATTTTCCTTCAGCTTAGTTAGCAGAATAAACCGCCAACTATTTTAGAATATGTTTTACGCAGCGGATGCCCTTACAGCCATACACTCTCATTCACACACATACTATACACTACGGACAATTTAGCTTACCCAATACACCTATACCACATGTCTTTGGGCTGTGGGGGAAACCAAAGCACCCGGAGGAAACCCACACGAACATGGGGAGAACATTCTATACACTCCATACAGAAATGCCAACTGACCCAGCCGGGACTCAAACCGGAGACCTTGCTGTGAGGGAACAGTGATAACCACTGAGCCAACGTGCCGCCCCTGACTACCCGAACATATCTCAATAATATGATTATAGATGATCATGTTAAAATTTAGATCCTTATCATTTGACCAGATATTTCTTTTCTCCAAAGTAGAATTCACTTGCTGGAGAATGTTGGTAAATAAATTAAAGCGATCATTTAAAATACAATCCAAAACATGCAGATTAAATGCTAAAAAATAATTAAAGTGTGAAAATGATCTTTGGTTACAGTTTATTTTCAGAAATCCTTGTTGCACTGTATCTTCATTTAACTACTGAGTAATATTCAATAATTACATGTACTTGCTATAGGTTTAAGCTTAGAATGCAGGAGAGGTTTAGGGTTAATTGCTTGCAAATACACATAGGTACTATACTAAAGACAAGGAACATATGTAAAAAAAGGGACCTTAAAGTTAGTAGTAATAGTGTAATAGTAATATGGTAATAGTTTTACCTCATAATTATTTATCCTTTATAATGAACATTATTTGAAGCTGTTTTAATATAAACTGCATCAGTTCTCATTCCATCATATAATCAGCAAGATCTACATTGTAAAAAATGCTTGGCTGCACACTCTACCTTCACGTTGCCCCTATACAATTAAGTTAACTTCTTAACAAGTGGTTTGAACATAAAACAATTAAGTTGTCCTTAAAAAGACTCAAGAATTGTGTTAATTCAGCTCATTTTAAATATTTAGTTTGAACAAGCAGCAAAAACATAAAGGAATTATACAACATATGAATAATAAACATGTATTGGAAGCTTCATACAGTTGAAAAAGCCTAAAAAGGCAAGTTAACGCAATATTAAAGTCTTCATAAGTGTAATTTTGCAGGTATGCAGTATAATAAATAATAATGGCCCTGTTTGAAACCACAGGGAGATCAGGGACCAGTGGGACCAGCAGGGGCTCCAGGACTAGAGGTGAGTGCTTTTGATAAAACTACTAGATATCTAGATTTAGATTTAGACTACATGTCTGCAACATTAGGCTACATTTACTTTAATGTCTTTGTTTTTAAACTGCATTTTAGAATTAAAATGGCCATCGCCCAAATTGCAATATTTATTGCATTTCAGAAAAACAATCCCCATATCCACTATACAGAGTAAAATGTGCGATACGTGACCATTCATGCGCATATTTTGCCTGCATCTGTACTTGCAGTTTAGCAATGGAAAAACTGATTGGAAAAAATCTGATTGGGCAGTTAAAAGATTTAACTTGGGCCATCACCATTCTGGCGTGTGGCTGAGATCAAGATCTTTTATTACGTTTGGCCAGCTAAAGGGATTTACTCCAAGGAGGGGGTAGAAATCAGGGGCAGTGCGATTTACTTCCAGAAGGAAGTTGAAACTGGGGGGGCATGTAATTAAAGCTGTAAAGCTTAACTTTTCGATCCTAGGTAAAAAATGTAATATGTTGGAGACGTCCAATGGGTATTAATAGGATTAATAGGGATTAATAGGTAGCGAAAAAGTCCACAGGAGGGGTGATCACCAGAATGGGAAAGTCACAGAGTAAAATGAAAAAATATGATACACTGGTCATTCGGAAAATGAAAAAAACTCTCTTTACTGTATGCTGTTTTTATCTGTTTTTATATTATTTGTTATTTTTTAGGCTTGTCTCTTTTATACCTGTTTATGTTAAGCACTTTGAATTGCCACTGTGTATGAAATGTGCTATATAAATAAACTTGCCTTGACTTGCCTTGCCTTAGCGCTTCTGTAATGGTCATATGAGACAATTGTTGACCAGTCAGAGATTGATTGTGGATGGCCCCACCTCAGTTTTCAAAAGTTTGTGTTTCAGGCTGTCTATATTGAAATGGAGTACCAGCATTTTTAAACTAAAAATGGTTTTTAGAACGCACTGTTTTCATGGATTGAAGTTGCCAGAGTAGTGTGGATGCCAAGTTTTAAAGCAAGAATCCACTAGCGGTAATTAGCCCATTAGCCTTATTCTTATCGGTGCTGTTTACACTAGTGCTGCTAGGTTATGGCAAAGATGACCATGATCATGATTATTTTGGTCAAAATCCTGATTATTTCAAACAATTATAAAATATGATCAAAATGTTTTTGATTTCAGTCCTAAAAAACATGGGGTGGGGGAGGGGGGTTCAAGAGGATATAAATATGCAAATGAAACAGCGTAGTGTTCACTAAGAATTAAACTTGGTTTGTTTCTTATTAAAGCTTTAAAAGACTTCAGTCAGAGCAGTGAGTGAGTGAGTTTTTCTTTTTGTTTTTTTTATTATTATTGATATGAACATTTAGGCTGCAGTTTTACAGCACTTTGTCACTTTAAGAGCCACATGGGTCCTATTTATAATTATACACACATTTTGATTCTCAACTCTTTTGGACCGTTATCACTGAGTGGTACGGTACGGTTCGGTTTGGTACGCATATATGGCCGTTTCCACTGTCAAAAGGCGTACCGAACCAAACCGTACCCTACCACTTTTTTCGGCACAATTTCAAAAGGTTACCAAACACGAGAAAGGGTACCAAAAGGCGGAGCTAGTCAGGTAGCTGAACACTATTGGTTTACAGAGATGTGTCATTCGCTTACGCAACAAGCCAGAATGAAAACAAAAGAGTTTAAAATACACAGCTGACAGATTACATTCATTACATAACAAACAAGGTCAAGCTCTTCTTGACCATTACACAACTGGTAGACTGTAACTACAGGTCCTGCTATAAAAATATGGGCGTGCTTTGAATGTCCATATGTTATTGCTTTTATTTTATGACTTATTGATCAGATTTTTTTTTTCAAATCTACTGATTCTGTTGGATGTGATTTTGCCACATGCGATACGATCCTGGATTTACATCTATGTTGATCCTGGAATGTCATTTTTGTTTGTAATCCATACCTAATCCCTACCTCTAAACTCAACCATAGCTAAATTATTCCCAAAATCAGAGGGGAATAATAGTTGGATAGCAAGCATGTATAAGCACATAACCCTAAGCTTAAACTTATCATAAACTGTAAACTTATCCCTTAATTCTAACTGGCATGTTGTTTCAGGATCAACATAGATGTTCTGCTTAATGAAATCACACTAACAACTGTTTGTAGTTCATATTTTAATACAATAACTATACATTTCCAGATTTGAAAACATCTAGCATGGTTGCTTATGGTGAATCCAGGATTTATAACCAATCTATGGCTAAAATAGCACTTCATTGTTCATTCTGTGATTACCTAAGCGTGAAAATCATTATCATCCAATTTTGACAGCCTCTTTTTCTGGTACTTTAACTATATTTCCTTGTTTTACAGTCGAACACTTAGCATAATGGAGTAATAGGCTTCACACACTCCTGTTGGTTTATGTCACTCAGCAAAGACTTTTATCTTGTGCGCTTTTCCCTCCAAATATAACAGTGCTTCTCTTTCCCAAAACAATTGGGAACGCTGTGTCCGCACTTGACCCAGATTCAGCAGCGATAGTGTAAACTGTAGTGGAAAAAATAGGCTGTTTCATGCCAGAGCCTGCCGTATGAACAGCTGCATGTACCTGACAGCTAGGGACGAATTCATATTAACAGCTCATTGCATTTAACCTGGTTTCTCACACAGTAATCCTTGCTAAAAAAACTCACAGTTTATTATTCGGTCTGTCCAAGTGAGGGCAGTATGGATAATTCAGCTAATAAGGGTCAGACATTAGCTAATAGATGACTAGAGAAAATCCATCTGGGCTCCAATATAAACACTATATATTTGTTTGGGGGGGTCCATTGGGATTGAGGGTTATTTAATGAAGCTGCTGTCTCTGGAGCTGGTTTGTTGGTGAATGGAGGAGATTGGTCGCAGAAACAGGAGCTAATGAGATCGATGTGTAGATTTAGAGGGCTGTGAGTCCAGTACGATGGGTCATTTCTGCTTTCTGTTCAGGGCAGACCTGGGAGGAAAGGTATCTCTGGCAATCCAGGGGAGGAAGGGATGAAGGTACGAATGCATGACATCCAAAACAAGCAATGCGATTTGCTGTCTAATTTCTATTAAATTAGATTATTCAACCATGGCCACTTATTCAAAAGTGGACTTTATTCTTTATTCTTTATTTTGTCTTTATTCTTAACTCTCAATAATTTATTTATCCACTTGCAATGTCTAACAATGTATATACAATACACTTGCTTTTAAATATTATATATAAATACACTTTGTATTGTTATTTTTTGGGATATGTCAGGAAAAAAATTTGAAGCTGCTATCGTTTATAGATAGAAAGATAGATGGATGGATGGATGGATGGATGGATGGATGGATGGATGGATGGATGGATGGATAGACAGACAGACAGACAGACAGACGGATGGATGGACGGACGGACGGATGGATGGATGAATGGATACTTTAGATATACAGACAGACAAGATAGATTAATGGATGAATGGATGGATGGAGGGATGGATGGATAGATGGAAGGATGGGTGGATGGATGGATGGATGGATGGATGGATGGATGGATGGATAGATGGATGGATGGATGGATGGATGGATGGATGGATGGATGGATGGATGGATGGATGGATGGACGGACAGAGAGATACTTTAGATATACAGACAGACAGACAGACAGACAAGATGGATGGATGGATGGATGGATGGATGGATACTTTAAATAAACGGACAACGGATGGATGGATGGGTGGATGGATGGATGGATGGATGGGTAATGTAGATAGATAGATATACAGACAGACAGACAGATAGACAGACAGACAGACAGACGGATGAAGGGACGGACGCATGTTTCTTGTTACAGGTTATTATTAATAATCAAAGTGATTATTAATATCAATTAAATTATTAATAATCAAAGTGAGTTTTTTAATTGCACATCTAAATCCTTTACTTTAGGGAGAGCCTGGAATGACTGGAAATCCTGGGATGCTTGGTGAGAGGGTAAAGGATTTGATGGATTTTTGGTATATTAGTTAACACTTTTAATCTATAGTTAGTAGTCGTTAATGATATTTTTCCATTTCTACTCTGCACAATAGGGTCCTGTTGGTTTCGTCGGGCCTTTTGGTGAGATGGGACTTGCTGGAGAAAAGGTTTGTAAGTCATTTCAGCAAAATGCAATCACTGAATTCAGATTGATGTGGTTAAAAAAACAAAAATGCATCCTCCAATACATCCAAAGCTGATTGATTTCATTAAAATCTGCATTAAAACATTGATTGAATTACAAGTTTTCTAAAATGTTATATTTTAATATGCAAATGAGGCTTTATTTTAATGAAATATTTGCAAATTTGCAAGCATTTCTTGCACAAAAATCAGAACATTCGATGAAGTCAGGTTCAAAATCCTTGTTTTGTTCAATCTGTTTGTCTGTCTGTCTGCCTGCCTGTCTGTCTGTCTGTCTGTCTGTCTGTCTGTCTGTCTGTCTGTCTGTCTATCTATCTATCTATCTATCTATCTATCTATCTATCCAACACAGTCTCATGGCAATTCGTAACTTTTTGATCTAGTGGCTAATTCGTATGAATTCGTACAATCTAATTCGTAAAATTTAGTATGACTTGCTCATCCCCCAATGACGGTTGGGTTTAGGGATGTGGTTAGGTGCCATGCCTCCTTTTTAAAATCGTACAATTTCGTACGACTAAACTCGTACGAATTCGTATGAATTAGCCACTAAACTGGCATCTATCTATCTATCTATCTATCTATCTATCTATCTATCTATCTATCTATCTATCTATCTATCTATCTATCTATCTATCTATCTATCTATCTATCTATCTGTGTGTCTGTCTGTCTGTCTGTCTGTCGCTATCTGTCTGTCGCTATCTGTCTGTCTGTCTGTGTCTATCTATCTATCTATCTATCTATCTATCTATCTATCTATCTATCTATCTATCTATCTATCTATCTATCCATCCATCCATCCATCCATCCATCCATCCATCCATCCATCCATCCATCCATCCATCCATCCATCCATCCATCCATCCATCCATGTCTGTCTGTCATTCTATCTGTCTCACATGTTAGAGTCAATATATAAGAGAAAAAAATTCTAAAATCATTTCATAATGCAGACAAAGAATAAAATTTGTGGAATTTCCCTTTGTGGAAAATTTATATCCCTCTATATAAAAACCTTTGGAATATAAATATGAATAAAACTGTTAGGTTTGGTGTTTGTAAGTATTGCTGAATTGGAGACTCAGTGCAGGAAAAAAAAGGTTGTTTTTTAGAAATCAGACTTTAAAAATGTCTGCTGTAGTTGAACTCTTCAGACACATTGATTAAGTGTGATAACAGAAACACCTAAAACTGTATTTTTTATTATTTCTTTCTGTTAGACTGAGAGAAAATAAAATCAGTTTTTGCCAGCAGTTTCACCCCAAATATTTTGTTTGTTTTGTAGTTGCTCAGAATGATATTTCAGTGTGCTGTTTTACTTTACTTATATATTTGTCTTGTGCTCTCAGGGAGATCGTGGTGAGACGGGTCAGCCTGGGCCACCTGGAGAAAAGGGAGCCATGGTAAGGAGTAAGTCTGGATCTCGTCTCTGCTCTCAAAGGGAACTCTAATACTCACTTGACCTTCAGTAGTCACTGTAACTGCCATGGCTGGAAATTGGTAGTATGTAGGAAAATGCCTCATCAGCCGTTTTCCATTCACGAGAGAATCAGCTCGACTGCTGCAAGAGTCATTTCCCTCTCGATGACATAAGGAAATTGTAGCCATTTGCTGTGCAAAGTGGTTTGGGAACAATGTCAAAGTTGAAACCAAACTCAAGGCACTCTAAAGAAACCCAAAAGAGAAAGCTTCCAGTCTTGTCGTCATTTCAGTAGTTCCTATAACACTTAGCACTGTCTTTATGTATGGTGCTCAGGGCAATCCAACAGAAATGAGTTAAAGGGTTGAGTTTTACCATTTTAAATCCATTGAGCGGACCTCCGGGTCTGTTGGAAGCATTTTTAGCTTAGCTTAGCATAGATCATTGAATCAGATTAGACCATTAGCATCTCGCTCAAAAATTGTAAAAAAAGAGTTTTAATAATTTTCTCATTTAAAGCTTGAATCTTCTTTAGTTTTATAGTTAAAGACTTGAGTTTCACTATTTTGAATCCATTCAGTCGATCTTCTGGTCTGTTGGGAGCACTTTTAGCTTAGCTTAGCATAAATATTTGAATCTGATTGGATCATTAGCATCTTGCTCGAAATAAATCTAAAAAGAGTTTCAATAATTTTTCCATTTAAAGCTTGAATCTTCTGTAGTTTCAGAGTTAAAAAGCACTTTTAGCTTAGCTTAACATAAATTATTGAATCAGATTTGACTATTAGCATCTCACTCAAAAAATGTTAAAAAGTTTCAGTATTTTATTTTTTTTACATTTAAAGCTCGAGTCTCTGTAGTTTCTGAGTTAAAGAGATGAGTTTTACAATTTTTTAATACATTCAGTCGATCTCCGCTTCTGTTGGGAGCACATTTAACTTAGCTTAGCATAAATCATTGAATCTGATTAGACCGTTAGCATCTCGCTCAAAATTTGATCTTTTTTTTTACATAATTTTCCTATTTTAAGTTTTACTCTTCTGTAGCTTCATCATGTAGATGAAAAGAAAATTTAAGTTGTTATTTTCGAGGCTGATACGACTAGGAACTATACTCTCACTTTGGCGTAACAATCAAGTAACTTTGCTGCCATACAATGGTAAAGGTAGAAGCAATGACATTACACACCACTGTTGTTTAATTACCCAGCTTCAGACTAGTATCTGATGCTGTATGATATCATTGTACCTGCTGCAGATATGGTACTTTACTTACTTTAATTTATGCTAAGCTAAGCTGAAAGGGCTCCTGTCAGACCCAGAAATTGGCTGAATGGATTAAAAAAATAATACAACTCAAATCAGTAACTCTAGTAAAGTTTTAAAATTAGCCAATATCCTAATAAAGTTAAGTATTTCTTTGATTATTGTATACTTGCCAGCAAGCAAGGAATCTTCCTTAGCTTTGGTATATTTAAGACTTGTTTTTTAGAAACATCTAAAAAGTGCTGACAACAAAATAAATATAATTGAGAAACAGAACTCCAGAAGACATTCTGGCTTTCATAACGTGTATTTGTCTTGATGCACTGGTAAATGTTTCATTTGTTTTTTAACTTGTTTACAGATGCAATAAGTGAAACAATCTGCCAGTGCTGCAAGATAAAATATGTCCTTCTCTGAAAGGAAAAATATTTCTTTTATTGTTTTTGTTTCAAGTAAAAGCATCTTGCTGAATGGATGTTAATGAGTCGAAGATAAGATGATCTATTTTGGTATCCTCATCACTTTCATTTTATGTACAGTACATAGAGGGCATGTTTCAAATAACTTTTGTGTAAACAAAGTGTTGAAATATGTTCATATGTAACAATATATTTATGCAAAAATAAACAACATGCACTGTAAAAAAAAATCTGTTAACAAGTAAACACGTTCCGTATTTTATGATTTACAGTTTTTGTCTATTTATTTATGATTGTGAATTGCGTTATGGGACGTTAATCTCTGCTCTGTTGAGTTTTTATGTTGAAAACTCAACACTCCAGTTTAACAAAGTGACTTTTAATTGACATTTTAGTAGTTTGAAATATTATAATGTATAAGAAATAACATATAAAGAGACGTAGGTGTGTAAATGAACAGAAAATGTGCTGGTGGTTCATTACAAGGTTTTTGTACCATAATATACAGCACCAACCCAGACAATACATCACTTTAAAGCATAGGTCTCAAACTCAATTCCTGGAGGACCACAGCTCTGCACTTTTTTGCTCCAACCCTAATCAAACACAGCTGATCTATTAATGTCTAGTAGTCTTGAACACCTTGATCAGGGTTGGAGCAAAACTCTGCAGAGCTGCGGCCCTCCAGGAATTGCGTTTGAGACCTATGCTTTGAACCAGGCATGTCCAGACTTGGTTCTGGAGGGCCGGTGTCCTACAAAGTTTAGTTCCAACCCCAATCAGACGCACCTGGGCTAGCTAATCAAGCTCTTACTAGCAATTCTAGAAACATCCTTGCAGGTGTGTTGAAGCAAATTGGAGCTAAAATCTGCAGGACGCCGGCCCTCCAGGACCGAGTTTAGACACCCCTGCTTTAAACTATTAAAAATGTTAATAAAAGTAACTTTTTTTAACTTATCAAGGTTAAAAGTTGTTGGAAGAAAGATCAAGATTTCATAATGCAATTTAAAAGCATAATAAATTGGGTAAAAATAAAAAACAAAACAAAAACATGAATCTGACTAACACTTATTAAAATATACTAAAGAATATTTTTATATTTTTGGATTTATGTTTATATAATTTTTATAATATTTTAAATAATGTACAGCATGTTCCACTGAATGGCGATGGGACATTATTTCTCCAATTTTTTAACATTTTACTGTACAAAATTACTCAAAACATTCCTACTTGGAACCATATAGTGGCAAAGTACAAAAAGTCTCCATAAATATTAATTATGTGAAAATGTAATTAAACGGGACGCACACTAAATGTATTTATAAGCTGTATTAACCATATTATTTGTTTGTTTATTTTCTTAATTCTTTGATATTTGAAATACCCCTTTTGCACCTTGCTTTCATTATAATATCCCCCTTTTTTGCTGTGTGTTTGGCCAATTAGTTTGATTTGTTTTTGTTTATTATTATTATTATTATTATTATTATTACTATTATTATTACCTCACACAAGAAGGTCGCTGGTTCGAGTCCAGGCTGGGCCTGTTGGCATTTCTGTGTGGAGTTTGCAGGTTCTCCCGTGTTGGTGTGGGTTTCCTCTGGGTGCTCCGGTTTCTCCCACAGTCCAAAGACATGCACTATAGGTGAATTGGGTAAACATAATTGGTCGTAGTGTATGAGTGTGTGTTAATGAGTGTATGGGTGTTTCCCAGTACTGGGTTGCAGCTGGAAGGGCATCCGCTGCGTAAAACATATTCCAGAATAGTTGCCGGTTCATTCTGCTGTGGCGACTTCTGATAAATCAGGGACTAAGCTGAAGGAAAATGAATGAATGGTTATTATTATTATTATTATTATTATTATTATTATTTATATTTTCCTTTTTAATCAGTACTTTTCAGCACTTAAACATAGATAGCATACACTTAAACAATTATAACTTTCAATCACAATAGAAACAGGTATTAGAGATTGTTTCTAATATGAAAGATGATTGCATAATGATGTACTTGTGATTGGTTTTAAGGGTCACCCAGGGGCTCCAGGAGAGAGAGGCCTGTCTGGACCAGCAGGTGCTCCAGTAAGTCACTGTTATGTATTTTAATATTGTAGTCAACATTTAAAATATGTCCTAAGTTGTCCTAAGACAAGAACAATTTGTTTTTTATGATAACTTTGAGGTTTTAGTGAATAAGAAGTTCCAATACTTTCAGTTGAGTATGATGATACATATTCAAATTAAACAGAATATTGAGTAGGAGGCGGGGTTTTATTTTTGCATTCCTCGTCTCATCTTTCACTCACAGCCAACTATTGGGTGGAAGGACATGGCTAAGCATATCTCAAGCAATCAGAGAAGGACTGCTAATAAGGAATGGGAGAAAATTGTTAGATTTTGAATAAAGATTACAAAAAAATTATAGTAATAATAATTCAGTGGACTAACTTGCACAGATTAATAGTTCAGCTTAAGGCTAACTATGTGCACTAGTGAAATACAGTGTTGGGTAGTAGCGTCACTACAAGTAGTGATGTTACAAGCTTAACTACATTTCTCAATAGCATGGTGGTAGCGTTGCTAATTTATTAATCGAATAGCTTTTCAGTAGCGAAGCTGTTTTATCAGTCAAGTAGTGCAGTAGCGTTCAAACAAGCTACATTCACCGATCGCGGATCAATAAGTGATGGCACCAACATTCACAGAGCTGTGAGGCCGGTGTCTAGCTGATGAAAGTTAATCCATATGATGGAGACAACAACCATGATTTCTTCCTGTTTTTTAGTGGTCGACAACAAACTTTTTTGGTGCTTTACTGCCACCTCTCGCTCTGATCTGTGATATCGCCAACCAATTACGCTAACACGAGAAAGTTGCTTGATGGAGAGATGACTGAGGGAGTTATATCTGAAACACTGGTGGGGTCAACGCACACCTCCCACCAGTACCGATATACAGCCATATCGCACTGCTACTCGTGTGAGTGTATATATATATATATATATATATATATATATATATATATATATATATATATATATATATATATATATATATATATATATACACATACACTGTAGTAGAAGCTAAAGTACTACGGTAATTACTATTAGTTCATGATAGTTACTGATAATACTACATTATGTAGTGTAACTTATTAATGAAGGGTTGTAAACATATATGAAATAAAATGCTTATTCATAATTATTTCTCTTTACTATAAATTACTATAGTATTTTAAATGTGTAACAACTGGTTTATTGGATTTTTAGTTTTTACTGTTACTATAATGTGTTTCTGTTTAGTACAGCATATTATTTGCGGTAAACAATTCAACTGAAAAATATACCTCATCTGTTTCATTGAAAGGTTTATTGATCACTAAGATTTGATTGACTTGGATTTAAGTTGCTTCGATTTAAAAATGAAAATTGCAAAAATAGCTTAGATGTAGCTAAGCTTCTTTTGCCAAATAGCTTTTAGCTTAGCTTGCTAGATTTCCAAGAGGGTAGCTTTTAGTTTAGTTAAGCTACATTTTAAGTAGAGTAGCTAACATTTTAGCTCACTACGTTTTTTCAAGCTTGCCCAACACTGAAAGTACACATTGTAATTAGTTAATTATCACAGACTTTAATGAGAGATTTTGATCCTTTTCAAATGTTGACTGTATATCTAAACTAACGAGTCTCTGAACAAAGCAACATTTACACCAATTTTTAAATATTAATATGCTGCTGTAGCATCCACATGTTGTCCAATAATCTGGTCTGAATCTTTCTAGCCAAATCCACATTAACACTTAAGGTTAGCTCACAATTCACACTATTACAAACTGGCTGATTACCTGCCTGTTATTAAGATATTATCTCTTCATTGGTAGTTGTAAAGTATAATCTTATTCTAATCCAAACCCTAAACTAAAATTCTGCCTTACACACTATTAATAAACAACTAATTAGTAGTTTATTAAGCTAGTTGTGTTAGTTAATGGTTTGTTAATACCGTAACACTTTAGTTGGGACACAATTCAGGCTTATAACTACTGGCTTATTACAGTACCAGCCTATTATTAAGATATCCACTGTTCATGAGTAGTTTTAAAGTATGATCCTATTCTGCTACTTACCCAAACTAATCTTACCCAAACCCTAAACCCAACTTCTACCTTGCAAACTACTAATAAACAGCTGGTTTATTAGGCTAGTAGTGTTAGATAATGATTTGGTAATACTATTAATTTTGACCTAAATTAAAGTGTTACCAAATCCACAATACAGAAAGCGTCTTAAAAAGTGAGGTCTGTCTAACTTTATGCAACATTCAGCTGTTTACATTCTTTCATTAAATATGTCAGTACTCATTATTGACAGACACCAGAGTATTTCCCATTTCTCCTGAATGAAACTCTTCTTTTGCTCTATTCACACAAACGTTGCGTCACGCAACCAATTGGCAGGAAATGCCTTTTGCAGGCACTTGAATGACCCTGCAAGCAGCGGAGGACAAATATAAACATCAGGCTTTGAAGGACAGAGCCGCTGTAATCGGGTCAAGTGATGTTTGTTTGCCTGCCAGAAACTCTTTCCAGCTCTAGCTGAGGTTTCTGAGGGAACGTTTGATTCATTCTTGTCTTTTCTGTGTCCTCCAGGGGCCTCATGGATCTAGGGGCCTCAGTGGCACCAGGGGGCCAAAAGGCACAAGGGTAAGACCTGATCGTTTTCTTTAACAACAGTGCTTGCATAGATACAGTTGAAGTCAGAATTATTAGTCCTCCTGTGATTTATTCAAATATTTCTCAAATGATGTTTAACAGAGCAAGGATTTTTTCACAGTATTTCCTGTAATGTTTTTTTCTTCTGGAGAAAGTCCTAATTGTTTTATTTCGGCTAGTTTTTAGTTTTCTAAAAGCCATTTTAAGGTCAGAATTATTAGCCTCCTTAAGCAAAATGTTTGTTCAATTGTCTACAGAACAAACCATCATTGCAACCTGATTTGCATAATTACCCTAACTTGCCTTATTAGCCTACACTAAAACAATTTCAAAAAAATTTGAAAATAAGTAATAGTAATTCACAGAATTACAAGCTAACGCTGTAAGAATACAGAACATAATTTACAGCCAAAATACATTAAATTACACTTCATTACTGTTAATAATTAGCATTTAAACTGTAAAAAAAAACTGAAAACGAACTGTCAGAAAAAAAAAATTGATAATCTGTAAAAAAAAAAGAAAAAGAAAGAAAGAAAGAAAAATAGTATATATATATATATATATATATATATATATATATATATATATATATATATATATATATATATATATATATATATATATATACTGCTCCATAATTACAAGTTATTACTGTCATTTTTATATAACTGTAATGATACAGGTAATTTTACCATTTTACTAATTATTACTACAATAATACAGATTATTACTGTCATTTTAAAAATGATTACTGTAAATATATAATTTATTATTGTAATTATGCAGATTAATGAATGCAATTTTAAAGAAAATTACTGTAATTATACAGGTTATTAATGCCAGTATACAAATTAATTATTGTGATTATAATAATTATTACTGTAGTTATGCAGATTAATTCATATGACTTTAAAGATTATTACAGTAATTATACAGGTTATTAATGCAATTATATAAATTAATTCATGTGATAATAATTAATATTATTGTAAAATTATGTGTAACTCTCTGAAAATACAGAAAATTTCCTTTCAAATTCAGAAAAAGAACGTAATACCAGAATATAAGCAATAACTGTACATTTAATATTAGAATTTTTTATTACAAGAAATATATGTAAAACAACAGGTAGTCCCCTGTATAATGAAACAACTAGAAAATTCTGTAAAAAAAAATACTGACAATTACCTGTAAAATAGCATGTATTTTTTACAGTGTTCTTGAAACTGAATACTAGTATCCTGAAAAACATCTAGTCATATATTATGTACTGTCATCATGGCAAAGATAAAAGAAATGAGTTATTAGAAAAGAGTTATTAAAAAAGATAATTCATATTATATATTCATAAATTAATAATCCAATTTGCTGAATATTCAATTTCACAACCTAATCCATTCCTGATGGACAAAATCAACCCACTGTACATGTTTTTCTCATTGATTATTATGTTTCTCTTTGAAATACTTCATATTATGAAAGTAAAATTGGTTGCAAATGGCAACTCATATTGACAAGAAGAGCCCTCCGACTGTGTTTTTGACAACTCTGACATCATTGACACAATCCAATCCTCAGGCTTGGGACTTTCCCAACGGTCCTCGAAAACTGAACTCTTCAGCAACCCCCACAGGTTCCCATAACACCCACCAGCATGACACACATCCAAACAACTCAAATTTGACTTTCGCAGTCATTGAAAATCCAAAATCTGCTCTTGATTTTTGCCACTTTTCCAGAGAGTCTGTCCTCTATTTGCCCTCGACTCCCGCTGCTCGCTTTGATTCAGAGCAGATCGTGTGGGTGGCACTGACTCCATCATTGTGATAAAATTCGAAAAAAACGACTAGTGCAACTGCAGATGGACTAAACTTTTTATAGTTATCTAAAGACCATTTCAATGTGGTGATATCATTGGCCCATGAACATTTCCTGCTTGTCATCAAACTATTTCATAACTGTAACAAGAGGCAATTCAATCACAACTTAATGTTAAAACAGCTAGCATAACAATATTTATGAATATGTGGACCTTTTGGGATTCTCGGAAGCTATGAAAATTAAAAATGTAAAACAAAAAAATGCATTAGGACTATTGTTATTGTTTACATCCCTCAAAAGGGTCTATAAAATACTCTACATTTTTTGTAATTAATGACAACTTTGTCCTAAAGTGTTGAGATGATTATACTAAATCATCCAGGATATAGAATTGTAAAAAGGTAATAATAATAATAAAATAATATAGAAAATAAAGAATTGTGTCATTTAAGATAAATTTACATAGTAGTCTATAGACAAACCTACAAAGTATCCGGAAAGTATTCATAGCGCTTCATTTTTTAAACTTTTTTATGTTACAGCCTTATTCCAAAATGGATTAAGTTCATTTATTTTCTCCACACGCAATACCCCATAATGACAATGTGAAGAAAAAGTATTCACAGCCTTTGCTCAATACTTTGTTGATGCACCTTTGGCAGCAATTACAGCCTCAAGTCTTTCAGAATTTGATGCCACAAGCTTGGCACACCTGTCTTTGGGACAATGTACAGCCATTTTCAGATCTCTCCATAGATATTCAATAGGATTTACGTCTGGGCTCTGGCTGGGCTACTCAAGGACATTCACCAAGATGTTATGAAGCCACTCCTTTAATATTTTGGTTGTGTGCTTTGGGTCATTGTCCTGCTGGAAGATGAACAGTCGCCCCAGTCTGAGGTCAAGAGCACTCTGAAGCAGGTTTTCATTCATCTTTCCCTCTATCCTGACTAGTCCTTCAGTTCCTGCTGCTGAAAAACATCCCCACAGCATGATGCTGCCACCACCATGCTTCACTGTAGGGATGGTATTAGCTTGGTGATGAGCGTTGCCTGGTCAAACATAATGCCTGGCATTTACTCTTGGGTTGAATTTTAGTCTCATCAGACCAGAGAGTTTTGTTTCTTATGATCTGAGAGTCCTTCAGATGCCTTTTAGCAAATTCCAGGCAGGGAGTAGCTTCCGTCTGGCCACTCTTCTATACAGGTCTGATTGGTGGATTGCTGCACAGATGGTTGTCCTTCTGTAAGATTCTCCTCTCTCCACAGAAGAACGCTGAAGCACAGACAGAGTGACCATCAGGTTATTGATCACCTCCTTGACTAAGGCCCTTCTCCCCCGATCACTCAGCTCTAGAAAGAGTCCTGGTGGCTCCAAACTTCTTCCACTTACAGATGATGGAGGCCACTGTGCTCATTGGAACTTTCAGAGCAGCAGAAGTTTTTCTGTAACCTTCCCCAGCCTTGTGCCTCGAGACAATCCTGTCTCGGAGGTCTACAGACAATTCCTTTGTCTTCATGCTTGGTTTGTGCTTTGCCATGCACTGTCAACCCTGGGACCTTATATAGACAGGTGTATGCCTTTTCAAATCATGTCCACTCAACTGAATTTACCACAGGTGAAGCTGCTGAAACATCTTAAGAATGATCAGTGGAAACAGAATGTACCTGAGCTTAATTTAAAACTTCACAGCAAAAGCTGTGAATACTTCTGTACGTGATCTTTCAGTTTTTTTTTTTATTTATAATTATTCTTTAGGGGTTTTTCACCTTTATTTTGATAGGACAGTAGAGAATTTAGACAGGAAAGCACTGGGAGCAGAGAGAGGGAAATGATCGGCAAAGGACCTCGAGACAGGAATCGAACCCAGGTCGCCATGAGCACACTGGTGCTATATGTCGGCGCTGACAGGTTTTCTGTTTTTAATAAGTTTGCAACAATTTCAAAAACTCTTTTTTTCACATTCTCATTATGGGGCATTGTGTGCAGAATTTTGAGGAAATAAATAAATAAATTTAATGCATTTTGGAAAAAAGGCTGTAAGAAAAAGTGAAGCGCTATCAATACTTTCTGGACGCAATGTATATTCATATATGGCCATTTGGGAGACTTTGTTGTAATCTAACCAAACCTGCCAAGTTAGAACACTCTTTAATAAAGTCTACATTTCGTTATTTCCATTGAAGTTTCACACTTCAGTGAATTTCATGCTACAGTTTCAATCTGTATAATGTGTTAATACGATTCTTTGCTTTGCTGGCTTCCCATCGGAAATCCTATCAGCATTAAAGCTGTCTGTCCTCACATCGCAAAAAACACATTTCTCAAACTAAATTCGCCATTACAAATGAAGCATTAATCCTTCTGCAAAAAAAGATGAACAGCAGTCAATTGCCACTGATGGAGAATGCCAAGGTCTGGGATTTCAGCCTCATCATTTTCTAAACGCTCAGTACTATTAGTTCTCATGGACATGTGCATTTATCTCACTGCTGGCCCGGATTCATGTCATTTACTGAAGAATAGAAAGAGTTCTCAACCCTGGGAGGGACAAATAAAAACAGTCGATAAACACTAATAATATGGTTAAATGTTAGGTGATTCCTTAATCATGTTCAAGCCCTTCAGGAAAGTTCATACCCAACAAGTAATTTCATCACATCTAAACATAGATGTCTTGGCTAAAAGACAAGGCTAAATTTGGACTGATAATAATATTAACAACTCATTTTACTCATAAATGATGCCTTTCTAGACACCAAAGGTCCCTTACAACAAGCAACAAACAAACTAAAACAAATTATTAAAACAATTAAGCAAAAATAAAACGTTGCCAGACAAAATTTTAAATACATGAGAGGAGTTGAAGTGCAAACACATCATACGTATGAAATAACATGGTAGAGGATAGTCATGATGATGTTGTTTAAATACAACCCAAGCCTATTGTGGAAACGTAGTCCCACGGACGTTTCTGGAGACCGCTGAATACGTCCCGGCGGGTACGTACGTCTGCAGTTTTTGTTTTTGCGAATCCGCGAGAGGCCGCTGTTGTGCGCTTTTTCGCATCTCAGACGTTTGAGCTGAGTGGACAAACGGGTTGCAGCGGGGAAGCCCTCCACAAGGAGGTAAGCGGTCAGCCGGCCGGCCCGCAAGCACGATAGGGAACAGCGTCACACCGCCCCTTAGCGTTCGCTTGAAAAAAATAAACGTATGTATACATACGAATAAATGTATTCCGCTGTCTCCAGAAACGTCTGCGGGACTATGTTTTCAGAATGAGCTTGGGTTGTTTAAATGGGTTATCTCTTTACAGAAGTGTTGTTCAGCCACTAAAATTTTCCGGTAAGAGATTGATAAGACTATTTTCAGTTTCATAAGAGACCTTTTACAGCATCGATAATGTAGATTTTAATTCGTTTAACAAAAAAACACAAGTAAATACCGCTATTCCGCCTAGTCTCTACCTATATTGTTACCATGCAACTCTAAATAGTCGGTCTGATATAGCATGTCAGTTTGGCTTAGTTATGAGTGTAATTCCTGCATGCCTCCGGACAAGCACTAGTTGCTTTTAACACATGAGAGAGGCTTCTTTTGCTGTCATCTTTAAGGTGCACGTGATCCTGTTTCAGGAGGCGTGGCTCTAGATAGCAGGGGAGGGACTGTGATTCAGAGATATATGCTAAGCTGTTAGCATTGTGGAAGATCACCTACTTCACCTTTAAGCCGGATTTATACTTTTGCCTGGCGCTGCACCACTCACCTCCGCTGACTGCGTGCACACCTCGCGAAACAGACAAGGCTTGTATACTAACTGCGTTCGCCGTTGTGATATTCTTCAAAACAACAGTCAAAAGAAACTGACCGTGAAGTCGGAGAAGTTCAGAGAAGTAGGAAGTTTCCGGAACTACGTCATATCAGTGGATTTATCTAGTGGATTTGTGAAAGCAAAAACTGCACAAAGATGCAGTCCAGAGTACATATTTCTCAGTTCTCAAAAATGTTTCCCTGAGCACATAATTCCAATGAGCCTTGTTTTATTAAAGTCAAGAAGTACCCTTAAAGAATAATTCATTTTTACGCCTCATATGATCGACATTTCTGATTCCAATCAGCCTAAATGTTGTCGTTAGCCCCTAAAAGGTCAAAGGTTTCCTGCATGACATCAGATCATGAGCACAGAGGGAACAGTGTTGCATAAGCGCTGTCAGAGGAGCACCACACATCTGTTATTATGGCGTTTGCAGCCTTAATAATATCCCCCATTGATCACTCTTTCCACCTTCCAGACAAAGAAATCCCACAAAGTCCGAGAGATCACCCAGCTGCGCCTCTACATTTTTCATAAAGCCTATGAATCATCATGACGGAAACACAATGGCAGCTCTCCATGTTACTATAACTGCACTTCCATAATGTGAGCGGCTCATGTTTCACAGAAGTCTTTAAAGCCGGGTTCATTCAGGCCTCCGGTGAGCCGGAGATTTGACTTGCTCGAGATCATAAGTCAAACAAATTGCTTTAAATGAGTTGTCTTTGTCATCTGGAGTTGTCATACATTGGCTATAATAATGCCATAATGTATATCTCCTATATGATTGCATTGTTAGAACTGTGTATTAAGGGAATCTGTTGTGTAAAACATATGCTGGATAAGTTGGCGGTTCATTCTGCTGTGGTGACCCCGGATTAATAAAGGGACTAAGCTGAAAAGAAAATGAATGAATATATCCTAGATGATTGCAATGTTAATATTGTGTATTAAGGGCATCCGCTGTGTTAAACATATGCTGGATAAGTTGGCGGTTCATTCCGCTGTGGTCACCCAGGAATAATAAAGGGACTAAGCTGAAAAGAAAATGAATGAATGTATATCTCCTAGATGATTGCATTGTCAATATTGTGTATTAAGGGCATTCGCTGTGTAAAACATATGCTGGATAAGTTGGCGGTTCATTCCGCTGTGGCGACCCCTGATGAAAAAAGGGACTATGTTGAAGTAAGATGAAATAAATTAAATGAACATTGTGTATGGAGAGTATAAGCTGTGTAAAACATATGATGGATAAGTTGGCGGTTCATTCCACTGTGGCGACGCCTGATGAATAAAGGGACTAAGCCAAAGGAAAATGAAATGAACATTGTGCATTGGTTGGATATGTCTTTATTTGTACAAGTGCGCCCTCTGCTGTTCAGCTGGTTATATTCTTAAACCCATGTGTGTTGCTTCCTTTTTAATGCCAGTTCTCTAATCCTTATTTTCTGTGCAGGGTGCAAGGGGACCAGATGGACCAGTTGGAGAGAAAGGAATGATGGGAATGAAGGTGAAATGAACTATTCTTATAGAGCCAAGCTTCTGTGTGATATTTTATAGTAATGATACTGATTATATCATATTTTAAACAGTAATTAGTTATTGAAATAATTTAATTCATTTCAATTGTATATCATTACTTTAATGCTTATTTTCGTTATTCTTAAAGGGATAGTTCACCCAAAATCCTGAAAATCCTGTCATCATTCACTGTCACAAACCTGTTTGATTTTCTTTCTTCTGTTAAACATAAAAGAAGATATTTTGTAAAATGCTAAAACCTTTAATGCTCACAGGTTCTGAAAAATAACAGCAAGAAAGTCGTTGGTTCGAGTCCCGGCTGGGCCAGTTGGCATTTCTGTGTTTGCATGTTCTCCCCATGTTGGTGTGGGTTTCCTCCGGGTGCTCCGGTTTCTCCAACAGTCCAAAGACATGCGGTATAAGTGAATTTTCTGTAGTGTATGAGTGTTTGTTTGTGTGTGTGAATGTGAGAGTGTATGGGTGTTTCCCAGTAATGGCTTGTGGCTGGAAGGGCATTCGCTGCAAAAAACATATTCTGGAATAGTTGGTGGTTCATTCCGCTGTGGCAACCTCTGAAATAAAAACTAAGCCAAAGGAAAATGAATGAATAAAAACCTGTAACCATTTACTTCCTAGTATTTATTTTTTCTGCTATCGAAGTCAATAGTTACCGGCTTCTAACATTTTTCGAAATATCTCCTTTTGTGGAAAAAAGAAACCTATAAAGGTTTGAAACCACTGGAGGGTTAGTAAATAAATTGTTTGAAACTTGTAGTGGTCGCCTACAGCAAGAAGGTTCCTGGTTCGAGTCCCGGCAGGGCCAGTTGGCATTTCTGTGTGGAGTTTGCATGTTCTTCCCGTGTTCTCATGGGTTTCCTTTCGGCGCTCCGGTTTCCCCCACAGTCCAAAGACATGTTGTATAAATTGACTGTAATATATGAGTGTGTGTGTGTGAATGTGAAAGGGTATGTGTGTTTCCCAGAAACTGGGTTGTGGCTGAAACCTATGGTGTACCCTATGGTGTACAACCTATGCTAGAATAGTTGGCGGTTCATTCTGCTGTGGCGACCTCTGAAATAGAGACTAAGGAAAATGAATGATTGAATGAAAACCTGTAACCAATGACTGCCATAGTATTTTTTTTTTCTGATATAGAAATTAATGGTAACCGGTTTGTAACATTTTAAAAAATATCTCCTTTTGTGTTCAACTGGAACAAAAGAAACTTATAAAGGTTTGAAACCACTTGAGAGTTAGTAAATGATTTATTTGGTGAACTATCCCTTTAAGCATATGTGATTATATTGATATTGTTATTGATTTTTATTGACAGGTTAATTTTAGGATCTTGAAGCATTTAGCTAAGCACTATTATTCTCGTGGGTTCATGTCAGTAACATCAAAAAGTCTATCTGGCCGTGGATGATAGAACTGAGTGAATGGTGCATGAATGAAAGCACATTGTGATGCTGTGCTATTTTCAAGATGAAGTGCTTGACTTCCTCCACGCTGGCATGCAGTGGATTTTCCGTACCACAGAGCAAAACAACATATGAAACGCATCTAAATTGTCAGCACAACATTTTTATCAACCTTACAATGCTGGCGACAGGGCGCACTGAAGGTTTATTCAACACATTTATAAAATTCTTGGTTGTGGTTCGATCAGAAGCAATAATAAAGGATAATTTGATGTGATTCTCAATGCGCTTCAGTGGAAAATAGTTGACTGTTTTCTTTTTGGGGGTTTTACTGCAGGGTCCTGAAGGTCCACCAGGAAAACAAGGTTTAAGCGGACAAATGGTAAAAAAAATTGTTTTATAAATCAATAATTGAAATGGCAGATGTGTAATTGAAACAATCAGTTTGTTAAAGCTGCTAACTGTTCAGATTTTAATGTTAGCTGATAGATAAAGGAGACATATTATGCTAATTTTGTGAATGAAACCAGCTTCTAATGGTAAAAATGTATTAAACTAACTTTTTATAATCACACTTGATTAAAACAGAAACACTTTGAGCCCTATTTTGACGATCAATGGACAAATGTAAGCTTGTTTTTAATAAAAACAAATATAAATATGCATATAATAATACTACTACTACTAATAATAATGATTGTTATGACTAAACTGAAAAAGCCCCCTGAGATGAAGAAGGCATGAAGGCAGTGGTTTTTATAGTTATGTAGGCTAGAAAATAATAATTTTTGTAATATTTGAGTCCTTTAATTCTTTTTCATTTGTAAAGATATCTGCGTATTGCTGTACATCCTGTGTGTGTTAAGCAATATATAAGCGAGGCGCACAAATAACGCGCTCTGCACTGGACCTGCTTTGATTTGGTCTATTGAACAGTCTATTTTAGTTCCTAAAAATAGCAACGCACCTGCAATGCGCCTTAACACGCCTCCTTTTTTAGACCAAATGGACGCACAGATGAGCGCAAATGCATTTGCTATTTAAACAGTGTGCTGCAAAACTTCAAAACGACTCTTGCGCCAAGCAGAAACTAGCAAACAACTATTGCGTCAGGCCTTGCACCACATTGCGTTGGGTGTATGATAGGGCCCTTTGATTGACATTCTCTCTTTGTACGCCATCAGTGGGGTAAAGCCCCGCCTATTGGTGACGATCTCTTCCTCATTAGCATAGGACATTAGTCTCGTTTTTCCATTATGCTGATGCACAGGCATTTGTAGCTCCGCCTTCTTTTGAAAAGAGCACAATCTGACCGGGTAAACCATATATTAAAGGCGCACACAGAATCTGCGCGCTTGCAATCCGCAGATTTCTGCAGATTTTTAGCCTATCATGAGGTCTATTTATTTAGTTGTGTAAATGTGTGTACATTTATATTTATTCGGGTATTTCATTAATTTTAGTAATAGTATTGACTAATATGGAAGTGATTATTTGATTTATTTACAATACAGTCTTTTAGTAGATATATATATATATATATATATATATATATATATATATATATATATATATATATATATATATTATATGAGAGAATTGTTTCGTTTACCAAATAAGTGGATCAAATCGAACTTGTATTGTAAACATTAAATATTTTTTATTTTATATGTCATTTTTTTTTTTTTTTTTGATAGTCCCAAAAACATTCCACATAAATCTGCTGTTTTTTTCCCCAAAATTCTCTGCAGAATTAGCTAAAAATATATGCAGATTCTGTCTGGCTTTACTTATTACTAGGGCAATCTGGACATTTTTTTTTATATTTCTGCAGAGAATTTTGGTAAAACTGCGGATTTCTGCTGAATTATTTTAGGAGTATCATAACTAAAACCTTAATCTGTAAAAAAATATATATATATCTTTTTAACTTTTATTAAATGTTTAAAATGCAAATGCTTTATTTGATAAACAAAGCAAGTCTCTCATATAATATAACTACTAAAAGACAGAAAATATTACTTTCTTACTTTTAATTTACAAACTGAACTATTGTCAATTCTGGCTGGCATTCTGGCACACCTTCCAGCCAATCAGAATCAATCATTTAAATAGACTGTGGAATAAGTTGATATAATGACAGATCATAAAAATACTATTGAAGCATTTAACCAAAAATCTACAGTAGTTTTGGAGACAGCGCTCAACTAAATGACTTTAGATAGTGAAACAATATACAGTTAAACTATAATGTTTAAGTGTTTGTAGCTCTGAGATTCTCTTTTGTGTATTATTAGGGTAAAATTGGAGAAACTGGTGAAGCAGGACCTACCGGATTTACTGTACGTAAATTTGTTATATTATTAAATTTGACATCCTTACATTTATAAACTCTTTAAGATACTTATAACTTTAAAATCGTGTATTTACAGGGTGTTCAAGGACCAACTGGACCTCCTGGAGCAAAAGGCATCTTAGGAGAACCTGTAAGTACTTTCACATACAGTTCTTTTTCAAATATTTCCTAAATGATGTTTAACAGAGCAAGGAAATTTTCACTGTATGTCTGATAATATTTTTTCTTCTGGACAAAGTCTTATTTGTTTTACCTTGGCTAAAATAAATGCAGTTTTTAATTTTTTAAAACCCATTTTATGGTAAAACATTATTAGCTCCTTTAAGCTATATATTGTTTCGATAGTCTACAGACTACCATCATTATACAATGACTTGCCTAATTACCCTAACCTGCCTAGTTAACCTAATTAACCTAGTTAAGCCCAGTGGCATTGCTGGACTCCACTTACTAGGGCATGTGCCCCAGTAAACATCACCAGTGACCCGGTAAATGCTTTGAGCGACGAATTCCTTTATATGCAAGTGTATTTATTAAGAGTTGTAATCCAAGAATAAGGACGTTATTTACTATGTTCAACTAAACCAACGCTGATGACAGCAATGTTTAATCAAAAAGCAAACTGAGCATGTGCATAGAAAAAAAACATACCACACGCAATATAGAATTGTCTATAGAATTTCATTGTAATAAAATTAATATTCATGCAGAGATTTTTTTAAATTATCGTAGCATCGCTCCAGTTGTGTCGTTAGATTGTTTTCTAGTTACATTTAGGATTAATTTATGCTATTTATTTAGAATAATAATTGTTTAATAACAATAGTACTGCTATTTATTTCTAACTATTATTTTTGTTTCATATATATATATATATATATATATATATATATATATATATATATATATATATATATATATATATATATTTATTTATTTATACAGTACAACAGTTCTGTCTGGTTCTCAAATCTGATTGGCTGATTGCCGTGCGATATTTTGCAATATCAGAACTCCTACAGCCTCTTTACCCTTTGTGTATTACTCCGCCCACATACAGCCAGCAAAAAGCAGACACAAGAGATCTAAAGTTTAAAAGATGCACGCTCAACTGTTTAACTGTCAGCTTATGATTTGAATCCAATGTGGAAGAAAGTAGTTCCACATACAAAAGGGTTTTTGAAACTCTCCGTGTTTGATTTTGTTTTTATATACACAATTATGGGGGCACTAAGGCACTATACTAAGGCATATATATATATATGCCTCAAACAGAAATTGGGGGAAAAGTAAACAGGGGGGCTAATAATGCAGGGAGGCTAATAATTCTGACTTCAACTGTGTACACACATTATAATTGCTCTTTCTTTGGTGAAACACAAAGAAAGAGCAATTAGTGGGCAAGAAAACATTCCTTAATCTACCTTCTATTATGAACTGTACAAAGTGCAGTTTAAATAAAAGCATAAGGTAATATGAAAGTTAATTTGAGCGCGATGAAACATTTATAAGAAACATTATTATAAACACAATGCTAAATATCAGCTTGGCGTACACTGATGTTCAAAAGTTTTGGTTTGGTAACATTTGTTTAAATGTTCTTAAAGGAAGTCTCTTGTGTTCAGCAATACATGGTTTTTCATTCAAATTGAATGTATTTCTATAATTCAGTGCTTTATTTTCATTACTCCAGTCTTCAGGGTCATGTTTTTCTTCATTAATTATTCTGACATGCTGATTTGCTTAAGTAAGATTTGTGTTGCTCTGTATATGATACGTTTCCAGATTTATTTAATGAACAAAAAATATCTACTTTTTTTATTTGAATTACAATGATGTATTTTTGTTCTTTGAAAAATATGTGTGTTTGTGTTTCCTGTGAATGTTGGGTTTAGGAGTAGGGGGTAGAATATACAATATTAAAAGTCTTTACGCCAATGGGAAGTCCCCATAAAGATAGCTGTTAAAGTGTGTGTGTTTTTCATTACAAATATTATGAACAGTATTATTCAGATTTGTCTATCTAACTTTTATAGGGTCCTCAAGGATCACCGGGAGTGTTGGGTCCATTGGGTGAGATTGGAGCAATAGTAAGATGATTGACATAATCTTCAGATATATATTGATATGTTCACCGTACAGCACTCTTTCATTACTTTTAAAGAAACATTTATCATTATACTGTAATGCGAGAAATAACAAATTAGGCTTGGTTCCTGTTATTTCAATAGACAAGACTTAGTTTAATGAAATAATGAACATTGTAGTTTGAGTTTAGTTTGATTAATGGCTTATTATGCATGATCATATTTCAGTTGCCTAAATATTACAAGATATCTTAACAGCATCTAACAGCATCTTACTTAACAGTTCCTCTAGAATTTTGTGAATGCATAAAGATAAAAAATATATATATATTACAAGTTTTGTGTGTATTTTCACTGCAAAACACAAGAATTGCTGCGAATAATGCTAAAAGTTTTGAGAAAAGTGGTCACTAAATCATATTACTGTAGGTTGCAACTGCAAATTCCTGGAGGAACTGATCTGAACTATTACTAGACAGCAAAGTATATGTTTATTTGAGACGAAAGTCACAGTAAATAGTTAGTTAATAGTGTCAATTCAATTTAATTATTTTTACACTCTCAGAAAAAAATGGTACAATGTTGTACCAAAGAAGGTACAAACCCTTGTCACTGGGGCAGTACCTTTTTATGGGTCAGATTTGTACCTTAGGACAAAGAAACATATTTGTACCATTGCAGTTTGTACCTTTAAGGACATCATTTGTACCATGGGAAACCAACATTTGGTTTTTAAAACCTATAGATACAATATTGTGCCTTCATTAAAGGTATAAATCTGACATATAAAGGTACCACCACAGGGACAAGACACTTTGCAAGACCTTAACAGTGTCAAAATGCTTACCTAACATTTATTTAATATGTCTTTTATTTAGTGTAGCAGAAGTAGTAAAAGTGTCGTTGTAGCAGTAGTAATCGTTGTTGGTGTAGTAGTACCAGTAGTAGATGTCGTTGATGTAGATGTTGTAGTAGCAGTGATTGCGGTAGTAGTAGTAGACATTGTATTAGTTGTAGCAGACACTGTAGTATCAGTAGTGGTAGTCATTGTTGTGGTAGTATCAGCAGTAGTAGACATTATAGTAGTAATAATTGTGGTTGTGACTGTAGTAGCAGCAATAGTAGTTGTAATATAAGTAACTTTCTGTAGTAGTAATTAGTGTAGTACTTGTGATTTATTATCATTGTCATTTATTATTACTGTTGTCCTTTCTTTTTTTTTACTGTCATTATAACTATCATACATTACTAAGCATTGTTGTTACTCCCTAACTCTGACTGGTTTCTTTTTTATCTGTTTTACTTCTATCTGCGATACTTGATTCATTTATTGGCTGATATTGTTCCTAATGTATGTACTCTGACCTTTCCACCAAGTTACCTTTACATGGACACACACACACACACACACACACACACACACATACACACACACTCACACACACACACACACACACACACACACACACACACCTAACACTACCTGACTATATTGTATTTGTTTGGTTTGTTTATTGTTGTTTTGTTATGGTTTTTAGTTGATGTTTTTTTTTTTTTTGTATTTGTATGATCCCAATTTATGTACCTTTTTGCATATTCTAATAAAAAAAGTCTTTTAGTTTACAATACCTATAGTTTCGTTACCAGTTGTTTTGTAATATTGTATTATAGAATTTAATAATTTATGTTTATACGTTTCTTTCTTCTAGAAATTATTCATAAATCACTTTGCCTTTCCAGTTATATTTATTTTCATATATATTGTAATAAGTTTTGATAGGTATTCATAGAAATTGTAGTAGGTTTTGTACATTTTATATGGAAACAATTGTGTACCTTCATTTCAGTTGTACCATAAAAGGTACAGAACAGTATCATAAGAGGTCTTTTCTGTACCATATAAGGTACAATCTTTATAAAAGTACAAAACGGTTCCTCAAGGAACATTATTTGTACCACCGTGTACCTTTTTTTCTGAGAGTGTATTTCACTTTTACAATGGGGATTGTGTCAAAGCAGCTTAACATAGATGAAGTTCTAGTAAACTGAAACTGATTCAGTCCTTTTTTCAGAGTTCAGATCAGTGTAATATTAATGTCACTGCTGAAAGCCCAAACACTGAAGAACAAATCCAACAATGCCAACAAATCCAACAATTGATCCCCAAACTAAATTGCTCCCATGCTGTCACTTTTCTTTGAAATAGCTATCCATTTTTTCCACATGTATTCTTATTTATATGTGAGCAATTACTGTATAGCAAGATGTTCACTAGTTTCTTGGTTTATGTGACAGGGTTTACCTGGGAAGGCTGGCGATCAGGGCTTACCGGGAGAACCAGGAGAGAAGGTGAAGTGTCTACATAGTTTTTATTGCTGATTTGGGTATAAATAATGATTATATATGAGAATATCCCACTGTTGTTGTAACAATGTTTAAATAAGCATTTTGAAAATTGTCTAACTTTTTTCCCCACACTTTCTAGGGTGCAGTCGGGTCTCCTGGGAATATTGGAGAGCAAGGCCTGATTGGACCCCGAGTAGGTTTCTTCTTTTTATTCAGGAGATATGATATATTTAATTAGAAACTAAATGAAAATGACTTGGTGAGGGGAAAATTAATGTTGTTAGCCTGTTAGTGATAATCATTCGGTCAGTGTAGCACTGAAAGTACAGTTTTATGACTATTCCATGAACACAGTGAAAACAAGCCTCATACTGCAATTATATTAAATCTGCACTTCAGTTCACTTAACATCACTTAACAAATGTTTCCTGGTATTAATATTTCAAGTGTGTTAAGAGTACAATATTTAAAGGTGCAGTCTGATATAATGGCAAAATAATTTCCTGATTTAAAGAATTATTTATTTAAATATATTGCTTACATACTTAAACCTTATATACAGTACTTATTAGAATTTTTACTGTAGCCTAATATCCATTAAAATTCATTTTAAAGTTTAAGTCACACTTTATTCTAAGGTACAATTCTAGCTAATAGTAATGAATTCACTATGATTTTGGCCTCAAAGTCCTAATTTTCTGCTTTGGTATCGAGTAGGATTAGAGATGTAAAATGAGATCATGCAGAATAAGTACAAATTCAATTCAGTTCATTTTATTTCTATTGCGCTTTTACAATGTAAATTGTGTCAAAGCAGTTTCACATAGAAGATCATAGTAAATTGAAAGTGTAGTTCAGTTTTCAGTGTTTAAGTTCAGTTTAGTTTAGCTCAGTTCAAATAAACAGACATTACATAAATAATATGATAATAAACCACTAGATGTTAGTGAGAATTGTTCCTTAAACCTATAATTACAATATAAATACATCAAATAAATTTTAGAAAAGTCAGTCTAAAAGTTTTCACAACCTTGGAAGTTTGATAAGGTCTCAATTTGTTACTGTTCACACATTGGTAATTAAAAAAAGCAATAAACACACCAAAAGAAGTTGTACAGTGAACAGATTATTTTCGGTGGTGGCGCAGTGGGTGGCACTGTCACCTCACTGCAAGAAGGTCGCTAGTTTGAGCCTTGGCAGGGTCAGTTGGCATTTTTGTGTGGAGTTTGCATGTTCTGCCTGTGGGTTTCCTCCCGGTGCTCCGGTTGCCCCCACTAGTCCAAAGACATGCACTTTAGGTTAATTGGGTAAACTAAATTGTCTGCAGTGTATGTGTGTGATATAAAGTGTATGGGTGTTTCCCAGTGATGGGTTGCAGCTGGAAGGACATCTGTTGTGTAAAGCATATGCTCAAGTTGGTGGTTGATTCTGCAGTGGCGACCCCTGATTAATAAAGGGACTAACCCGAAAAGAAAATGAATAAATGAATGAATGAAGATTATTTTCTCATCAAATCACAAGTACAATATATAATTTCTGTAAAAAAAAAAAAAATTATAAAAAATAAAGTAATGCTAATACCATTTTTTCCACAAAGGGTGGCCTATTAGATGCGACCCAGAAACTCGTGCATGTTTGTCTATCACAGCTCACAAGTTTATGATTAATTATGGCACCTGCTCTGCTTAAAGTCTGTATCTGTGTCTTTTTAAAGTAGAACAGTGAATGTTTTTAAAGATGTTCTTATTTAGGGTGACCCTGGAGTCGATGGAGAGGCTGGTCCAAGTGGTCCCGATGGAGCCAAGGTAAGAAAAATGTCATTTAAATTCTTAAAAATGGTTGCATGATTACTTTTGAAGCGTATTATAATAAACAAAAGGTTTATAAACATCTAGTTATTTAGTTTTTTGCTTGCATCTATAATGTTTTTTGATTCGGGTTTAATTGTATTGGATTCCACCGATAAGGATTAAGCTTTAAAGGGCACCTATGGTGGAAACAGTCTACTTTTCAAGCTGTTTGGACAGACATGTGTGTAGGAATAGTGTATAGACCGTCATATTGGGGTGATATAAACACCCAGTTTTTTTTTGTTTTTTTTTTCAATTTAACAACTTAAAAACGGTGGACCAATTGGGGCGGTCACCGAATTGATTGACAGCTGTGTATTAACATGTCTCGGTAGTCACGTGTATAATCATATCAACAAGAAAGGACATGCGCAAAGCAACCAGGAATAAAAGGTCTGTTCAGTTTGCTAGGATCATCAATCATCATTAAATGTGATCAAGAGTGAGTTTTACAAGCTTAAAATGTTTTAAAACAGTGCATGTGTGTAATGAATTACAACGATTCACTTCATCAGCACAGCCAAGTGTCAGAACAGTTATGAAAGAAGACGCTTCAATCCCGCTTTGTGGAAACTTGGAAAAGCTCTCTTGCAGAGATACAAGACTGAGAAGAGAATGTGTGTGAAAGTGGTGCTTAGTCTTAATCAGTGAGAAAGATCTGCAGCTGTGTCAGTGTATTCAGTGTCCAAATTGATAAACTGGGTCAGCTGTGAGGTGCAAAGCATGATGGTAGGTGTAGTCCAGGAGAATGGCCGATGGAGTGTTCATCAAGCTGGAGCGCCATCTAGTGAGTCCAGTGGGTACTCCAGCTAATGACTTGTAACACTTAAGTTTTCCTAAATGAATGAATGAATGAATGAATAATGTTTTTTTATCTTCTTTAATCCTTCTAAATGTGATGTTGTCTGTCCACTTGTCGTTGATTATTGACCCATATTGCTTCATTGATTAATATATATATATTTTAATTTGAGCTCTTAATTTGAGCCGGCAGCTAGTGACATGGTTGCCCACTAAAGCTAAGCAGGGCTGCGCCCGGTCAGTACCTGGATGGGAGACCACATGGGAAAGCTAGGTTGCTGCCGGAAGTGGTGTTAGTGAGGCCAGCAGGGGGCGCTTAACCTGCGGTCTGTGTGGGTCCTAATGCCCAGTATAGTATACTGTTCAGTAAGTGCCGTCTTTCGAATGAGACGTTAAACCGAGGTCCCGACTCTCTGTGGTCATTAAAAATCCCAGGATGTCCTTCGAAAAAGAGTAGGGGTTTAACCCCGGCATCCTGACCAAATCTGCCCACTGGCCTCTGTCCATCATGGCCTCCTAACCCTCCCCATATCTCTGTCTCCTCTCCACCAATCAGCTGGTGTGTGGTGTGCGGTCTGGCGCAAAATGGCTGTCGTTGCGTCATCCAGGTGGATGCTGCACACTGGTGGTGGATGAGGAGAAACCCCCCCCCCCCCATTGTGTAAAGCGCTTTGAGTGCCCAGAAAAGCGCTATATAAATATAACAAATTATTATTATTATTATAAATTATTATAATACACTGTGCAGTCTCTGAGCATGCATAGATTAATGTTCTGATAGAGTTTATTTTTATTATTTGCATGAGCCATTTGAAGTCACTTAAATATATGTTGAAACAGGGAATTACAACACAAGAGTAATATTGTTGTCATTTAGTTTAACGACAGTCAATCAGAACTAATCCCAGATTTAAGCTTTAATCACAGATTAATGTTGGAATCACAAATGTGTTTGAAATGAAGTGGTCCAACATGACTTGATTTAAAATAAAACCCAGATCAATCAATTCTCAGCTCTAAACGCTGTTTAATTGAATCATCATTGGTGCAAACCCGCTCTAAATGTCGTTGTCTGTAGGGTGAACAGGGGGATGTTGGACTGGAGGGAGAATCAGGCGAAAAAGGAGTCATCGGATTTAAAGGAACAGAGGGACGTACTGGTGATCCTGGCTTAATAGGCGTCAAGGTGTGGGCACTTTTATTTCTTGAAACAGTGGCTTATTTTCTTAAGGTTTTCAGATATTTTGCAAACTCATTAAACTCAATAAGTACACTGTAAAAAGTTATTTGTTGACTTCAAAAAGTGAATAAATGCATCGCTTATAAAGCAATTAGCTGGCTTTACTTAAAGTGAGTAAACATGCTGCCTTAAATTATTAAGTAAATGAACTACCAGGGTTGGACAATGAAACAAACCTGAAGTGCCTGGTTTTACACCACAATAATTCCAAACGATTCGAATGCTATCACTCAATTGAGTAGGGCGTTATCAGTGGTTATCAGCTGATAGATATGGGCCAGTAGGGGTCTTCTGCATCTAAGGCCCTGTTTACACTAGTATGTTTTAGAATGAAAATGATCCGCGTCCACACTGGCATTTCACACAGTTATTCTGAACATCTCTCCATCTACACCAAACCACTGAAAACGCACATCACGTGACCACACACACACACACACTCTGGCATGCGCTGTGAGAGCTGTGCTCGTCAGACTGTTCATCAAGGATCTACCACTGGATCTAATCTCACTATATTTGTTAAACGTGATATTTAATTAATCTTGTTGTCTATATCTAACGACATATTACCCGACTTTCCTGTGAATCTATTACTTATTCTCAGGTAACGTGTTTTGGCTGAGCGCAAAGATAAGTTAATAATGTAACCATGTACATTCTGTATATTGACTGATTGTTGCTTTTATTTCCTGTAATGTATAAACTTATTCTATGTTATACTTTCATAATGGCCGTTATTGATTATTAATACTGATTTTCAGCAAAAGAGAGGGTATGTTTCATATTTTCAACGAAAATGAAAGGATGCAGTGATGTTTTAGGCTCTGTTTTGTTATAAATATGCACACAGTAAAGATGACACTCATATATGCAGCTACACGATGCCTCAACATTTCTGCTGTCTGTTAAGTTGCTAATATCAAAATGAAAATAGGCAGTTCCTAATAATATGTTTTCATTTTATTGTTAAGAAAGTGAAACAACGTTCGTATCCAGGGTGATGTGAATAAGGTTATGAAGTACACTGTTACCTTTGAAGTTTTATCCGACGTGTCCTCGGGAGTTTGTTTTCCATATCAAACTTGCGATGTCTGAACTTACAAGGAGAGGATGCAGGACTGAACTGTGTGTGTTAGGCTACTTAATATTGAGGAAAAGCCCCAATCATAGAGGCGAATGTCTGCAGCCCCGCCTCTGTTTTCAGACGTCTCCGTTTTCCCCCATCCACACTGGCTGGTCAAATTTAACCATGAAACCTCCAACACTAAATTGGCCAGTGTTTTAGCTTCATTGTCCAACTCCTGTACATGCATAATTATAAAAATTAAGTCAACTTAACAGTTCAAAGTTACAACGGGTTTACTCAATTTTTAAGTTAAGTCAATTTGACGCTTTTAAGTTTACCCACTTAAAATAAAGTGACTAATCAATTTTTGCCATATTGTTTGGGCTGAGAGTTCAGATCCCTTTATTGTCTCCGCACATGCTTTGAAATGTTTCGCTGAGTGATGTTGGATGACAGAAAACACAAACTAAATCTTCTTGTAGTAGATCTGAATGATTAAAGCCATAAGTCACCACTGAATGTGTTCATTCAGAAATCTGTCTCTCTCTCCGTCTATTCATTTTTGCAGTGTGTCAACTCTGTACTGTCATTTCAGGGCCCTGAAGGCAAAATAGGGAAAACTGGTGAGAGGGGAAAACCTGGAGAGAAGGTATTTTATGTTTGCTTGACATTTTAATTTACAAGCTTTACCAGTTTTCAGTAATTAGTATTGCATTTCAGCATTTCTCCCTGTGTATATATATGAGTGTAATTGGTGCTTAAAGGGATAGTTCACCCCAAAATAAAAATGTAATCATTATTTACTCTCTCAGATGCTTCCAGTCTTATCAGTTTATTTGATCTGTTTAACAAATAAAAAGATGTAAGAAACCATTAACTTTTAACATCAATAGTAGGAAAAATAATTTGGAAGTCAGCGCAGTGGTTTCAGATTTCCAACATTTTTCTTAATAACTCCTTTTGTGTTCAATAGAAAAAGAAACTCATATAGGTGTGTGACAAGTGGAGTATAATTAAATAATGACAGAACTGAACTTTTTGGGTGAACTATCCTTTTACAATAATTTCAGGGAAGCAAAGGTCATCAAGGTCAACTTGGCGAGATGGGTGCTTTGGGTGAGCAAGGTGACACGGGTTTCATCGGGCCAAAAGGAAGCAGAGGAACTACTGGATTTATGGTGCATATTCTATTCAATTTGTCTTAAAGGATTGTTAATGTTTTTGCAAAATCAGACTTTTGAATGTTCAGTTTCAATGTTGTGTCTTCCAAAAAAGGCATAAGGATTAAAACATTTGGGATTAACTTTTACATTTTATTAATTTTAAATTGTAAATTTAAAAAACAAGCGGTAAAAAAAGTCAGAAAAAAAATCATCACAGATATCTTTTCCACAAACTGGGGAAGTAAAATAAATACTGATGGATGGATGGATGGATGGATGGATGGATGGATGGATGGTTGATAGACAGACAGACAGACCGACCGACCGACAGACAGATAGATAGATAGATAGATATGAATTAGCATGTTTCTGTTATGGATTAGCATGTTGTTAGCATGTTTCCACTATGAATTTACATGTTGCTAGCATGTTTCCAGTACGACCCTGCTAAAAAAAAACAGCATATGCTGGTAAAGTATGTTTTAATGCTGGTCTTGCTGGTTTCAATGCTGGTCTTGATGCTTTCAGTGCTGGTCTCAATGCTAGTCTTGCTGCAGCACTGAGATCAGCATCTAGAGCAGCAAAACCAGCAAGACCAGCATATCAGCATCAAAACATACCTTACAAGTATATGCCTTAACATACCTTACAAGCATATGCATGTTGCTAGCATGTTTCTATTTTGGATTAGTATGTTTCCACTATGACTTTGCATGTTGCTAGTATGTTTCCAGTACAAATTAGCATGTTGCAAGCATGTTTCTAATATGAGTTAAGATGTTGGTAGCATGATTTTAGTATGAATTCGCATATTGCTAGCAAAAATTGACATGTTATTGGCATGTTTCTAGTATGAATTAACATGTTTCTAGCATGTTTCTTTACAGATTAGAGTGTTGTTAGCATAACTTTAGTTTAAATACTATGTTGCTAGCAGGAATTAGCATGTTGCTGTCATGTTTCCAGTATTTTTAGATTTATTCGATTTTTAACTAGTATTATCATCATTGTCAGACCGCAAAAAGATGCTTATTTTAATGTGACAATAAAGTAAATAAAACATTTTTGAGGATTTATTTATTTAGGTTTGTTGTATTTTGTGTTTGAAATTTGGTTTCTATAATTAACTCCAATTTCTTGGTTATCATATTCAGGGTGCGACGGGAAAAATGGGTCAGCACGGAGAGCCAGGTTTGGTGGGATATGAAGTAAGTGTTTTTTAAACATGGCTTATAAGAATTTTTATGTTTTATTTTGAGCATAAAGCTTTTAAAACAGCTGATCTACATTATGTAAAATAATGTTAATATTGCTTTTTAGTGCTAGTGGTTTTGTAATCCATTTCTTTTCTTTTTTTAAATTTGCCTTAGGGTCATCAAGGGCCACAAGGTTCATTGGGATCCCCGGGACCAAAAGGTGAAAAGGTATAAATAAATACACATTATTAAAAAAAAAAGATCACATTAGCCATAACGAAACACACAGCCAAATGCATATCAGATGTTTTAGGAGGAAAAGTCCTGCAATGAATTCTGAAATCAATTTCAGGGAGAGCAAGGCGATGACGGGAAGGTTGAAGGTCCACCTGGTCCTTCTGGTGACATCGTGAGTCAGTCCATTAAATATATTTTAACTTAGTTTTGGAGAATATTGGGTGCCAACCTGATCAATATATTTGATTTTTCATTGGGTTAAAGGGACCTGTTGGCAACAGAGGAGACAGAGGAGAACCTGGTGACCCTGGATACCCAGTGAGTATCCAAAAAATATAACCAAAATTGGACACCAACAAAAATACTTTATATATCAGATTTTGAATTTCAATTCTAAAATAGATTTTGTCAATTTTAAGGGCCTTGAAGGTGTTCAAGGAGAAAGAGGAAAAGAGGGGGCTCCTGGAGTCCCTGTGAGTAAATCTACCTTTATACATCTTTAAACCTGTGTTATTTAAGTAGCACTGATATGCTTTATAGTTTTGTAAATTAGATATTTATTATTAATATATAAAATATTTAAATCTAATACAAATTATATATAAATATGTAAATATATTGTTTTGGATTTTTAGGAAATTTGTATTTACATACACATACAGTTGAAGTCAGAATTATTAGCCCCCCTGAATTATTAAACCCCCTGTTTATTTTTTTCCCCAATTTCTTTTTAACAGAGGGAAGATTTTTTTCAACACATTTCTAAACATAATAGTTTTAATAACTCATCTTTAATAACTGACTAATTTCTTTTTGCTATGATGGCAGTAAATAATATTTTACTAGATATTTTTCATGACACTTCTGTACAGCTTAAAGTGACATTTAAAGGCTAAACTAGGTTAATTAGGTTAACTAGGCAGGTTAGGGTGATTAGGCAAGTTATTGTATAACGATGGTTTGTTTTGTAGACTATCGAGAAAAAAATTAGCTTAAAGGGGCTAATAATTTTGAACTTAAAATAGTGTTTAAAATATTCAAAACTTCTTTTATTTTAGCCGAAATAAAACAAATCAGACTTTCTCCAGAAGAAAAAAAATATTATCAGACATACTGTGAAAATGTCCTTGCTCTGTTAAGCATCATTTGGGAAATATTTAAAAAATAAAATAAAATCAAAAGGGGGCTAATAATTCTGACTTCAACTGTATATTATATAATTACAAAAACATTTATTTGGATTAGAATAATCATGATTAATCTTTTGTCACAATATTTTTATTTTCACTAAATGATGGTAGTTTTGTTTTGCATTTGTTTTTGTTTTTCTTTTATAAACTAAAAAAAAATTGTAAAAAAATCCTTTGCAACTACCTGAAATAACATCAAATAATATTATTTATCAATGTATTTGTTACACTTTATGTTATTTAGTTAAGTATCCGTAATTAGTTTTCTTAATTTTCATCCTATTTCCCTTTCTAAAACAACAGGGGAATTCAGGGCCTAGAGGTTTTCCAGGGCCCAAAGGATCTAAAGGCAATAAAGTAAGAAAATAACTAACATGTAAACAAGTGCACACACATATATGGTTAATTTATACATACATAAACATCTAATTTAAATAATTTTAATGGCTCAACTGAATAACTGATTGTATTCAGGGTCCAAAAGGCAAAAACAGTCCTCGTGGTGAATCTGGAAACCGAGGGTCTCCTGTAAGCAAATTTCCTATACCCAGAAATGATTTCAGTAACATCTTAATAAAACGGCAACTGATGTTACTGTGTATTTTATTCAGGGTCCTGTTGGTGTTCCTGGGCCCAGAGGGGTCATCGGTCGAGAGGGTTTTGAGGGGGATCCTGGACCCGATGGAGCTGCTGGGAAAGATGGAGCTAAAGGAATGCCAGTAAGACAATGAATGTAATTCTCAATGTCCTCAGTGTAAACCTTCATTTGGCCCAGGTGCTTTATATGGTTTGTGATGTTGTGGTTTGTTATTTCCCCTATTAGGGTGATCTTGGACATGATGGGGATGTTGGGCTGCCTGGAAAACCGGGTCCTCAAGGAAATGCAGGAGCACCAGGTCTACCAGGAGTTCAAGGCTCTTTTGGGCCAAAGGTACTTTGCTTATATATAGATAGTTTGCTTTTGTTTGTGTGTGTCACTGTTGGGGATAAAGTACATCCATGAGGTTGTTATCACAGAATAAAGCCTCACAGGTTTATAGGCAGCCCGACGTGAATCGGAGAACTACTATATAAGACTGAAGGGCTTTATTCTGCGAAAACAACCATCCTGGAGGTTCTTTATCAAATTATACATAAATCATTGTTCTGAGCCGTAGAAGTTTCTTAATTCTTAAATTAAATGCAAAGCTGACAGAAACGAAAACAGCTGATGAAGTATACACTAACCTGCACATTATTCAGCCACAAGATGGCGCCAAACAATTAAAAACCCTGGCCTGACAGACAAGCAGATACCAAAGAATGTGTATGTAAGTATATGGATGTGAACGTATTCACTGACGTGATTGGAAGCTCCTGGATGAGTCTGAGCTATTTAGCGGTTATTGTGTCTGAATAGCATTCCTTGGAACGTCGCATCTGACCAATCAGAATCAAGTATTCCAGACACCCATGTAATAATTCTTATTATTTAATGGGGAGTCTGATTGACTGATGAACAATGCCCCATCATCAATTACTCTGTTTATACTTCTGTTATATTACCACACCTGAAGACATGGTACAGATGCTGTATCGTGGTGGCCTCAAACTCAATTTCTAGAGGGCTACAGCTCAGCTGATGTTTTTCTCCAACCACCTCCAACTCAAACCTGCTTAATAGTCTCTGGTAGACTTGAACACCTTGATTAGTTGGATCAGTTGTGTTTGATTAGGGTTGAAGCAAAACTGTGCAGAGCTGCGGCTCTCGAAGAATCGAGTTTGAGACGTATGCTGTGTTGTAGGACCTTTGTCAGCTTTATGTCCTCAATAGCTCCTGTGTGGCTCAGTTATTTCTGGTGTATGTCAGTATTAGTTGATTTTAGCTTCATTGTTTCTCTTAGGGGGAAAGGGGCATCCCTGGCCAATCTGGACCTCCAGGCAAAAGAGGACTGAACGGAGGAATGGGATTTCCTGGAAAACAAGGCGACCAAGGCTTCAAAGGACAACCTGTGAGTATGATTTCCCTCTATGGGGCCATTTACAACACAACACAGCTTTCAGCCAAAGTGAACTATATTTATAAACTAATTTGGAGAGGATCACGTTCTTATGATTGATCACAGCTTGTCCCACATTAGCAAACGCATGATTCACCAATCGGATGATTCCTAACTTACTATAAATAACCATAGTTTCTTACCTCAGTTATCTTTGTCTTGAAGATTCCCCCCTTCCACCCCTACTCCCCCTCTCTTTTCCTTGATAGGGCGGCACGGCGGCGCAGTGGTTAGCACTGTTGCCTCACAGCAGTAATGTCACTGGTTCAAGTCCTTACCAGGCCAGTCGACGTTTCTGTGTGGAGTTTTCATGTTCTCCCTGTGCTCGCATGGGTTTCCACTGGGTTCTCCAGTTTCCTCCCGCAGTCCAAAGACATGCGACATGGGTGAATTGACCAAACCAAATTGGCACCATAGATGATCTCCTAATCCGCAGTAAATCTCTCCATAGCAATCCCTAATTTGTCATTAGCCATAAATACACAGCGGAGTTCTCGAGACCTACCTGAGCTCAAACTCCCCTCTCGCCCTGCAAACGGGAGGGAGCCCCTGGGCTCGAGGATCTACTGAGCTCAGGGCTCTCTCCCGGGACAGCATGCCAAACGCGCTTTATAATCAATAATCAGCTAGGTTTGAACTTCAGAAAAATTAAAACTCATTTTGTTTAACACTTAATCAATGAATAAATGGCATCAGTGACATTTCTTTAGCACACACTGAAGATTGATGCTACCTGCTGATCTGCTAGTGTGTTGTTTGTATTGTTCTTTAGGGTGATGCTGGTGAACAGGGATTTCCTGGAGTTCTTGGAATATTTGGACCACAGGTAAACTCAAAAGAAGAATAGCGGTGTAACTCCGGTCTCCTGGCCAAAGTTCCCCATTTGGTCCTTACTTATCATGGCCTCCTAATCATCCCCATCCACTGAATTGGCTCTATCACTGTCTCTTCACTCCACCAGTACCTGGTGTGTGGTGAGCGCACTGGCGCCGTTGTCTTGTGGCTGCCGTCACATCATCCAAGTGGATGCTGCACACTGGTGGTGGTGTGAAGAGACTCCCCTCATGATTGTGAAGCGCTTTGGGTGTATGGCCATACACAATAATTGCGCTATAAATACACATTACATTAAAAAATAAAAGTCAACCTGTCGCGTTTTTATGGCCCTGTTTACTTTAAAATATGTTACTGATCTTATTATGATGATAACGAAAGTCTTATTATTCTGTGATGTTCCCATTTTTTTTAAAGAGGACCTATTATGCCCCTTTTTTACAAGATCTCAAATAAGTCCCTAGAGTGTGTATGTGAATTTTTAGCTCAAAATACCTCACAAATAATGCTTTAGAACTCTTTGCAACCGCCCCTTTTATGTTTTGATTCTAATTGGGTCCTTTTGGTTAATTTCGCTTTAAATTCAAATGAGATTGTGCTTTTTTCAAAAGAGGGTGGAGCTACAAATGCCTGTGTGTCAGCATAGTGGCAGATTCATATACAAGACATTGAAGTCCTATGCTAATGAGGGAGAGATCATCACTAATGGGCGGGGCTTTCCTTCTCTGATGACACGTACATTGGGAGAATGTCAATCAAAGTGTTTCTGCAGACTGTTTTTATCAAGTGTGATTATAAAAGAATAAAATTGATCAACTTTTTCCATTAGAATCTGGTTATATTTAAGGACTGATGCCACACAACTGTGTTTAAACCCCTTATTAAAGTGATTTTTGCATAATAGGTCACCTTTAAAAAATGCTTGTTTCAATTCAGAACCTTCTAAGTACTTCTAGTATACTGTTTTTTAAATACTATTAATTCAGACATAGTACTCGGCTAGCATACTACTTTTAACATAACATATAGTAGGTATATATGCAATTTTTAACACAGCCCAAGTGTTTTTTATGATTATACATTAAAAAATGTTGAACATAACCCAGCATTACAATCTAAAAATCTTTTAAAATAATAATAATAAATCAAATGTATGGCTAAAAATTTATGGTGAATGAGAGCAGAAGTCTCGAGCCAACAAGCTGCCAATGGGTGTGTCTTCTCGTACATGAAAGAATAAGGGCAATAGTAATAAACAGTCAATTGTTCTTCCTTTCTGACTCCTAAAGAGTTTCTGTCATTCAAAGGGGCCTCCTGGAGACTTCGGTCCAGTGGGTGTGCAAGGACCTAAGGGTCCTCAGGGTTTAATGGTAAGTACCACTGTGAGAACTGATGTGAAAACACCAGTGAGATGAATGAAGAGTTCTTGATCAGCAACTACTGTAGGTGTTTCTTCTTTTAAGGGGATGCAAGGAGCCATCGGACCAGTTGGGATCATTGGGCCGAGTGGTAACCCAGTATGTATGATCCAAATCATTCAGCAAACCTTGTTCTTTATGTGCTTTTTAATTAGGTTCACAAAACATATCTCTTCTTTCTTATATTAGGGACCGCAAGGAGACAAAGGAAACAAAGGGGAAATGGTAAGATGTTTTTGGAAACTTTTAATTATGTCAGCCCCTATTTAATTTCTCCAATTTCCTATTTTATATAATAAACCACTTTATAAATCAAAAGGTATTGGAAAATCTCACATATTATTCACTTTGTTATTGCAAATTTTGGATCAACTGTTATTCATTCATGCTATTTTTTAGTGTGGAATGAAAACATGCTTATCCATAACAGAAAAATTTAAACTACATGTTATTTCACACTAAAGTCATGCAAACATCATGCTAATTCATACTTGAAACTATACTATATTATACTATACTATACTTTACTATACTATACTTTACTATCATAATCCATACAGGAAACATGTTAGAAGATGCTAATTCATACTAGAAACATGCTAGTAACATGCTAATTCACACTACAAGCTATACTAAACTATACTATGCTATAATATACAATACTGGAGACATGTTAGAAGATGCTAATTCATACCAAAAAAATGTGAATAACATGCTAATTCATACTAGAAACTATAGTATACTGTGATATACTATACAATACTAATCCATGCTGGAATTATGTTAAAGGATGCTAATTCATACTAGAAACATGCTAAAAGTATGCTAATTTGTACTAGAAACTACACTATACTGTGATATACAATATATACTATACTATACTCTAATATACTAAACTAATCCATACAGGTAACATGTTAAAATATGCTAATTCATACTAGAAACAAGCTAATAACTTGCTAATTCATACTAGAAACTATACTATATTAATCCATACTGGAAACATGTGAAAAGATGCTAATTTACACTAGAAACATGCTAATAACATGTTAGTTTATACTAGAAACTATTCTATACTAATCAATACTGAAAACATGTTAGAGGATGGTAATTCATACAAGAAACATGCAAATAAAATGGTAATTCATACTAGAAACTATACTATACTGTGATATATTATACTATACTAATCCATGCTGGAAATGTTAAAGGATGCTAATTCATACAAGAAACATGCTAATAGTATGCTAATTCTTACAAGGAACTATACTATACTGTGATATACTATACTATAATATAATTTACTATACTCATCCATGAACATGTAAAAATATGCTAATTCTCACTAGAAACATGCTAATATCATGCTAATTCATACTAGAAACTATACTATACTATAATAATCCATACTGAGAGCATGTTAAAGATGCTAATTCATACCAGAAACATGCTAATTCATACTAGAAACTATTCTATACTATACTACAATGTACTATACTATACTAATCCATACGGGAAACATGTTAATCAATACTAGCAACATGTTAATAGCATGCTAATTCATACTAGAAACTATACCATACTATGATATATTATAGTGGAAACATGTTAAAACATGCTAATTTATACTAAAAACATGCTAACAACATGCAAATTCAAAAGAATTAATGAACACAAGATCCAGAAGAAAATTTTAACTGAACTGGCAGGAACAGTAATGTATTCTTGATGACAACTTCTAAGTGACTTTATGGTTTAAAAGTGTTCATTGCAGAGTATAATTCTGTGGTTTTTCTTTTATTTTAAACAGGGTGTTCAGGGACCCAGGGTATGTTTGATCCAATCGCCTTAAATATTACTTACCACCTTTTTACATAAGTTAAGTGGCATGTTTTTAACAAACCATTTTTTTTTTGTTCCCATCAGGGGCCTCCAGGTCCTCGTGGACCACCGGGACCTCCAGTGAGTATTTTTAATCCATTTTATCAAGCATATGAATAGCGTTTATGACTGAAGAATAATATCAAGGTTGAGTTGCATTTAGCTGAAGCTTATGGATTTAATACTTGTTTCTTATTCTCTCATTTGTTTACAGGGGCTTCCTGCTGTAGCCTTTTCTCATGTAAGACATCTCTGATGATATAAACTTCAATACAGAACACTAGATATTCTCAATAAAAAATGCTACTAAATGTCACCACTAGAAATAATATATATATATAAAATACTAAGCTTTTTTCTCTTTGTAAAAATAATGGTGGCTTAAGAAATGCTAATAATTCTTGCATGGTAATGACATGCCAATGATGTCACATGCTAGCAACATGCTAATTCATGCTAGCAACATGCTAACTTATACTGAAATCATGATAACAACATGCTAACACATACTAGTAAACATGTTAGCAACCTGCTAATTCATACTGGAAACAATTGTAATTCATACTAGAAAAAAATGTTAGTGACATGATGATTCATACTTGCAACATGGCAAATCATACTGGAAACATGTTACTGACATGCTAATTATGATGGCTACATGCTATTTCATACTAAAAAATGTTAACAGCATGTTAACATGTACTAGAAACATGCTAGCAACATGCTAATTCATACTAAAAAATGCTAATCCAAGCTACCAACATACTATTTTATATTAAAATTATGTTAACTACATGCTAATCAATACTAAATTCGTGCCAACAACATGCTAGATCATACTAGAAACATGTTGGTGACATGATAATTTATGATAGCAACATGGCAAATCATACTAGAAACATGCTACCATCATGCTATTTATGATTGCTTTGTGCTATTTCATACTAAAATGTTAACAACATATTAATATGTACTAGAAACATGCTAGCAACATGCTAATTAATACTAAAATCATGTTAACAACATGAAAATTCATACTGGGAACATGGTTAAAATACATATGCTAATCTATAAAATAAACATGCTAACAACATGGTAATTCATGCTGATAACATGCTAACAGCATGCTAATTCATACTGGAAACATGTTAACAATGTGCTAATTTATACTGGAAGCATTCTAACATGCTAATACATGTTAGCATGTTAATTCATACTGGAAACATGCAAATCCATTTTAAAGTCATGCTAACAACATGATAATTCATACTAGAAACATGTTAGCAACATGGCAATTCGTACTGGGAACATGGTAAAACTATGCTAATCTAAAAAATAAACATGCGAACAGCTTGAAAATTCATACTAGAAACATGCTAACAACATGCTAATTCATACAGGAAACATTCTAACATGCTAATTCATGCTAGCAACATGGCAAATCATACTGGAAACATGCTACTGACATGCTAATTATGATAGCTACATGCTATTTCATACTACAGTCATGTTAACAGCATGTTAATATGTACTAGAAACATGTTAGCAACATATCAATTCATACTGGGAACATGGTAAATATATGCTAATCTAAAATAAACTTGCTAACAACATGGTAATTCATACTGGAAACATGCTAACAACATGCTTATTCATACTGGAAACGTTAACAACATGCTAATTCATACTGGAAACATTTTAACATGATAATACATGCTAGCAACATGTTAATTTTTTTTTTCTCTTAGGAAAATGAGGCCCTTGGTGCTGCTTTACATGTTTTTGATTCCCGCTCCGCAATAAGATCTGAAGTAGGTGCATTGGTGCAAGCAGTGTCGGAAACCTATCAGAGATTAGTTTTAGGCATTAGCAAATAAACATTAGAGTTGTGTCTGTTCTGTGACTACAGTTACTGTAATTTTTTGCAAACAGGGACACAATGTTAGCTAACAACTTATTCAATTCACAGATGTATCAGGATACTGACCTTCCGCTGCTGGATCAAGGAAGCGAGATTTTTAAGACTCTTCACTACCTCAGCATCCTGATCCACAGTATCAAAAACCCGCTGGGAACGCAGGAGAATCCGGCCAGAATGTGCAGGGATCTGCTTGAATGCGAGCACCGGTTGAATGATGGTGAGATTGTAAACTGCATTGTTTTTGCTCTGGAAAATAGCCCCCAGCTTGGTAACTACGCAACAGTGCTGCGTAACATCATTGTGCCTGCTGCAGCCAATAGATATATACATTAGATGTTGCCTACCCTGCTGTTGTCTATTAGAAGGAATGCTTCAACAGAGCCGCCATTTTAGTACAGGGTAGCACTCCTTTGAAATGAATGCGGGACCAAGGTGCAGTGGAGGACTGTGGCCATCCAAAGCCTGAGATATACACATATATACACATATATCTGTGATCGCAAATTTTTTAAATGACTTATAATTATAATTTTGCATTACTTTTCTATATCGATGGATAAGTGACCGCATGGGCATTGCGGACAAAGAGCATGTTTGTGTCATGGAAATGTATTATCCTCCCTCCCTGTTTAATCTGATCTAATCCAAGTCCTGAAACACACCTCCTCTCCTGCTTTCACTTCTCATTCTGCGAAGCAAGGGATTTGTTTGTGAATGAATCGCTGTTATGAACGACTCATTCACTTATCCGACAATAATTCAAGTTTCTGCCACCGCAGCATCTTTTTGTCATATTTCTTAACATTGTTAGCTTATTTTATTCAACAAAACTAGCATAAGCCTAGAATTTAGTGTGAGTTGGTGCTCCTTTGCCTAATTGTGAATGCAGTAGGTGACTGTATCATCATCAATAACGTGACTTGTTGAGCACTATTTAACTATTAAATGTTCTGCCTGTGTGTGTGTGTTTTTTTTTATTTATTTTTTGCTTATTACTACACCCGTGCACAGCGCTAAAGTCTAGCATCTTCACATTGGCGCACTGTCTTGACTAGTGCGGTTGAATGACATTTGGCCTAGGAGCACTGGACAAATGTTGCAGCGCTATTGACGCATGCTCAGGGTCCGTATGTGATATCTAGTGTATATATCTATGGCTGCAACCATGGTAGTTCAAACAAAGTTCTTTGACTATGAAACTAAATGAACTATATAAAATGAGACTATAGTTCCTAGCCATATCAGCCTAGAAAAAAAACAGGCAATTTAACTACAAAAGAGTCAAGCTTTAAGTAGAAAAAAATTAAAAACTATTTGAGTGAGATGCTAAGTGTCTAATCTGATTCAATGATCTATGCTAAGCTATGCTAAAAGTGCTCCTGCCAGACTCTCGAATTGACTGAATTGATTCAAAAATAGTAAAACTCAACAGTTTAACTCAAGGAGAGTTGTAAAATTTAGGGAAAAAGAGGAGTGTTTCTTTTAGTTACTGCCATATGATTGACTAATGAGACATTTGCTTTAAAATTTGAAGTCGTGTACCTAAAGTGGTCAGCAAGTGTAATAAAACAGTTAATAAACAACTGTGGTTGTAGTTTGTCATATGTGATAGAAATGAATAGTGTAGGATCGTTCATTTCATTCATTTTCTTTATTTCAGGCACTTATTGGATAGATCCTAACCTGGGCTGCTCCTCTGACAACATTGAAGTGACCTGTAGCTTCACCAATGGAGGTCAAACCTGCCTTAAGCCAGTCACTGCATCCAAGGTCTTTAAAGCACACAACCAGCTATAACTTTATATATTTCACTGAATCTGTATTTGCATCATTCCAAAGATTGCTGTTGAGTTTAAAGGGGACCTGTTATGCCTTTTTTTACAAGATCTAAAATAAGTTTCTGATGTTCATAGAGTGTGTATGTGAAGTTTCAGCTCAAAATATCCCACAACTAATGTTTTATAACTCTTTGAAACCGCCCGTTTCAGGCTTTGTGCTGTTTTAGTGACTGTCGCTTTAAATTCAAGTGAGATTGTGCTCTTTTCAAAAGAGGGAGGAGCTTCTAATGCCTGTGTGTCAGCATAGTGGCAGATTAAAAAACAAGATTAATGTCCTATGCTAATGAGGAAGAGATGGTCACTAATGGGCGGGGCTTTCTCCCTCTGATGACACGTACAAAGGGAGAATGTCAATCAAAGTGTTTCTGCAGACTGTTTTAACGAACTGATTATGAAGAATATAATTAATTTTTACCATTAGAAGCTGGTCATATAAACACACTGTTGCCACACAACTGTGTTTAAACCCATTTAAAAGTGAATTTTGCACAATAGGCCCCCTTTAAAGAGTTCTTATGTTGCTTTTTGTGTCCATTTTTCTGCAGAATAGATTGCTCAAAGTGTCTCTTTTCTTGTGGTAATCAGTTTTTTTACTTCTTTCCTAAAGCTGGAGATCGGAGTCAGTCTGATCCAGATGAACTTCATCCACCTCCTGAGCTCTGAGGCTGTGCAGATCATCACCGTTCACTGTCTGAACATCTCCGTTTGGGCATCGGAAGACTCCAAAACACCTTCCTCCAGCATGGTATACTTTAAAGCCTGGGATGGACAGATAATCGAGGCTGGAGGATTCATCGAGCCTGATTTGCTAAAGGATGAGTGCTGGGTATGTTTATTGTAATCATTTATTTATTAGCAACTGCCAGGTTTCACAGGCATCAGGGGGTTCACAAGACAACATAAGTAAGATCATGCAATTGCCACATACCATATGTGTTGTATTGTGTTTTTTCGGGATCAGTTTGAGTATGGCTACACCTCTAGTATTTAGGGTTGTCAAAAAAGTATCAACCTCCATATCAATTGGTACTGATACAAGGTCCCATGATTTGCTTTGAAATGTGCATTCAATGTTTGACGTAATCTCAACCGAAATGTGAAGAGAGGGTGGGACCAATGACTGTAAAAAATATGGATGACGTGACATTGAACACTTTGAATCCAAAACGCCTCATAACTATCGCAAAAAACTGCTGAAATTGGAGCCCAGGCATGCATAGAAAGACTACCTGATGGAGCTAGAGACAGAGCCACGGAATCAGACTTCCAGTCAAACCAAGTGTATCTGTCTGCGGCCAGCAAGACGGAGGCATAATATGAAGGAGCGTAACTTGTAGTAAGTTATAGGTGTAACTTGCAGTCATCGAGATCCCATAGAACCATGCAAGATGTCGCAACGAGATGTTGTTGGCAAGATAGCGGAAATACTTACCAGAGAACATTTTTATCAAATGTTTTCATGAGTTTTCTCCAAATTTATCCACAACCTATTCATTTGAAATACTATTATATTCATTCGTTTAGTAACTCCACTTGCTGACTTCTTCATCTGTTTTATCATGACATTTAGACTACTTGGCATAGAGTAATAGTCTAAATATCAACAGGATATTTACACATCCAAGCACTATACAAAATAATCCTTATCAAGTTGTACAATAAATTTTAATTATTTACTTTAATTTATAATAATAACTTTAATTATTCTTTACTAGGAGTTTTAAAATAAAAAGCCAAAGGAAAATGATGGGGGGGGGGTCTTTCCAAAATGAAGATAGGGAGTAAAGTTAGGCTGAATATTTATGTTAAATTTGTAATAATCCGATTGGCTAGCTAATGATTACCAATAGTGACCAGCTGTGGTCAATCACATCATGTGCTCCTCTCGAAATTAATTTGTGAGACTTCACTTAAAGGAACACAAAGCAGGATTGGTTTCAATTCGCCGCAGTGATTCGCTGCAATTTTCATGTTGGCTATAAAAAATCTACCACCTCTATTAGACTTCCTCATTTTCACAACTAATCCTACCGCTTTTTTTTCCTATGTAGATCACAGATGGTAGATGGCATCAAACACAGTTCATTTTCCGGACGCAGGACCCAAACTTACTACCCATTGTGGAGATCTACAACTTGCCCAGCACTAAACCTGGCTCACATTACCACCTGGAGGTGGGCCCTGTGTGCTTTTTATAAGGAGAAATCACCACCGAGGCCTTAAAATCCCTGATCAATGGCATCCAAGAGCTTCTGTGCTGTCACCAAAGCTGTATTAAGTTCAGTACACCATGTCTCAAACCTGTACGGAAGCCTTTAACAGGAGGAACCAGGAACACAGAGCAGCTTTGGAAAAAACAAAAGAAGACTTTCTACATGAACCGCTCAGGATGACATTTGCTCTTTTTTTCAGAGCTAAGTTTCTCCTGCTTTTTTAAAACTCTGATAGTCTTAATTTATTCATAGGTGGGTTTTTTGGCACATGATCCATGTGGACAAGCTTTTCGGATCATTTAAGACGTTTGTAATGAAGTACTTATTTTGTATTCTACAGTTATACACAATCATGTGTTTTATTTATACATGTTTGTGTGTGTGTATATTTTCTGTAAAGTGCAATAGAGGATGAACAGATTGTTTTTTTTTAAAGATGAATCTTGCTTTTGGCTGTTTAATGTAAAAGTGACGTTTACTGTCACTCATATCATTTGATTCAGGTTTAATTATTAGAGGAAGCCGAGGCTCATTGACGATATGTGCCTCAGCCTACACTGAATATGTTGTTCCAGATACATTTTCTTGTACATTTCAGATGACAAATCCACTAGAGGGCGCTGTCTATGGTTTTGTGAATCTAAAATATATTACGTTTTCTCCATGTTTTAAGATGGGACTTGTCATACGGATCACCTAGCAAACCACTAACCAATAGTGTTTTCAGAAACAGACGCAAGAGAAAAGATATAACATATCTTTAGCTTAGCTTAGCATAGATCATTGAATCAGATTCGACCATTAGCATCTCATTAAAAAAGGACCACTTTTGAACATTTTTCAGCCTACATTAACATTTCTACATTAACATTTTGTTGTACATTTTAGATGACAAATCCACTAGAGGGTGCTGTCTACAGTGTTGTGAATCTGAAATACATTACTTAGGCTATGTTTCTACACATTCGAAGACTGGACTACAATCCAGTCGTACGGATCACCTAGCGAACCACTGACCTAAACCCAACCAATAGTGTTTTCAGAAACAAACGTAAGCGAAAAAATATATCCAAAAAGTTATATGAAGGTGCGAACATTTATACCTTAAAGAAACACTCCACTCATTTTTAATAGTCTCATTTTATAAATCACCTAGCATTAAACAGTTGACTTAAATCATTTTTTAATCCATTCAGCCGATCTCCATTTCTGACAGGAGCCCTTTTAGCTTAGCTTAGCATAGATCATTGAATCAGATTAGACCAGGGGTGTCCAAACTTGGTCCTGGAGGGCTGCTGTCCTGCATATTTTAGTTATCACCCCAATTAAACACACATGAACAAGCTCATCAAGCTCTTTCTAGTTGTACTAGACGTCCAGGCAGGTTTGTTGGACCTAAACTAAGCAGGACACTGGCCCTCCACGACCGAGTTTGGACACCCCTAGATTAGTCCATTAGCATCTCATTAAAAAAATGACCACTTTTGATAATTTTTCCACCTACATTAAATACTTTGCTCCGGATAAGTTTTATTGTACGTTTCAGATGACAAATCCACTAGAGGGCGCTGTCTATGATTTTGTGAATCTGAAATATGTTACTTAGGCTACGTTTTCTACACATTCGAAGACTGGACTTCAGTCGGACGGATCACCTAGCGAACCACTGACCTAAACGCAACCAATAGTGTTTTCAGAAATGAACGTAAGTGAAAAGATATAACATATCCAAAAAAAAAAATATATATATATATATATATATATATATATCAACGTGCGAACATTTATACTTTGAGGAGACACACCACTTTTCAAGTCAACCTAGCATTAAACATTTGACTTTAACCATTTTTGAATCCATTCAGCCAATCTCCAGTTCTGACCTAAACGCAACCAATAGTGTTTTCAGAAATGAACGTAAGCGAAAAGATATAACATATCCAAAAAAAAAAAAATATATATATATATATATATATATATATATACTGTATATATATATATATATATATATATATATATATATATATATATATATATATATATATACATATATATATATCAACGTGCGAACATTTATACTTTGAGGAAACACACCACTTTTCAAGTCAACCTAGCATTAAACATTTGACTTTAACCATTTTTGAATCCATTCAGCCAATCTCCAGTTCTGACAGGACCACTTTGTTAGCTTAGCATAGATCATTGAATCAGATTAGACCATTAGCATCTCATAAAAAAAAGACCAATTTTGATCATTTTTCAGCCTATATTAAATACATTGCTCCGCATCAGTTTTGTTGTAGGTTTCACATGACAAATCCACTAGAGGGCGCTGTCTAGAGTTTTGAGAATCTGTAACATGTTACTTAGGCTACACATTCTAAGACTGGATTTCAGTCGTATGGATCACCTAGCAAACCACTGACCTAAATCCAACCAATAGTGTTTTTAAAAACTAATTTAACATACAAGAGAACTGCCACAGTTAAGGTAAAACCACATAGTTTTACTTGGATTTTATCTTTTTTTGTAGAAACATGCTTCACCCGACCTTAAACGAAGTGCTCTGCATCACAAAAACAACACCGTACAAAGTGAGCGACCATATTTGATTACAAATTATGGACATTGTTAAGGTATTTTGTGATATTTACTTAAAGGTGTGTAAATAACTACACACAAATAATCGATGTCCCTATAAATATCATTAGTGTGAAAAGGAACAGGAGTTGGTGACTTCATACTGTCCCGTATAATTCATTTAACTTGATTAACTTAATTAATTAAACTGCAGTCAAATGTGTGATGAAGTACGTGTTTGTGGCTGAAGCATGTATTTCCAATGAGCCTGTGTTGATCATATGTATGTGTGTATGCCAGCAGGTCTGACAAAAAAAGCCTCAGATACCATAACACACATATATTCAAAGCCAGAGAACGAGTCAAGGTGAATCCAGACTTGAAAAGGAACATATATAAACGTCTACCTCCCATCTCTACAATTTCTTAAGCATTTGGGGAACAGTAAGTGTTCAGAAATGGATTCACATGCATTTAACCTGTGGTTAGACTTTTGTTCCTGTCATGTTTTTAACTTAAGTGCCTTTTATAGGTTTGAAGGGAATATTGTATTTTTTTTGTAAAGGAAAACCTTCCAGCCAAACGTATTTTAATCTTTTGTTTTCTTTAATGTCTTTTTGTAAAGATATTCGAACTTTGAAGACATGAGGATGCTTTTTATTATAGTAGACATTGTGTTGTGCTTTATTTCTTGGAGTTGGAGGGCTTTCCATCAAGTGCACAATACCAAAAGCCCTATCTGACTGCAGAAGTAGTTGTTTAACGTGCAAAATCTGCTCTGTTTCATCATTGCTGATTGTTGTGTGTTTAAGGTGTTTTTACAAAGCCAAATCTTACCATTGATTCAGCTGATCAAGATCAAAACGAGAGCACTCAAATCTTCAATCATATTGGGCTTATCGTGTGCAACGCATTGATGGTGAGTGAAGTATTTCAGTACATTAGCTGTGACTAGGGCTGCATAAAAGATTTGAAGTTGTTGAGTATACAGTGCATGCGGAAAGTATAGCGCTTCACTTATTCCACATTTTTTTATGTTACAGCCTTATTCCAAAATGGATTAAACTCATTTATTTCCTCAAAATTCTACAAACAATACCCTATAATGACAATGCAAAAAAAAAAGGTTTTGAAATTGTTGCAAATTTATTACAAATAAAAACCTGAAATGTCACACGTACATCAGTATTCACAGCCTTTGCTCAATAGTTTGTTGATGCACCTTTTGCAGCGATTACAGCCTCAAGTTTTTTTGAAAATGATGCCACAAGCTTGGCACACCTGTCTTTGGGAATTTTTACCCATTCTCTTTGCAGTACCTCTCAAGCTCTATCAAGTTGGATGGGAAGCGATGGTGTACAGCTAATTTCAGATCTCTCCAGAGATGTTCAATAGGATTTAGGTCTGGGCTCTAGGAAGAGTCCTGGTGGTACCAAACATCTTTCAGAGCGGCAGAAATGTTTCTGTAACCTTCCCCAGCTTTGTGCCTTGAGACAATCCTGTTTTGGAAGTCTACAGACAATTCCTTTGTCTTCATGCTTGGTTTATGCTTTGACATGCACTGTCAACCCTGGGACCTTATATAGACAGGTGTATGCCTTTTCAAATCATGTCCAATCAACTGAATTTACCACGGGTGAACTCCAATGAAGCTGCTGAAACATCTCAAGAATGATCAGTGGAAACAGAATGTACCTGAGCTCAATTTAGAGCTTTACAACAAATGCTAATAGTGATGTTCATGTGATTTTTCAGGTCTTTTATTTTTAATAAATTTGCAACAATTTCAAAAAACCTTTTTTTCACAGAAAAAAAGTGAAACGCTATGAATACTTTTCTGATGCACTGTAGATATAATGATTCTTGCAATATAACAAATCTAAAAAAAAAAAAATGTCAGGGTGCAAACATTTATACTTTAAAGAAAAACTCCACTTTTTAAAATAGTCTTATTTTACAAGTCATCTAGAGTTAAACGTTTGTGTTTAATCATTTTTTAATTCAATCAGCCGATCTCTGGATCTGATAGGAGCACTTTTAGCTTAGCATACATCATAGAATCAGATTAGACCATTAGCATCCCATTAAAAAGATGACCACTTTTGATCATTTTACTATTTAAAACTTGTTACATCGTACACATGCTGTGTCCACACTAGAGTTTGAGCTTGCGCAATGCTGTTGTACGGCGCTGTGAAAAGGGGACGAGATTAAACAAGATTATTAGACGTAAAAAAGTGAGCGATTTGTCCATATTTTAAATTTTTGTACAGAGAGGTCATGTTTTGCTATGTCATTGGTCTCATACATGTCTCGTGATGCGATTTTGCAGGTCAGAGTTTACCGAGCTTGAACGTAACAATGCAGCGACATGCAAAACTTGTCGCATAAGCTTGTGTTTTCGGTCTTCTGCATTCGCATGCATATAAATGGAAGTCTATAGGGGGTTGCACTGCGGATGCGCCATTCGGTGATGCACCACATAGCGACATGCCATATATTTCTATCAGGGTATGCACTGTGGTGCAGCAAGTAGGCAGCTGTCCGCGCCACCCAGCTTCTACTCAGAACAGAGCGCCATCTGAATAGTTTCATATTAAACAACATGAGCATGTGCGTGTCTGGTGTGCAATACAACTGTCATGTGCGTGCCACATCGCAGCGACCAAAACTGACAAAAGAAGTTAAATAAATAAGTAAAAAAGAAAAGTGATCAAAATGGACTAATGCTAATGGGCTAATCTGATTCAATGATCTATGCTAAGCTAAGCTAAAAGTGCTCCTGTCAGACCCAGAGACTGACTAAATGGATTCAAATATGGTAAAACTCTCGGGGAGTTATGACATGAGCCTATTCTCCGAAAACTGAAGTGTTCTTTTAAAAAACTACGAATGACTGAAAGCATTGTCAAATATTCTGATTCTTATTCGCTCTTAACTCTTATTCTCTCTCATCTTTGCTCCCAACATTAATAACGTATTTATTTTAAGCTCTCCTCTCTGAAGGCTCAAGGTTCAACTTACAACCGGAATAGCCAATAATGTAACATTACAATAATATAAAGATAGTTAGGTCACATTTGATTGGTTGAATATGGATAAACACCCTGTGAATGTAACACACAAATGCTTTGGCACATAAAATGTCTCACACCCTTCTACAATATGGATATTGCAATCTATTATTGAATAACGATAACTTTTTGATTAATATTGCAGCCCTAGCCTTGACCAAAAAGAGTTTGTAAAAATGATTGTGAAATATTTGTTGTTTTGATCAGAATTGTTAGATGAAATGTAAGTTTAAGGTCTTGCAGACAAAGAAAGAAATGCACGTTATAATCAATATTATTATGGTCAATCATTGCCTCTTAAATTCAGCAGACACCAAAGAACTATGATCTCAGTGTTGTGTAAATTAATACACATTCATATCACACATGGACAGCCCTTATATCTGTCTGCCATTCTAAGATTGTTTTTCCTGGCCATTTCAGTGTCTCATTGGAATAAACAATGATGAAAAAACTGCATGTTGTTTATTCATTTTTCTTCAGCCAAAAACCAAATATTATCGAGAGCCGTGGGAGGAAGGTAAAAACACCAAACTACATTACATTAAAGTTGCCATGGGTCATTTCCTACTTTCATTCATTCATTGTCCGCTTAGTCCCTTTTTATTAATCCGGGGATGCGACAGCAGAATGAACCGCCAACTTATCCAGCACGTGTTTTACGCAGCGGATGCCCAGCTGCAACCCATCACTGGGAAACATCCATACACACTCATACACTATTGACAATTTAGCCTACCCAATTCACCTGTACCGCATGTCTTTAGACTGTGGGTGAAACCGGAGCACCCGGAGGAAACCCACGCGAATGCAGGGAGAACATGCAAACTCCACACAGAAACGCCAACTGAGCCGAGGCTCGACCCAGCGACCTTCTTGCTGCGAGGCGAACGTGCTACCCACTGCGCCACTGCGTCGCCCTAATTTATTTTATAAGAGTTCAAATATTATTTTAAGTCATATTAACCATGCAGTATAACATTTTAAATAAAACTTATTGCAATAAAACCAAACAATCACATTTATAACATTTATTGGAGGTCAATGCTGAATATAGTCAAGCATAATCTGCCTTTGACTTGATTTGCTCAGCAAAGTATCTGCATTGTCTGGTGACAGTATGCACATTTAAACAAAATCTGATTGATTTACACCTTTTAATTAAATGTCAGTATGATTTTAACAAAAAAACAAACAAGCAAAAGGGTACAATAAATTTAAATAGACACTCTCTAAACCATCCCCCCTCACTCTCCCTCTCTTCTCAGATGGGATGGTGGAATAAATCGAAGGATCATTCGCTATATTTTAACAAGTATATATCGATAAGTATGGAGTCAGAATAAGTATGTTGTTTTATTTTTACAAAAATATATTTACTGCATCGATTGATAACATTATTTATACGTTTTATGATGATAAATGTTTCTGTAACTTAAATGTAGACTTTTAACATGCATTTAACGTGCTTTTCAAGTAAACAAAATCGCTTTTGTAAATGTCACTTGATAAAAATGGCACATTCAATCTTTGTATCTTAACTAGCAAAGCATATTGTAAAAGCGTCACAGTCTTCTCTGCTTGAATCCCAGGTTTAAACTGAAACATTTTACATTTCAAGAGTTCACACTTAGCTCATGATTTATACATAGCTTGTTTGGCATGCTGTCCCGGGAGAGAGCCCTGAGCTCAAGGGATCCTCGAGCCCAGGGCTCCCCCCCTTTTGCAGGGCGAGTGGAGATTGAGCTCAGGTCTATCTCAAACTCCCCCGCTGCTGAGTCCAAGGCGAACTTCCTGAGAGTAAGACATTATAAAAAAGGTTTAGGCTTGTTTTATCTATAATATAGAGCACATTTGGATGGTGGGAGGAAACCGGGGAACCCGGGGGAAACCCACGCGGACACGGGGAGAACATGCAAACTCCACACAGAAATACCAGATGGCTCAGCGAGGACCCAACACCATTGGTATTCTTGCTGTGAGGCAACAGTGCTAGTCACTGGGCCACCGTGCCGCCCATTCTGGATAAAGGAGGAAGAAGGGGAGGAGGGGGGTTTCTTCCAGACGAAGATAGTTGTAGAAAGGAAATGAGGATATATATAGTGATTTGGGATCCTTCGATTGGAGGATCATAATTAGTTAATGTGGACCAGCTGGGTAAATCATGAGCACATGCTCCTCTCGAAATTAGTTTAAAACTAAACTTCGAGTGGTATTGATTTAGTAATAATTTCAGACATCACTCGATCATACTGAGAATACACATAAAAAAGTCACTTGAATTCTCTTTTGTGTTGCATATAAAGGTTGTAAAAGAAAAATATATGAATGCACTTTTATATATATTATGTGGTCTCAAATGTGGTACACTGTCACCCTGTGGGGGGTAGCTGTTGCTTTTGTTTTTTTCTCTGTCTCTCTCTCTCTCTCTCTCTCCCTCTCTCTCCCTCTCTCTCTCTCTCTCTCTCTCTCTCTCTCTCTCTCGCTCTCTCTCGCTCTTTCTTTCTACCTTGTCTCACCTGTGGGCAATTAAGTGGCTGGAGCATGCTGCAGGAGGGAACAAAGAGAGATTGTGCCAAACTCTAGTGGGTGAAGGCTGCTCCCACCTGGTTCTCCTGCCCCAGACTAGCTCTTGGTGTTGAAAAATTGAGATACTTGTTGTAAAATTACAAATCTTGTTGTTAGTGAACAATAGTGAAATTTAGACTTTAAATTCCCTTTGTTTGTTTAATACTTAATCTTGTTGGTTTTTGTTTAAATGTTTTGGAGCTGTACGGAGGTGGATGTCACTTGTTTGTTTAATACATTTATTTTTTTCTCCTGTTTCTTATAGAATAGGAGCAAGGTAAGATCTTTGTTTTTTTTTTTTTTTTTCTTTTGAGAGTTTAGAAAGTTGCTTCCTCAATCAGTTAGATCTTTTGTTTGTTGGTCTGGCATTATTGTTTAGTTATAATTTAGTATGTTTGACCAATGGTTATTTATTATTTGTTAATCTGTAAATAAATAAACTTGTTGTTTTTGCATATTGGATATGGTGTGATTTATTGTTGAAGTGCTGGGACAGGAGAAGAGTGATGATTGTTGGCTGCCTTGCCCTTTAGTTTTTTGTTATTTAGTTATATTTTATAGCATCAAAATTGGCCTCTAATTAATTTTATAATTTGGCTAAATTTAATTTGTTAATTTTTATTTTCTTTTTCCCTTTATGTTAAATTGTTGCATGTTTCCCTGGCCCTAGATAGGGAAGGCATGTAACATTTGTCCCACGTACGTTCGCTTGCTCTAAACATATAATGAATGATACAACAGCGCCACCCTGTGACAAGACATGAAAACAACACAATAACATGTGGAAATTCTAAAGAATATACATGATTTAAAAAAAACAACACCAAATAGGAGAGCTCAGTCATTCCTACTTTCTAAAAGACAAGACTTTATTTAAAGCAATACATTAATGAATGACTTGTATATGTACTGTCATTGTATATGTACCGTCCTGTTGTTGATGTACTGTTGATGTTCGCATCCTCTATGCTTTCTTCTGTAGACTGGTGTAAGCACTCCTAGAGAGATTTCCCATCTTTGTCGATGTGCTGTGTGTTTTGCGAGGAACCAATCCCAGATCTCCCGTCTTATAGTGAGAAAGATGCGGAGAAGTTTTCTGCAGTGCACCTGGTCTGGAGTTAAATCACACTCAGTAGGTTTACAGTGATACATTCTTATTTTAACACAATTAAGACAATACTCTGATTAAGAATAGCGGCTGATGTCATTTTGGAAGTAAACACAAATTGATTTAAAGGGATAGTTTACCCAAGATTGTGTGGAGTTTGTATGTTCTCTCTGCGTTCGCGTGGGTTTCCTCCGGGTGCTCCGGTTTCCCCCCACAGTCCAAAGACATGCGGTACAGGTGAATTGGGTAGGCTAAATTGTCTGTAGTGTTTATGTGTGTATGTGTGGATGTTTCCCAGACATGGGTTGCGGCTTGAAGGGCATCAGCTGCGTAAAAATATGCTGGATAAGTTGGCGGTTCATTCCGCTGTGGCGACCCCGGATTAATAATGGGACTAAGCCAACAAGAAAATGAATGAATGAATGAATTTACCCAAGATGTACATTTTTTTATCATTTGTAGCAAACCTGTTTGAGTTCTTTCTTCTTTTGAACACAAAAGAAGATGTTTTGAAAAATGCTGAAAACCTGTAATGTTTATTTCTATAGCACTTTGACAATGTAGATTGTGTCAAAGCAGCATAACATAGAAGTTCTGGTAAACTGAAAATGTTTCAGTCCAGTTTTCAAGTTCAGTTCTGTTTAGTGTGGTTTCACTGCTGAAAGTCCAAACAGTAAAGATCAAATCTATCGATGCGCAAATCCACAAGTCCCGAACCAAGCAAGCCAGTGGCGACAGCGACGAGGAACAAACCTCACCAATTGATGAAGTGAAGGGGGAAAAAAGCCTTGAAAGAAACCAGGCTCTGTTGGGAACGACAATTTCTTCTCTGGCCAAACTTCATGTGCAGAGCTGCAGTCTAGGCGCGGGAGAACGCTGGACATCCATCGTGGAGAACAGCAGGAGTGAGTAGGTCACCGGCGGATGTTCAGGCTGGCCCACAGGATCAATGCATAGATTCGTTTGTATTGTGGTTAGGAACACGTTCTCCGCTTCTCCATGACCACCACAGCATCAGCTCAGGATACGGCCTGGTCCAGGATTATGAATACCTTTACATAATTTCTTCACAGGTCTTGGATCGCATCATAATTGCTGCATAATCTCTAGGGACCAAGGGGCCATTGACTTCCATAGTAGGAAAAACAAATACTATAAAAGTCAAAGGTTCTAACATTTTTCAAAATAACTTCTTTAGGAAGGAAAGTAACTTATAAAGTTTTGGAACCAATTGAGGGTGAAATAAAAATTGAAAATATTAATTTTTGGGTGAACTATCCCTTTAAGACACGTAGCATGCACCTTGAAGCCAGATTAGCTGTAATGTCAGTCAGTTTAGTATGCACCAATCCTGGGTTTATAAGAAGGCAGCTCAGCTTTATCATTCTTTGTTGTACAGTATCTATGCTCCCTTCCAGTTTAGAGATTACATAAACAAAATTAACCAATCAGCTGTGAGCAAAGTAACATATCATTGAAGTAAAGCCACTCCCCAAAATTCTTTTACTACAAATTAAAGGTCACCATATCTTAAGCAGGTATCAGTAATCCTAATCGTTGACCTTATTCTGAATCAGACAATAATATGATTCTGATTATTTTACAATATTCCATTTAAGCTCTCTTTTTACATATTGTGGTGCTTAAATATATTTTATAAAATATAAAAACATTTTTAAAATAATAAAATCGTCAGTTTTTAGTGGATTATTTATTATAATTATTTTACATGATATCAGAAGGCCTACATTGTCTTAATTCATTAGACATATAGTTGAGTGCAAAATGATTAACCTTCCAGTGAAGATTGTATTCTTATCCAAATATTTCCCAAGTGATTATTTTTAACAGAAGTAAGAAATGTCTGTAATACAGCCCCTATTATGGGTTTTTTGAAAATGACCTTTCATGTAGTGTGTAACACAGCTCTAGTGAAGTGAAATATCCAGCTAAGGCCTAAACCTGAAAGTGCAGTGTACAAAATTATTGATTCATTTATTAAAGAGTTGACTCATTGTGCTTCAAATGAATCATCTTAGTAACGAGTCCTTCGATACGAAACTTAAACACCGCCCAATTGTTTCCCACGCAAACACCGGAAAATTGAAACATGCGGCCCCGCCCACAAACACAGTAACAGATCCCGGTTAAGTCAAGTCATGAAGACGCTGTGCTCAGCTGGATATTACTGAAAGTGTGAGGGGAAAGTGTTATTTTCTCAACCCAAAGATGAAAATGTGAAGAGTCAGTGCTTGAGGTTTATTTTTGCAAAAATACCTCGGCATTATAGCCCAGCCTTGTGCTGTTCCTGTCATTTTTCTGACGAGTGCTTAAGCAATCTACACGCTTACAACAGGGGATTCATCGGCCGTTTGTTAAAGGAAGGATCAGAAAAGACTATTGATGTGTGGGACTTTGTAAGAGCTTGACAGGAACTTTACAGTACACTGTTCATGGATTAGTTTTTTCCTCCATTTCACAAGTGTAAGTGCGATTAAAATGGCTGCCTTGTTTTCTCTAGCTTGCAAATTATGTATTTAATTGTGTTTTGTTACTTATAACCGCTTGTAGTGTATCTGATTAACTCTTTATATTCTCATATCGCGTCTAACGCCACATTGAAAACGCGATGCGTGCTGCTTTGTTTACTTCAAATGCGTTTGTGAGTTTGCGTTCCATTGCTGTTTGTCATTGCTATGGCCACCGTCAGCTTTTCCTACACACGTATGATGGGCAATAGTTCAGCTTTTGCCGCTGTGATGGTTAATACTGATTGTGTCACTGTTTTTACTTTTGTTTAAGAATAGAGCAATATGCTGGTGTTTAACTGCATTGCTTTAGTGCACTCCTGCATTGGGTTCACACAAATACCTGCCAACATTTGTCCCTTATAATCTGGGAAACCAGGGGGTTAGGTTCGGGTTTGAGGTGTCTGAATAACACTGTTGAGAACCGGGTACTGTTTAACTGTTTACTGTGGTGTTAGTAACTACAATAAAGTTGAAGTTTTGGGCAGCCGATGCGATCGGATCCTATCCGCTTGTTAAGTGTGACGCCACGTGAAGCGGCTTCCGGGTCCAAGCGCTCTGTTCAACTGTATGGGGAGACTCATGAAATGGTAATTATAGACAGTTACAAAGCGATTTAATACTTTCAAAAATCACGATCGCAATAAAAGTCATCATAAACGAATAATTTCTCAACTCAAGTGAGTGGCGACTTGGACCCGGAAACAGTATTACATACTTCACCAACACGTCACCACTTAATATGCGGATACAAATGTTGGCGACATGGGGGTTTCACAGACCATACCAAAATGCTGAGGACCTGGTGGGGGAGGGGGTGGTTGAAATTACAGGAGTTTTCCAGGATAAATAACAAAATGGGTGGGTGGCTGGAAATGGGAAATGTGTCTGAAATAATGGAGACTTCTGGGAAAAACAGAAGTGCTAACACATACACTGCACTCTGACTACTTCAATATTGTTGTTAAGCCGTGGTGGGCATTTCACTCTGTCTCACGCTGAATGCTGTTGACCAACAGGCTGTCATCAGTCCAATCAGCGCAGATTAGCTTCGCGCTAAGGAGGGGTTTGGAAACAAATGAATCGCTGAACGAATCATACGGAAGTCGTTGGGCAATTAGGTAACAATAAATGCATATTATAAGACAATAAAAGTGTTTTTTGAACTTGCATGCATATCAGCCTGTTGTTGGAGACCCTCAATGTCAAAATATAACCTGTTTAATGTATAATAGGGGATCTTTAATAAAATATATTTATGTACTATAACATGTAAATATTAAAAGACTTGAAAGGAATATTTTAATAAATCCTAATCATAATATTGTCTTATTCAGAATAAGGTCAACAATTAGATTAGATACGATTAGATTGATACTTAATTGAACGATTAGATACTTTTCATGTCTTTTTTTCAATCTCATACCTGCAAGTCATTAAATCAGTAAGAGCAGGTCCTTTTCCCAAAGCTGCAGCGCCGTCCAGAACAGCCAGCAGCTTCTGCATCATCTGACTTCGTCTGACGGTGACCTTCAGCTCAGAGTCTTCCTCCTCTGGGACGTCCTGTACCCAAACCAGTGTTTACTTCCTCGCCTATGATTAAAATATCAGTATGTATATGTTGAGTCTCACCCTCAAGGCCTCCTTCAAAGCTACAGCTGCTTCTTCCAGAACCGTGTTTATCTGCGCTCTCATTCTGCTTTCCTCCTCAAGCTCTTTCTTTTGTCTCTCGACTTCAGCTTTGGTTTGGTTCAGGTCTTCTGTAACCGCTGCATGTTTCTTTCTGTAATACAGCGGGAGTAACGCTATTAAAATGCACCCTTGGGTGTATTTAAGGACTGTTTTAGCATCAATAAGAAGAAGGTCAACCTGAGATCCTCAATCTCAGTGCAAACCGCAGAGTGAATGTCCAGCAGCTCCTGGTGATCCTGTTTCAGTTTGGTGCATTTCTCCACTTCAGACTGCATTTGCTTGCACTTTTCTGTCAACTGAAGGACCACCTGGAGAAAGACTTTGACTTTATTTTGCTCTAGGATATAGATATATTAAGAAAAGCAGCTTAAAGTTTCTGTGAAATTAAAATAAGACCAATTCCACCGTTATGAATGTGACATTTGAAGTAAAAATTCTAAACATAAACTCACAGAGAAAGTATATGTTAACTTTATTCATTCATTCATTCATTTTCTTTTCGGCTTAGTCACTTGATAAATCTGGGGTCACCACAGTGGAATGAACCGCCAACTTATCCAGCATATGTTTTAAGCAGCAGATGCCCTTCCAGCAGCAACCCATCACTGGGAAACCCGTACACACTCATTCATACACATTCATAAACTATGGACAATTTTGCTTTCCCAATTCACCTGTACCGCATGTCTTTGGACTGTGGGGGAAACCGGAGTACCCGGAGGAAACCCACACGAACGCAGGGAGAACATGCAAACTCCACACAGAAACGCCAACTGGCCCAGCTTTTTTATATTTTAAATGAGGAAAATAGACATGCCTTATAGATGTGACGAAAAAGGCTAGCAAGTTTACAGTATACAACATACTTGTGTAGAAATTACTCTGTGAATTAAACTGCACAGCCCAAAATAAATAATGCTAATCAAAAGGAAAAGAGTTGGCTCTCTGTAGAACAAAAATGATTGTTTACATTTTTGCATTTATGAGGTGAAAGCTTTGTTATGGATGTGACAGATATGAAATTGGCACTGTGTCACATTGAAAGACATTTATGAGTATTTTTAAAGTACTGTACTGTAAAAGTACTGTAAAATGCTTACACAAATAATGTTGGATTGCTTTTCCTATTTCGCTGAAAACTTAATTTTTTTTCATGGCAAGCTTGACATTTGCATGGAATTGCTCATTAGGTGTTTTAGAAGTTAGCATCACTATGTTCGTTTAAAGTTTATCTATCAGCTATTGTGCTATAAAACGGACAAAACTTGCATATAGAAAATATAAATATAAAATCAAACTTCTGCCTAAATCAACCCAGGCTCATTCTGATTATGTACTCCTATGTTCACATATGGAGAGCGCCAAATACATCCCAGGAGGTACATTTTTTTTGCAGATTTTGTTTTTGCAAATCCACCAGAGGCTGCTGGTACGCTTTTTCAGATCTCAAATTTCTCTCACAAGTGGCATTCGTTCTTGCTGTTCTCACATAAATCCCCCAGAGGCTGCTGTCGGCTGACTATCTGCTGACTGACCGACCGACTGACCCACCCTCCCTCTTTCCTAAACCAAACCAATAGTGTTTCAAAAAGCACGGATTGACCTGCCCACTGCCTTCCCTAAACCCAACTGACAGTTTTAAAAAGCAATCTAGAAAAAGGCCTGATTTTTACCATGTTTTCAGATTTTACCACATTTACTTGTTTATTTTATTTTTTAGCATTTGTTTTTGTCTTACCTTCTTTCTAGAACCGTTCTTCACTGGTTTTGATCCCCATTGTCGCGGTCAAATCTGCTCTGCCAGTCAAGTCCGCCGATATATTTGACTAGCTAACCAGACAAACTGGTATAAGTGGGAAAGCCGTCCATACAGAGGTAATCGGTCAGCTGGTAAGTGTGAAAAAGAATGGTGTCATACTGCTCCGTAACACTCATTTTAAAGATGAAATGCAGCCATGCGTCGTTCTGGCTCCATAATTTGCGATCTCCAGAAATGTATATAGGGCTACGTTTTCAGATTAAGCCATAAATGGACAAACATTTTTTGTGACACCACCTCACACTTAAGTTTTTTATAAAATCTTCTGGCCTATCAAATCCTCTATATTGTCCTCTATATGCGTGAGAAGGACGTTGAAATGTACAAAACAGCCTTTGGTGGATTTACGAGAAATGACACATGTGGGACAATGTGTATGGGATCAAATTTCCGCCTAAAGTATTGGAGTCGTGGATTTTAAAAAAATTATACGAGTAAATCCAAAGGTTGACATGACGTGTAAAATAATAATGCCCAAAAGCGAAAACTAAATGCACAATAAGAAACAATGAGGTCGCGTTCCAAAAGATAATGAGCGTAAATCTAAAAAATAAAATTAAAATTTTGCTTATATTTTGAATGTATTGTGTGCTTACGATCTTTCCCCCTTCACTCTTCACTCTTTAGGGTTCCCTAAACCCAGAATGTTCCCACATTCTGCGCTTGCGTTTCCAAAAGATGCAATTCGAGATTCATTTAAATCCCGGGCGGTCTTCATCTTTGGTCCACTAGTCGAGATTAATAGTTGCTCCAGCCAATCAGACGACAGGGGAGTTTACCATAGACACATGTCAGTGATCGTAAGGGATTAATATTGATATTAAATACAGTTATACTGTAACTTTGCAACTTAAATTGCATCTTTTGGAAACCCAGGCGCAGAATGTGGGAACAAGAGCAAAGGGGAAAAGACCGCAAGCACAAAAAACATTCAAATATGATTGGATATTGTCTTTTAATTTTTAATTCACTCTCATTATCTTTCAATAAATGACCTTGTTGTTTCTGACTGTACGTTCAATTTTCGCTTTTGCATGTTATAATTTTACACACGATGACAATCTTTAGATATATGCTTTTTATTTTCTATTTACGACCGCAATACTTTAGGCGGGAATTTGATCTTGTAAATGTGCCCCAGTAACGAATTTGTGATTGTCAAAAATCTACACGTGTCCGCTAGTGAATTTAAGAAAACAAAAACTGAAAAAAGCACACCTAGCCCTGGGTACATATTTCTCAGTTCTCAAAAATGTAGCCCTGGGCACATATCTCCAATGAGTCTGGGTTGGAATAAGTGTTACCAAATTGCAAACAATGTTAAAAATGCAACTCTTACAAAAAACTGCAATATGATATTCAAACAGAGATGGCAATAGTCCGTACTGCACTTTTAAATAAATGCACAAATTTAAAGATTGTATAAAGTTTAAATTGGCAACCTTTTGATTGGCAACACTCTTCTTGGTTATTTCGTGCAGTAGTGGTTCTGTAATGCCGTTCTCTCTTTTGAGTTGCCTTTCTCTTGCTCGTAGGGCATCGTTCTCCTTCAGCAGCTCTTTGGTTTTCTCTGAGAGCTGCTGTAGTTGTGCCGTCACCGAGAGATTCTCCTGCATGGCCCTCAGTGTCGTCTCGGGCATCTTCTCGTCTGAAACCCGGCGAAATTCAGCTGCTACAGTGGCAACATGTTGCAGCATTTCTTTCTTGAGTCTGTAGCAACAAATACGTTCAAATGAATAAAATGAAATATTTTTTTTTTTTAAATATATTTGATTTCACCCAATTATTTGATGTGACTATATAAACCAACAAACCTCATCAGGCATATTTAGAGCAAGAATCAATCCATGTGTCATGATCACCAATGATCAAGCAGTTGCAGGTCGCTGGAGAACTACAATTCGGCCACTGAACCGAACTACAACTCCCAGAACTTTTTGCTCTCATCAGTCCTGCCACAGCTGACAGTCATTTGGAAAGACACGCACATCTAAAACTCATGGTCATTGCTTATTTGGAGTATTTAAACCACTCACTTTTTCATTCACATTGCTGAGTCTTGTTTCCACAATCTTTACAAAGCATTTTTCCCTGTTTGTCTTGCTGTGTTTTGATCCTTGTCTTGCTTACCATTTTGATTATTTGCCGCCTAGCCAGATAATTTGCCTGACTACATATTTTGCAACCCAGGCTCATTCTGAAAATGAACCGCTATATAGATTTTTTTTCCCCAGAGATGGGTTGCGTCTGGAAGGGCATCCGCTGTGTAAAAACTTGCTGGAAAAGTTGGCGGTTCATTCCGCTGTGGCGACCCCGGATTAATAAAGGGACTAAGCTGACAAGAAAATGAATGAATGAATGAATATGGATTTCTGGAGAGCGCCAAATACGTCCCAGGAACTACGTTTTCCGATATCGCGAATCCACCAGAGGCTGCTGTGTATGCTTTTTCAGATCTTAAATTTCTCTCGTGAGTGCCATTCGGGCCTGCTGTTCTTGTGTAAATCCACTAGAGGTCGCTGTTGACTAACTGACCGACTGACTGTCTGACTGACTGTTCGACTGACCCACCCTCCTCTGTCCCTAAACCCAACCAATAGAGTTTTCAAAAGCACCGATTGACCCGCCCACCTTCCTAAATCCAACCGACAGTTTGAAAAGCAATCCAGAAAGAGGAAAGCACTGGCCTGATCCCTTTTTCCAGATTTTTAACACATTCTCAACCTGTTATTTACTTCTTCTTTTGTTTGTTTTTTGGCTTCTGCTTTTGTCTTACCTGCTTTCTGGAACCGTTCTTCGCCAGACTCGAACCCTGTTGTTGTGATCAACACCTTTCTGCCTCCGCCAACGTACATGGCAACCTAAATGGAAAAACTGGTAACAGCAGTAAAGCTGTCCATATGAAGGTAAGAGGTCAGCTGGTAAACGCAAAAAGGAACTGCGTCATACCACCCTCTAGCGTCTGTTTTAAAGATGAAATGCAGCCTTACTTCTAGCTATATAATTCACGATCTCCAGAAATGTATATAGGGCTACGTTTTCAGAAATTCAATCTTTAAATTATCCTTCAAATTACTAGATTTCTTTCATTTGTCAACCAGGAGTTTTTAATAATTTTTAATATTATAAAAATGTGTATGGTTAATCACTTATAATTTTATATATATTCTATTTAAAGTACAGAATAAGTATGTTTGTTTTATTTTTTCATTAAATGACAATGAAACATTATTTAATTTAACCAATGTTATTAGAAACATTAAAGTAGACATTTAGGATACCTCTTATGTCTATAAAATCCTTTTTATGCATTTAATTTGATAATGAGAGATCTTATCTTTCACTTAAATAAGGTTAACTTAAAAGATAAAATGTTTTTTTGTTGTTGTTAACTGCACATATATAAATACATATTTAAATAAAATATTGTGTTCATCAATATTACATTTAATAAATTGAATTATTGTATTATTTAGTTTAACATTTTTTTAACAAGCATAACTAAATCCTTTAACAAAAGCATTGGTCATTGTTAGTTTGTGTCAGTTAAAGCGTCCACTATTGTAGCATTCATGTATTCATTTTTCTTCAGCTTAGTCCCTTATTTATCAAGGGTCACCACAGCGGAATGAACCACCAACTATCCCAGCATATGTCTTACGTGGCGCATGACTGGGATACACCCATACACTCTCATTCACACACACACTCATACACTACGGCTGTTTTTGTGTACCTAATTAACCTAAAGTGCATGTCTTTGGGGGAAATCGGAGCACCTAGAAAAAATCCACGCCAACACGGGGAGAACATGCAAACTCCACACAGAAATGCTAACTGGTCCAGCCTGGACTCGAATCAGTGACCTTCTTGCTGTGAGGCAACAGTGATAACCACTGAGCCACCGTGTAACATTACTCTAATTTTGTTGACACATTAGTTAAAACACAGTTTAAATTATCCATGTTACATTTTCCAAACTAATAGTACCAGTAAATTATGCTTAAGTACATGCAATAACCCTTAAAACATACTCTAATCTTAGCACATGCTGTTATTCAAATTACTCACCACTTAAATGTGCAATTACACTGTAATGTGCAATTATAAAACAAGTGTAACCATTTTCGACTGTTTATTACAGAAATGTCCACATATTTTAAACTATAAACAACGAGAACCTCTTTTTGAATGCAGCACTATACATATATACCAAGCAGCAGATCCACTTGTTTACTGAACAACTGCCTCTTTGTAAAGCCTTACATTGCAGCCATTCATTGAAAAGGATCATAAATGGAAACTGTCTCCCGTTTGACATGTATGTAATTTATAAAGTCCTGGGTTGAATAATCGACTATATTTTTGTATATGAAAACATCTCCCAAAGCTTTGATATCTGATCCATTTACATTTGCGGATTTAGCAGGTGCTTTTATTTAAAGTGACTTACAAGTTAGGATAAAAAAAGCACTTCAAATCATACAGTAAACCCTCTCTCTCTCTCTCTCTCTCTCTCTCTCTCTCTCTCTCTCTCTCTCTCTCTCTATATATATATATATATATATATATATATATATATATATATATATATATATATATATATATATATGTACTCACCGGCCACTTTATTAGGTACACCTTATTATTACTAGGTTAGACACACTTTTGCCTTCAGAACTGCCCTAATCCTTCGTGACATACATTCAACAAGGTACTGGAAATATTCCTCAGAGATTTTGGTCTGCATTGACATGATAGCATCACGCAGTCGTTGCAGATTTGTCGGCTGCACATCCATAATGTGAATCTCCTGTTTCACCACATTCCAAAGGTGCTCTAGTTAGTTAGTTAATTTCTTTAGCACATTTTTTGCAACACAACGTTGCCCAAAGTGCTGAACACAATCAATACTAAATTAAAACAAAACCTACATCACATACATAACAATTAAAACATAAGGCAAACCCCTCAACATTAAAAAGGCTCAGATGCTAAAGAACAAAGATGGAGTTTCAAATGCTTTTTAAAAACAGATAGAGTTAGAGCGTGTCTAATGGGGTGGAAGCCCGGTCCAGAGTTTTGGTGCGATATTAGCAAAAGCTCAATCCCCACTTCGTTTACACTGGGACCTTGGTACAGAAAGAATAAACTGATCAGAAGACCTTAGTGACCTACCAGGATTATACACATGTAGGAGATCGGATAAGTAAGGTAGTGCCAGATCATTTAAGGATTTAAAAACAACAATTAATAGTTTAAAATCAATCAGCCAGCTCAGAGAGGAAAGAAATGGGGATATGTGCTCACACTTGCAAATCCCTGTCAGAAGTCTCGCAGCTGCATTTTGTACTAATTGCAATCTATTCAGGGCATTTTGACTAATACCCACATATAGAGAATTTCAATAGTCAAGTCTTCCCAAAATAAAAGCATGGATCACCTTCTCAAGGTCATTAAAAGAGAGAAATGATTTCACTTTTGCCACAAGTCGTGGATGGTTTTTGACCACAGCCAGGTCTTAGCCTCCACCTGGCTCTTTCGATTGAGTTCTGGTGAATATGGAGGCCATTTGTGTACAGTGAACTGTCATGTTCAAGAAACCAGTCTGAGATGATTAGCGCTTTATAACTTGGTGCGTTATCCTGTTGGAAGTAGCCATGAGAAGATGAGTGCACAGTGGTCAAAAAGGGATGGATATGGTCAGCAACAATACTCAGGTAGGCTCTGGCGTTGACACGATGCTCAATTGGTACTAATAGGCCCAAAGTGTGCCAAGAAAATATCCCCCACACCATTACACCACCACCAGCAGTCTGAACTGTTGATACAGGGCAGGATGGATCCATTCTTTTTTATGTTGTTGATGCCAAATCCTGACCCTACCATCCGAATGTCGCAGCAGAAATCGAGACTCATCAGACCAGACAACGTTTTTTCAATCTTCAAAATCACTTAAATCACCTTTCTTCCCCATTCTGAGGCTCAGTTTGAACTGCAGCAGATCGTCGTGACCATGTCCACATGCCTGAATGCATTGAGTTGCTGCCATGTGATTGGCTGATTAGAAATTTGCGTTAACAAGCAGTTGGACAGGTGTACCTAAAAGTGGCGACGACTAAAGTTACTAAATGTACAAGTCTAATCCATGCATATGGAGCAAAAGTGTGTCCTACAAGTGGTTTGTCCAGCCCACTGACCTGTGCGGAAAACACCAAGAATTGCAGTATGCGGTGTGAACATGCTCACCTGTCATTGTCCAGTACAGCTTTTTTCTCCAGATTATAGATTTCAGCTTGATGATCCTCTTTTTGCTTTCGAAGTTGCTCTTCCAAAGACCTGCGTTCAGCTATAAGCGTCTCTCTCTGTGTAGAAAACTCCTCCAAAGATGCTAGTTTACCAGCTGAACACAAAAAGGTAAACACATTTTAATGAGCAATCTGAAAATTCGATCTGTCATTTTGAATTATAATAATCGCTTAAAAGATTTTAGTTCACCCCAAAATGAAAATTCTATCATCATTTACTTATCCTTAACTTGTCTCAAACTTTTTTTAGTTCCCTTTTTTTATTGAACACAAAAGAAGATATTTTGAAAATTGCCAGAAATCAGTAGCTGTTGACTTTCATAGTATTTGTTTTTCCTACAATGAATGTTTAGTGTCTATTTCCAACATTCTTCAAAATATCTTTTGTGTTCGACAGAAAAAAAAAAGAAACTGAAATGTTTGGAACAACTTCATGATGGGTAAATATATGAGTATATTTAATTTTTTCATCTCTTTAATGTCAACTGATATGCTTTACTTTCATTCACTGTTTATATTGTACTGTATATTTGCAGATATGTAACTGTGTACAATCTTGTACCAAGTGTCATATTCTCAGATGTGTATTTTTCCTTATTTTCCTGGAGTTCACGTCTAAGCAGGCTCAGCTGTGACTCAAAGGACTCTCTCTCCGCCTCTTGGGCTTGCTGGTGTCTTGATAATGTTTCCGCCAGATCATTCAGCTTATCCTCTTTCTTAGCCAATGTGCGTTTCAGGAACAGAACGATGTCTTTCTTCTCTTTCTCCACATTATTGATCTTAGAGGACAAGTCCTTTTCTTGAACCTCCAATTCATCACATTTAAGCTGGTATCTATGAGGAAAAAAGACAAGCCCACGATTCTTATATTAGGCAAGTGTTTCCTGTTGAGGCTGTGATGACATATTTGGTGAAGTATGTTAATTATTAACACGAGATATAATCCAAAGTCTATTTCATATTAGTTTCCGCAAAGACACCGATATGAGCTACAAATAACCTAAATACTGTTTTGCTTAATTCTAATTTTCTGATTTAATAATGATAGCATAGCTTTTATTAAAAAAAATTTATATATACCGAAACTTCATTCAAGTTTGTCAAATCGACATCATGAGGTGAGTGTTTTCTAGAAAATTTACCCATTGCTTTTGGTTAACTACTATGGTAGGATATATGTGCAAATGCGTTTTGTTTATGGGCAGTTTTGCTTTCAGATATTGAACAATCTTGACAATCTCTGAGTAAAAACTATTATATAATATGAACAACCAGGTAACATGAACAACCAGTGGTTATGATAACTTGCTAGATTAGACTCCCACCTTTCCAGTCGCTCCTCCAAGTCGCGTATCTGAGCTTGATAAAACTTCTTGTCACTCTCCGTTAATTCTTCGGCGTTTTTCTGCTCTGTCTCCTCCATACCTCCCGTTTTAATTGCTTGATCTCGGTTCTTTTTTCCATTCTTTTTGGGAGGCATTAGACTTTCGTGCACTTTAAACGACACAGTGTGAGAAGTAAAAACTTTGGACAACGCAATTGTTTCTTGTTGCCATGGATGTGTGTTTGGGCGCTGTGTCACTCGCTGCGCAGAGACGTGCGCGAGAGTTTGCTTTTTCACAGACTTGAACTTATTAAGTTTAACTTAATAAATTGATAAAATGCTGTATGCTAAAGTCATTAGGCTAATGCATCCGACGACTTTTTAACCATGCTCCAGATTTCGGAAAGAAATACGCAAAATGGGCTAACATATGTTGGAACAAGCTTTATGGTAAATATATTTGTTTATGCACACAGCTTTTCTTTTTAATATTTAATTCGTTTGCAGACCCGTAGCCAGCCTGGTGAAAGGGGAAGTTCTCTTTTTCTCAAACAGTGGACCTCTTTGTACTTATTCGACTTATTTTTTATTAAATTATGACATTTATACTGCATTTTAGTGGTATTTTAAGCACCATTTCAGCTGGATTACTTGTCGGATAGTCACCATAACCACATTTTTTAATGATTTATAATAAAGAAATATAAATTAAAAACATACTTTTTCATATACGAATGTAATACATCATATATCATACATCATATATCATTAGATACAAATATGAATCTGTTAAAGTTTTAAATTATGAACTTGCCATCTTGTCATTTATTAGGCAAATAACAAACTATCAAGAAAATTCAACTTTTCAGAATTTGGCCCTTTTATTAATAAAAATGTAAACGTAATAATAATAGTAATTATGTAGATCTTTAAAATTTGTCTAGCCTCTCCTTTAAAAGGTACATTTGGAAATCCATGGATAACAACAACAATGGCCAAATTAGAATTCAAATTCATTTTTTTATGGGCGGCTTTAAGGGCCAAGATTTAGAACAAAAAATCTTTCCTTCATTTAAAACAATACAGTAGTGAAAGTTGAAGTCACTTACGTCAGATTGTCTGTTTTCTTGCACAGCTGGTTGTTGGACTCATGAAAAACTATTGTTTGCAATGCATTGACCAAAACTGATTAGCTAAAGTCACACCAAATTGACAGCCAACAGAGGATTCTGTTTGGTCTTAATGATTTTTTCAATGGGTTATTTTCACCAATTTTGATGGCATAGCAGTCAAAATAGGACAGTATGTAGGACAGATTCTGGACCTGTGTAAGTAAAGGTTCTTCTGAACCGCTCGAACCCCCATTGGCTAGGGGCCTGGTTTGTATCAGAGATGTAATTAAAGAACTAGTCTTCTTTTTCTACATGCTCACTCTTAAAAAGAAATGTTAAAAGGGATTCCATTTAGTAACCTTTCTGTTTTTACAAAGAAATTTCTGTTTCTTTTCTATATATTATTCTTTAATTAAACAAACATAAGTTATATATTATATATATTATATATATATATATATATATATATATATATATATATATATATATATATATATATATATATATATATATATATATATATATATACATACAACAGTTCTGTCTGGTTCTCGAATCTGATTGGCTGATAGACGTGATATATATAGGTAATATCAGCACCCTTACATCCTCTTTACCCTTTGTGTATTACTCTGCCCACATACAGCCAGCAAAAAGCAGACACTACAGATCTAAAGTTTAAAAGATGCTTGCTCAGATGTCCTCTTCACATTAAGGATAATCATTATTATTTTAATAAATGTTCATTTACCCAACCCAATTATTTTTGTAGCATCACTCTAAAAATAAAACTGACTAAAACTTTTTTTCAGCAACGTTTTTTGTCTGTAATTTGTCATATTCCTAGAGGGCAGAACAGTTTAATAATTTAAATCTTGTTCCACTGAAGATGTCAAATTTAATCATAGTTAAAGGTTCATCATAAAGCCACTGATGCCAAAGGACGTTTATTTTGATAGAACCTTTTTTTAACCATGTAAATTATGAATAAAAAATTAGAGGCCTTGTAAATCCTCCCATTCCCACCCACCCAGAGAAATACAATAAAACATTTGAACCAATCAGACCCTTTGTCTATTACCTTACGTGTTCCTCAGAGCTGTTAGTACCCAATAATATATATCCATGCGAAAGACAAGATAAAACTGTTTTATAAAATGCATTATGACCACAAACATTTTTTTTTTTTTTTTAAGAAATTGTGTTTGGAAATTTTACTTTCAAGTTAATACAAATATATAAATAAACTCCACTTTTTTTTAATTGCAGTAATGCTATATATATATATATATATATATATATATATATATATATAATTTTATTTATTTATTTGTTTTTTTATTTTTTTTAGAAATCTTTATTTACGCTAAACAAATCAGTCATTGAATGATGTTCATATTGACTGAACAGGTCAGGTGACTGCAGTTTGCTAAGACCAGTTAAAACTGCATTTTGAAAGCCTCATGACTCATTTTCATATCCTCAGAATTAATTACCTAAGAAATTACTCAGATATTGCATTGCTTCTGTCTGCAATGACCTAATTTGTCCTTCAAGATCTCTCCTTTAAAGAACAGGTCACCCAAAACTGAAAATCTGTCATTGTTTACTGACTTCCATACCATTTGTTTATCCTACTATGAAGTGTACATATATAAAATACATATTACTAATACATAATACAAATACATATATCTAACATTCTTCAAAATATTTTATTTTGTGGTCAACAGAAAGAGGGATCTCACTTTAGGTTGAATAGTGACTATATTTTCATATCCTGATTAACATATACCTTCAACAAGACTATTCCAACTATCCACTGCAACCGAACATTTATGACAAATTCAAGACAACAAATATTTGCATGTTGTTTTATATTATTTTAATAAGTTAATCAGGTCTAAACTACATTTATTTAAGTTATACAAAGTTTAGCTTAATATTTTAGTCAGTATGAATGATGTAATTGATATGACTAGAAAATATTATTGGATTCAACTAAAAAAATGAATCTTTTACAGTGTATATTTGAGTTGTGACAAGACATGGTTATAAAGTAAATACGATTTTGGGTAATACCATTTTAATATCTCAAAATCAAATTAACTTTGCTTTACAAAAGATACAAGTTCAACCATATAAAAACGCTCTATTTTCAGGCCGAGCCACTCAGAGACTGACACAATAAAACAATGACCTGAATGACAGCACTGGCTTCATTTTAGTATTGCCGAACTGTCCAACCAAACGCTTTTGGCTTACAATAACAGGCATTTTGCGAGTATGATGAAGTTGCCAAGTTTTTGAGGGGGAGGGGGAGAAAAATACAGAAAGAAACGACGTCATTATGAGATACTGCAACATTGTAGCTGAGAACAACACGCTGCGTGAAGAAAAAATAGTTCGTGTGAAATACAAACTGCCTCAAACCGCAGAAAGTCTCGTGAGGAGCTTGTAGTTAATGTCAGCTGAGGTTATTTAAACCACATTCAAATATGGGATTAAAGTGTCATTCTTTAGCAATAAGCACCACACTTTGCGCTGAGGTGAGATTTAAAGAAAAGAATGTCATGGAACTGCTTCTATTTCTGGAATAGATACACTGTAACTACAGTAAACCGATAATGGCGGGGTTAGATAGTCAGTCTTTTTGAACTGCTTGTGGAACTGCTTCTATTTTTGGAACGGATATATTGTAACTACAGTTAACCGTTACTGGGTTAAATTGTCGGTCTTTGAGTCATAGAGATAGATGTAGCTTGTTTATGGTTGTCTGAGAGAAGAGAAGAGAGGATTGGGGAGGGAAGTTTCAGTCTGCTTATTATGTAACTGCTGTTTGGAAATGTGTTTTCGCGCTCCGCTTTTTGAGTTCGGACATTCTTGCAGTTCCATTTGGGATTCCGTTAATTTCCGTAGTTTTGTGAGAACAGATCACGGAGGAAAACAGCAGCAGCGTGCGCATTGCTATTATCCTGTCATCATTCGCATGTCGTAGTATTTGCGGAGGGATTTACTGATAAGTAAGTAAAAAAGTACATGAGAGAATCTGAGGAGAATCTCTTTCTGGTAGGAGTTTTATTTTTGTATTTTTGAAAGTTAGTTTTGGAGACGTCTTTTTTTTTTTGTATGTAAGCAAATTATGGCATATTTGTCTTACTTCTGTGTTCTACCTAAAGCAAAATGTTTATTTTCGTTAGGATTTCACAGAGGAAAACTGAATTGGGGCTCATCCTCATCCTTTCAAATATCTCATGTAGTTTTTGTGGAGGGATTTTTTGTGCTGAAGTGAAGTGATGTGATTTCTAGAGTAAAAACTACTTTTTGTCATTTGTTTTTTGGTTGGAGGTTATTATAATTTGGGTAAAGTTGGTTTTATATTCGCACATTCGGTTTTTTTTTTTTTTTTTTTTTTTTTTTTGACCAGTGACAACTTGTGACATGCTACTTTAAATATTGGGGCTGAACTCACATGCAAGTATGTCTTAAAAACAACATTAGCACAATTTAATTGCCTGTGAACACTGTTGTACTTTGATAGTCATTGGCTGCTAATATGATTTTCCTATTTGAAATTTCCAAAGAATACTTTTCTGAAGTTATATTGGGTAGGTGAAAGTCCAAAGGTGCGAATATAAAACCTATTTTATTTTCAACTTTTAAAGTTGTTTAAAAGTTGTCTAAGTAATATGGGAAATAAAATACAAATGTTGTTATCCAGTAAAAATATTATATACATTGTATAAAATGAACAACATACATGATATATTTTCTTACTTTATGCATAAATATCACAACATTTAATTTCATTTATGTTTGAAAAAACAGAAACAAAACATTTTATGTAGTAGACTTTTAAATGTAACCTGAAATCTGCGTTTCTAAACCACTGTTTAGTTTTTTTGTCCAGTAAAAAATCAGTTTAATAAACAACATTGATAAAAAAATTAAATGTTTGTATTTTAAGCATAAATTTCACTAGTTAGAATAATAACGACAACCATAGGAAGCCAAAATATATTTATTGTATTAGATTTTTAAAAATCACCTAAAATTTGCGTTTATTATCCAGTTTTGTTGTTTTACAGTACTATACTGTTTATATGACAACAGATGTTTTTATTGT